TACTACGACGAATAAGCTTTAAGAAAATACTGAAATTATGTATCTGAAAAATATGCACATAGGAGAAAATCGCTGTCCAAAATCGACAAATTTGGCTCCAATTTCGTACATTTCTCTCCAAATTTGACCCCTTTAATTTATTTTTCTACTTTGTATATCGTTCGATAACAAGCATCTAACAGTCAACTACGTATATTTGTTTATATAATCACATAGGAAGTGTGTAGAGACGTTTTTTTGGTGTCACATGCAGACATCTGCAATCCTTCGACGGGCAGTCACGCCTACAAGTGACTCTCTCTCAGGCCGTGTTTCACTGCTTGTTCGGAGAGCCGTCTCTCGTACGCGTAACGGGGCTGTGGGAAGACTTGTTTAGCAACTGCGAGCAGTTTGAGTAAAGTAGATATGTTTCAACGCGCTGGCACATAGGTGTGCGTTGGTGTGCGTGAAATAATTTATATATGTTGTTATACTACGACGAATAAGCTTTAAGAAAATACTGAAATTATGTATCTGAAAAATATGCACATAGGAGAAAATCGCTGTCCAAAATCGACAAATTTGGCTCCAATTTCGTACATATCTCTCCAAATTTGACCCCTTTAATTTATTTTTCTACTTTGTATATCGTTCGATAACAAGCATCTAACAGTCAGCTACGTATATTTGTTTATATAATCACATAGGAAGTGTGTAGAAACGGTTTTTTGGTGTCACATGCAGACATCTGTAATCCTTCGACGGGCAGTCACGCCTACAAGTGACTCTCTCTCAGGCCGTGTTTCACTGCTTGTTCGGAGAGCCGTCTCTCGTACGCGTAACGGGGCTGTGGGAAGACTTGTTTAGCAACTGCGAGCAGTTTGAGGAAAGTAGATATGTTTCAACGCGCTGGCACATAGGTGTGCGTTGGTGTGCGTGAAATAATTTATATATGTTGTTATACTACGACGAATAAGCTTTAAGAAAATACTGAAATTATGTATCTGAAAAATATGCACATAGGAGAAAATCGCTGACCAAAATCGACAAATTTGGCTCCAATTTCGTACATTTCTCTCCAAATTTGACCCCTTTAATTTATTTTTCTACTTTGTATATCGTTCGATAACAAGCATCTAACAGTCAACTACGTATATTTGTTTATATAATCACATAGGAAGTGTGTAGAGACGTTTTTTTGGTGTCACATGCAGACATCTGCAATCCTTCGACGGGCAGTCACGCCTACAAGTGACTCTCTCTCAGGCCGTGTTTCACTGCTTGTTCGGAGAGCCGTCTCTCGTACGCGTAACGGGGCTGTGGGAAGACTTGTTTAGCAACTGCGAGCAGTTTGAGTAAAGTAGATATGTTTCAACGCGCTGGCACATAGGTGTGCGTTGGTGTGCGTGAAATAATTTATATATGTTGTTATACTACGACGAATAAGCTTTAAGAAAATACTGAAATTATGTATCTGAAAAATATGCACATAGGAGAAAATCGCTGTCCAAAATCGACAAATTTGGCTCCAATTTCGTACATATCTCTCCAAATTTGACCCCTTTAATTTATTTTTCTACTTTGTATATCGTTCGATAACAAGCATCTAACAGTCAGCTACGTATATTTGTTTATATAATCACATAGGAAGTGTGTAGAAACGGTTTTTTGGTGTCACATGCAGACATCTGTAATCCTTCGACGGGCAGTCACGCCTACAAGTGACTCTCTCTCAGGCCGTGTTTCACTGCTTGTTCGGAGAGCCGTCTCTCGTACGCGTAACGGGGCTGTGGGAAGACTTGTTTAGCAACTGCGAGCAGTTTGAGTAAAGTAGATATGTTTCAACGCGCTGGCACATAGGTGTGCGTTGGTGTGCGTGAAATAATTTATATATGTTGTTATACTACGACGAATAAGCTTTAAGAAAATACTGAAATTATGTATCTGAAAAATATGCACATAGGAGAAAATCGCTGTCCAAAATCGACAAATTTGGCTCCAATTTCGTACATTTCTCTCCAAATTTGACCCCTTTAATTTATTTTTCTACTTTGTATATCGTTCGATAACAAGCATCTAACAGTCAACTACGTATATTTGTTTATATAATCACATAGGAAGTGTGTAGAGACGTTTTTTTGGTGTCACATGCAGACATCTGCAATCCTTCGACGGGCAGTCACGCCTACAAGTGACTCTCTCTCAGGCCGTGTTTCACTGCTTGTTCGGAGAGCCGTCTCTCGTACGCGTAACGGGGCTGTGGGAAGACTTGTTTAGCAACTGCGAGCAGTTTGAGTAAAGTAGATATGTTTCAACGCGCTGGCACATAGGTGTGCGTTGGTGTGCGTGAAATAATTTATATATGTTGTTATACTACGACGAATAAGCTTTAAGAAAATACTGAAATTATGTATCTGAAAAATATGCACATAGGAGAAAATCGCTGTCCAAAATCGACAAATTTGGCTCCAATTTCGTACATATCTCTCCAAATTTGACCCCTTTAATTTATTTTTCTACTTTGTATATCGTTCGATAACAAGCATCTATAACAGTCAACTACGTATATTTGTTTATATAATCACATAGGAAGTGTGTAGAGACGTTTTTTTGGTGTCACATGCAGACATCTGCAATCCTTCGACAGGCAGTCACGCCTACAAGTGACTCTCTCTCAGGCCGTGTTTCACTGCTTGTTCGGAGAGCCGTCTCTCGTACGCGTAACGGGGCTGTGGGACGACTTGTTTAGCAGTTGCGAGCAGTTTGAGGAAAGTAGATATGTTTCAACGCGCTGGCACATAGGTGTGCGTTGGTGTGCGTGAAATAATTGATATATGTTGTTATACTACGACGAATAAGCTTTAAGAAAATACTGAAATTATGTTTCTGAAAAATATGCACATAGATGAAAATCGCTGTCCAAAATCGGCAAATTTGACTCTTTTAATTTCAATATGTTATGTGCATTACTCATTTTTTCACAGAAATACTTTGTTTTCCAACAATTTTACTTCCACCTAAAAATATATTACCCACTGCAAAATTGTTTTTCTAATACGTGATCAAAATACATTTCCTCCTTGTTCTAACCACGAAACTACGCGCTAAATAAATATCGTGCATATTACACGCATCATTCTGATTCAGACACATTTAGTGTAACAAGACGGATGTTCCGATTGAACATTTTAGTCAGGCATCGGTTACCTCCCTTTATCGGCTTGTCGACCAGTCACTTGTACGCGAGACGGTTCGCGCAGTTTCGAAGAAAGTAAACATGTTTCAACGCGATGGAAAATGGGTGTGCGTTGGTGTGCGTGAAATAATTTATATATTTTGTAACTCTACGATGAATAAGCTTTTAGAAAATACTACGTGTTAGTTTCTGAAAAATATGTACATAGGAGAAAATCGCTGTCAAAAACAGAACATTTTGCTCGATTTTTACACATTTTTCTCCCAATTTGACCGTTTATTATTTTTCTTATGACATTTTTTTCATGTCATTCGATAACTAGTAGGATAATCAATAACTGTACTTAATTTTGTTTTATTATTTTCACAAATAACGCTTGTAGAGACATTTTTGTGCAACAGGCAGAAATCCATGGTCCACTGACAGACCGTCACGCATACGCGTGACCCCTCTCAGGGGGTCACTTGTACGCGAGACGGGAGAGCCGTCTCGCGTACACGTTACGTCCTCTACTGTTGAAGGTACCGTATTCGACGTAATAAGCGCCCCGCTCTAATAAGCGCCCACGGCCATATTTGCTAAATATATTGGCTAGTGAACAATCCCAATTAGCACCCCTTCCGATTGAAAGACTTATTTATTCGCGTAAAATCCGCACTCGTGTGTTATATGCACCCTTAATTATGGGCAATTAAATTCTGGAAAAATATATCTGTCGCATATAAACATTTCAGGCTGTCAGCATAAACCACGAAATTTATCTTTCAACTCTCTTTTTTTCACCAAAATAATATTCTGATAAGAGCCCCCTATTTCTAATTTTGAGAGCGCCCTGGGCACTTATTACGTTGAATACGGTAATTTCTATTATTTAATAGGGGTGAAATGATACATCGATGCATCGTAAGATTTCATGCGACCATACACCATATGTTTTCTTCTGTATAGATACAAGACAATGCACATGCTAAAATATATTACTTACTACTCGTTTAATGACCCCACAGCAATTTTGTGTTGTAATTAGCGTTCCAAGTTCACAACTAAATATAGCCACTACAAACATGTATCTACAGCTAGCTTTTCCTTTAGAACTAGCTCTGAAATATTTATGGTCAAGAAGTGTCCACACAATTTGACGTAAATATGTGTATCACAATACGTATCGTATCGTGACCTATGTATCATGAAAAATGTTGTATTGTGACCTCACTGCATCATTTCACCCCTATTATTTTATTTATGATAACTCAAAATATGTGTATTTTGGGGGGTTATTTCGGAAAATTTCTGACCTTTGAGGGGGGCACAGGTGGCCCAGTGATCTAAGGCGTTTCTGTGCAGAGTTGCGTCCCTTGGGCACGCCAGAAACTTATGATTGTGGATTCGAATCCCGGTTCACCCTGATTATGTGTCTAGGTTTGTCAGCACCATACCCATGCTCGTGGGTTTCACCAAAGTCGTTAACATCTGAGACCTGCATCACTTCGGGCTTTCCTCCCACATTAAGCTGACACCCCATGATATAACTGGAATACAGTATTTAACCCAACTCGCTCACTCACTCACTCACTCACTCACTCACTCACTCACTCACTCACTCACTCACTCACTCACTCACTCACTCACTCACTCACTCACTCACTCACTCTGGACTATATCACATGGTAAACTGGGTTGAAAGGTTGACTGTATTTCACATGGTAAACTGGGTTGAAAGGTTGATTGTATATCACATGGTAATCTGGGTTGAAAGGTTGACTGTATTTCACATGGTAAACTGGGTTGAAAGGTTGATTGTACATCACATGTTTATCTGCTGCAGGGTTGATGGTGTGGAGGAGGTCCAATTTGAAATATCCCGAATCAAACAAAGAGGTAAATAGTTTGTTTCTCATTTGAGTTTCATCATGAATCTTTTGATGTGCTCATATTTTGTTTTCTTGAGTACCAGTATATTGCGCACCCAAGTATAATGCACACCACCCTCTAGTGGACTCAGTATTTTGGAAAAAATTTAATTCAAATATTATGAGCAGAAAAAAAATACACCGTACCCCTTCAGCGAATTCCGGTAAACGAACAGGTGATAAGAAACTTGGTCAGTACAAATTTGAGATAAAAAATCACCAGACATATTGATTTACCATTTAAATTATATTTCTTGTTCAGCTAGGCATTGTTTTACATGGAGGGATTAAGATTACCATGTGTAGCTAAGCTCGAAACAGCAATCAGCTGTGCACATGTTTTCTTGGGATCTATTGGTGATTCGGTTAAAACTTACCCAATGATAGAACTTTAAAGGATTTGATGCAAGGATCGAGAACAATTGTATCTGAAACTATTTTTTTATCAGGAATAATATATTCCAATATCATGTTATTTTAGTTGCAGCAATTACTAAATATATTTAAAATACGATTCGTATCACGAATATAGGGTAATGAATACAATTATTAAATCATGAATACAATAACATGTCAGCAGCTGATGTAGTATTTGTTATATTTAGTGAAACAATAACAACATAAATTCTTTGACGTGGTTTGTTAAATATTAATATATTATAGATTTATATACTGCACTTATCCAGGTACTAGTATCTGCTCAAATGGGACAAGGACCAGTGACCACAATCCTGTCAAATTAAATATTATAAGAGTGTTGTCTTTAAAGAAATCTATGCAAATAATATGTTCTTATGGATATTTTTAGGTACAGGGTATGTAAATGCACATGATTGCATATTCTTAAATATTCGATCCTAGAGGCCACGAATAACGAATTCAATTCATGAATGGATACGGTTCGATTCCCCGAATATTCGAGTGAATCGTAACAGCCCTACTGTTCAGCTTTATCTGACAGCAATGAGATTGTTGGTGATATAGCACAAGTAGCAAACTGTGGATTCGTCTTCATGACTATTTTATAGTGAATGCATCAGGTTGTCACAATATTGATGTTGTTAGCCTTTTAAATGTTACTGCAAGTGATTGTTAATAATGTTAACTAAATTAATGAATACTGGCTTGCATATTTTGAACTGGCTAGGAGTTCTAATCAAACCATCGACGGTTTTCTGACTGATCATGGTGGGCCCACTTCAATTTCAGTTATTGTCCCTTATTGTGTAATTGCTATTGTTCGTAAGTACATGTAGCATCCAATCTCATTAAAATCAGACCTTAGTTCTCGCTACCGCTAAACAAAGATCTGAGGACATCCCGTTAGGGGTCACGTCAGAACGACCTTTCATCCGACCAATCAGTGCGTCGCTTACCAGGTTATGAAAGTGACAGTCAGAATGTGATTTCTAATCATGCAATCTCGAAAACTTTAACATGGGGTAATCTGTATGATAGTTACGGGTTTAACGACTGAATCCTTACAATCTAGACCATCTATTAGCCATTCCAGAATGTTTTTTGTTCAGGTTTCAAATTTGTAATTGAGAATTTGTTCAAATATGTTTCGAAGCGTAGTCGCCAATTTGAAATTAGTGCCGTAAAGCATGAGAAAGCTGCCTTCTGATTGGTCATTCCATTGGTCGCTCAAAGTTTGCGCAAGGTCGGTCTGACGTGATCCGTAATGGGATGTCCTAAAATCTTTGTTTAGCAGTAGCGAGAACTAAGATCTGATTTTAATGAGATTGGTGTAGCATCCAACACCTTCTTAGTGTTAAGTGTAAATATCATGTATGTGTGTTTGTTTCAGTGAAGGAGTTGTCTGCTCTCCATGACAAACATTTGAATCGACCAACATTAGATGACAGTGTAGATGAGGAACATGCCATTGAGATCCAGACCCAAGAAATAACTCAGGTACCGGTTACCAACCCTGTGGAGAGTAAGGGTCAGAACATATCACAGGGATTCATGCTTGTCACAAGAGAAAACTAAAATGATTCTGTGGGGATTCCGGTTCGAATAGGTCATAAGAGGCGGCCAAATGGATCGGGTGGTGAGGCTCAGTGACTTGGTTGATTTTGTGCCATCGTAGGCCAATAGTGTGGATCATTGCTCATAATGTCAATCACTGGATTGTCTGGTGCAGACTCAATTATTTACAGGCCGCTGTCATTACAGTTTGAATATTGCTGAGTGTTGTGTTAACCATCAAACTAAAATTGAGATTGGGTGGTCATTCTGAAATGGCTTGGGTCATTGCTTATGCTTGGATCATTGCTTATGTCCTGGGCCCATGAAGATCCGGGTAAAATAGGTCTTCACCAACCAATGCTTGTCGTAAGAGGCGACTAACGGGATCGGGTGGTCAGGATCGCTGACTTGGTTGATGCATGTCATTGATCCCAATTAGATGGATTGATGCTCATGATGGTCACTGGATTGTCTGGTCCAGACTCTATTATTTACAGACTGCCGTCATATAGCTGGAATTTGCCGAGTGCGGCGTTAAACAACAAACAGACAAAAAAACACCTAATGTCCTGTGAGTCACAGGTTGCCAGGTCCAGATGTACATGGATCCAACAGGGTTTACTTTGACTTACGAATGTCGGGGTCTAGGGGTATCCGAATTATCAGTTTTAAGGGTCCTTGCAGGCAGTATGAGGGTCCTGTAAAGTAATGGAATGGTGTAGTGTCCTGTACGTTTTGATAATTATGTTAGAGCTTGGGATGAATCAATGATCATGTGGACAGTTGTCATGATTGATGGATGAAATTACAAGACACCCATAACTGCTCTTTATGCGCTGTAGGTACAATGAATATTATTGAGCTTCCCTCAAGACACAGTATATTATGATTTTACAACCAATCTCAACATTTGTGAGTTCTGGACTCACATTTATGCCTCACGTAAAACCCTGGTCTTATGTACAGCCTGTTGAACTGGCAGCAATAATCGTGTTAATCTGGTCGTGCATACCTTGAAGGTTGCTGCTAAGGACAGTCGTTCCTGTATTCATCGTGTAAAGGTAGAAAGCAAAGTTCAGGCTTGTAACTCAACACACATACATCTGTAGGATTAGTTTGTGTTTAACTTTTGGTCATCCAATGCGAGACTTTACATATGATCACTTATTTATTTCAGATGTTTACCAGGTGTCAGAGATTAGTCCATTCCATAGGCTCCAGAAGCTTGCATGGGACCAACCAAGAGAAGCGTCTGTCAGCAAACATTTTGTCATCCTTAGCACGTGCTATCCAGGAAATGTCCACAAATTTCCGGAAGAGTCAATCAAATTATCTCAGAAGTGAGTTTTTCATTGGCTGGTTAAATGTTTTATGTATGATTATGTTTAGCATGTTTAGATATTCACCTCAAAATTTTCTTACAAGAGCTATAGTGTGGCTGCAAGAATTAGGGACATTCAGGGACACAAAAAGATGCAGGGTAATGGACATAGAAGGATGCAGGGTAAGGGACACAGAAGGATGCAGGGTTAGGGACACAGAAGGATGCAGGGTAATGGACATAGAAGGATGTAGGGTTAGGGACACAGAAGGGTGCAGGGTAATGGACATAGAAGGATGCAGGGTTAGGGACACAGAAGGGTGCAGGGTTAGGGACACAGAAGGGTGCAGAGTTAGGGACACAGAAGGGTGCAGGGTTAGGGACACAGAAGGGTGCAGAGTTAGGGACACAGAAGGGTGCAGGGTAATGGACATAGAAGGATGTAGGGTTAGGGACACAGAAGGATGTAGGGTCAGGGACACAGAAGGGTGCAGGGTCAGGGACATAGAAGGATGCAGGGATAGGGACATAGAAGGATGCAGGGTTAGGGACACAGAAGGAGGCAGGGTTAGGGACACAGAAGGGTGCAGGGTAAGGGACACAGAAGGATGCAGGGTTAGGGACACAGAAGGATGCAGGGTTAGGGACACAGAAGGGTGCAGGGTTAGGGACACAGAAGGGTGCAGGGTAAGGGACACAGAAGGATGCAGGGTTAGGGACACAGAAGGGTGCAGGGTTAGGGGCATAGAAGGATGCAGGGTTAGGGACACAGAAGGATGCAGGGTAATGGGCATAACAGGATGCAGGGTAATGGGCATAGAAGGATGCAGGGTAAGGGACATAGAAGGATGCAGGGTAATGGACATAGAAGGATGCAGGGTTAGGGACATAGAAGGATGCAGGGTAATGGACATAGAAGGATGCAGGGTAATGGGCATAACAGGATGCAGGGTAATGGACATAGAAGGATGCAGGGTAAGGGACATAGAAGGATGCAGGGTAAGGGACATAGAAGGATGCAGGGTAAGGGACACAGAAGGATGTAGGGTTAGGAACACAGAAGGATGTAGGGTTAGGAACACAGAAGGATGTAGGGTTAGGAACACAGAAGGATGCAGGGTTAGGAACACAGAAGGATGCAGGGTTAGGGACACAGAAGGATGCAGGGTAATGGACACAGAAGGATGCAGGGTTAGGGACACAGAAGGATGTAGGGTTAGGAACACAGAAGGATGTAGGGTTAGGGACACAGAAGGGTGCAGGGCAAGGGGCACAGAAGGATGCAGGGTTAGGGACATAGAAGGATGCAGGGTAATGGACACAGAAGGATGCAGGGTTAGGGACACAGAAGGATGTAGGGTTAGGAACACAGAAGGATGTAGGGTTAGGGACACAGAAGGGTGCAGGGCAAGGGGCACAGAAGGATGCAGGGTTAGGGACACAGAAGGATGCAGGGTTAGGGACACAGAAGGACGCAGGGTTAGGGGCACAGAAGGGTGCAGGGTTAGGGACACAGAAGGGTGCAGGGTAAGGGACACAGAAGGGTGCAGGGTTAGGGACACAGAAGGGTGCAGGGTTAGGGACACAGAAGGATGCAGGGTAATGGACATAGAAGGATGCAGGGTAAGGGACACAGAAGGATGCAAGGTTAGGGGCACAGAAGGGTGCAGGGCTAGGGACACAGAAGGGTGCAGGGTTAGGGACACAGAAGGATGCAGGGTAATGGACATAGAAGGATGCAGGGTAAGGGACACAGAAGGATGCAAGGTTAGGGGCACAGAAGGGTGCAGGGCTAGGGACACAGAAGGGTGCAGGGTTAGGGACACAGAAGGATGCAGGGTTAGGGACACAGAAGGGTGCAGGGTTAGGGACACAGAAGGGTGCAGGGTAAGGGACACAGAAGGATGCAGGGTTAGGGACACAGAAGGATGCAGGGTTAGGGACACAGAAGGATGCAGGGTTAGGGACACAGAAGGGTGCAGGGTTAGGGACACAGAAGGATGCAGGGTTAGGGACACAGAAGGATGCAGGGATAGGGACATAGAAGGATGCAGGATTAGAGAAATAGAAGGATGTATAGTTTAGGGGAATAGATGGCAGGTGCCTTGTAATTTATTGAAAATGAACATTTACTCAAATTGATGTGCATTTTACACACAGTATGTAATACTGAGATGTTTCTATGTAGAGTTGAAGACAAGGGAGGAGCGGTCACGACAGTATTTTGGCACCAGTATTGGTCCGGATTCCATGATGGAGGAAGTAAATATTGCTGATGATGACATGTACGACCGGGTGAGTTCAGTGCTGGGTGTGGTGATGACATATACGACCAAGTGAGTTCAGTGCTGGCTGTGATGATGACATGTACGACCGGGTGAGTTCAGTGCTGGCTGTGATGATGACATGTACGTGCGTGAGTTCAGTGCTGGGTGTGGTGATGACATTTACGACCGGGTGAATTCAGTGCTGGCTGTGATGATGACATTTACGACCAGGTGAATTCAGTGCTGTGTGTGATGATGACATATACGACCGGGTGAATTCAGTGCTGGCTGTGATGATGACATTTACGACCAGGTGAATTCAGTGCTGTGTGTGATGATGACATATACGACCGGGTGAATTCAGTGCTGGCTGTGATGATGACATATACGACTGGGTGAGTTCAGTGATGGCTGTGATGATGACATATACTGCCAAGTGAGTTCAGTGCTGGCTGTGATGATGACATATACCACCAAGTGAGTTCAGTGCTGGCTGTGATGATGACATATAGAACCAAGTGAGTTCAGTGCTGGCTGTGATGATGACATATACGACCAAGTGAGTTCAGTGCAGGGTGTGATGATGACATATCCGACCGGGTGAGTTCAATGCTGGCTGTGATGATGACATATCCGACCGGGTGAGTTCAGTGCTGGCTGTGATGATGACATATACGACCGGGTGAGTTCAGTGATGGCTGTGATGATGACATTTACGACCAGGTGAATTCAGTGCTGTGTGTGATGATGACATATACGACCGGGTGAATTCAGTGCTGGCTGTGATGATGACATTTACGACCAGGTGAATTCAGTGCTGTGTGTGATGATGACATATACGACCGGGTGAATTCAGTGCTGGCTGTGATGATGACATATACGACTGGGTGAGTTCAGTGATGGCTGTGATGATGACATATACTGCCAAGTGAGTTCAGTGCTGGCTGTGATGATGACATATACCACCAAGTGAGTTCAGTGCTGGCTGTGATGATGACATATAGAACCAAGTGAGTTCAGTGCTGGCTGTGATGATGACATGTACGACCGGGTGAGTTCAGTGCTGGCTGTGATGATGACATGTACGTGCGTGAGTTCAGTGCTGGGTGTGGTGATGACATTTACGACCGGGTGAATTCAGTGCTGGCTGTGATGATGACATTTACGACCAGGTGAATTCAGTGCTGTGTGTGATGATGACATATACGACCGGGTGAATTCAGTGCTGGCTGTGATGATGACATTTACGACCAGGTGAATTCAGTGCTGTGTGTGATGATGACATATACGACCGGGTGAATTCAGTGCTGGCTGTGATGATGACATATACGACTGGGTGAGTTCAGTGATGGCTGTGATGATGACATATACTGCCAAGTGAGTTCAGTGCTGGCTGTGATGATGACATATACCACCAAGTGAGTTCAGTGCTGGCTGTGATGATGACATATAGAACCAAGTGAGTTCAGTGCTGGCTGTGATGATGACATATACGACCAAGTGAGTTCAGTGCAGGGTGTGATGATGACATATCCGACCGGGTGAGTTCAATGCTGGCTGTGATGATGACATATCCGACCGGGTGAGTTCAGTGCTGGCTGTGATGATGACATATACGACCGGGTGAGTTCAGTGATGGCTGTGATGATGACATGTACGACCGGGTGAGTTCAGTGATGGGTGTTAGGATAATGTCAGGGTATGATAAGCCCTAATAAAAATGGTTGCTCCAAGAAAAGGAAACAGGTTCCCAGTGTCCTATTCTTCTCATAAAAGCTGACAAAAACTAGAATCTGGGTGCAATATCATCGTAGCAGTATCTCCTAGGAGGTATCACGTGGTGAAGATACAGGTGGTGAGATCCTAAATCTGTACATCACACGTGTGTCGTACAAAGTTGACCTTGTGAACATTTCCGGTAAAAAATCTTTCGAAAACTCCGTAGAAGTGTGCCTGACTTCTGATTATGAGGCCCAAAACATCCCAAATGTGAACAATAACATTCCCTATCTCTAGCGTAAAACGCGTGAGTAGATTAGGGTTGTCTTTTCTTATTCCGGTGGTCACCTTGCCCTTCGTTCTAAGCTGTCACTGACATGCAGGCAGACTTGACTTTGTTGATTTTCACGTCTTCAGTATAGGGTGGTACAGTTAACATGAATGTCTTTGTCAAACACTCTGATTTCCCTCTTCCAAAATGGTACGGACTTGATATAAATTCAGCTGATAGATCAAGGAAACTGAACCATTTTGATTGCACAGCCGGGACCCTGGCAGTGTGAGCGACCGACTGTTGGTCCGATATTCAAAGCGCAGCGCTAATGTAACTTTTAAAGTTTCTCTTGTAGGTGTCCTGCGTACTAACAACAATGCGCTTGAATTACCATAAGTTGAAGAAATTCTTCAAAAAGGATCTTGAGCATCAGTGCTGTTATGTTTGTAAACACAACAGCAAGAGGATGTTGGAAATGCGTATGCATACAAATTTCGGCAATGCACATATGTAGGCATATATCAATATTCATGCGCAACCAGATTTTGCAACCGGTTTCAGTTTGGTCTGTCAACGAACGAAAGTTGTTATGTATTTACACTTAATTATATATTTTGCATGGGTAATAAACAAAATTCTCGTTAGATACCTTTTTCAAGAAAGTCCACTCATTTCGTAAATATGGTATCTAACGAGTGTAGTATTCTCTATATCTCACCCAAGTGGAAGCCATTTTTGGATGATAAACACCAGTATCAGCAGAGTATTTCCACATAAAATTGTGTCACTTAGAGTAATATACTCAACCACAAAAGAAAGTGCTCCATCAGCAGGTGACTGCTTTCATGTACAGGGATGCTGTTCTTCGCAATCACGTCAGACTTCTCTTCCTGGGTCAACCTCAACTCCAGGTCTTTCAGCAGGACAACGGTCGTCCCCATACAGCACGGGCCTCTCAAAGTAAATAACATTCCTGTGATGCCTTGGCCATCTTTGTCACCGGACATGTCACCAATTGAGCATGTGTGGGACGAGATTGGGAGATGTTTTCAGGCTGCAAGGGAACCATATACCCTTCAGGATTCCTCAAGCCTTCTTCCAAAGACTTGTCGACTCACTGAGACAGCGACGTGCGGCCTGTATCGCAGCTAATGGTGGCCACACATGTTATTGATAGACATGACAGGCACTTGTCATTTTTCTGTTTTCAGGGGGAGTTTTCAATAAACACAGATGGTTTTCATCCAATCTCATTAAAATCAGATCTTAGTTTTCGCTACCGCTAAACAAAGATCTGAGGACATCCCATAACGGGTCACGTCAGAACAACCTTTCGCGAATTTTGACCGACTAATGAAATGACTTACAAGAAATCGACATTGGCCAATCAGAAGGCAGCTTTCTGGAGCTTTACGAGACTAGTTTCAAACTGGCAACTACGCTTCGAAACATATTTTGACGTATTCTCGATTAAAGATTTTAAAACTGATAAGAAGAACATTCTGGAATGGATTATAGATGGCACAGATTGTATGGATATAATCATAAGACCTGTAACTGTCGTTCGGAATACCCTGTGTTAAATATATCATGGTTGCGTGATGAGAAAACAAATTCCGACTGTCACTTTCATGATCAGGTAAGCGACACTCTGATTGGTTGGATGAAAGGTCGTTCTGACGTGACCCCTAATGGGATGTCCTCAGATCTTTGTTAAGCGATAGCGAGAACTAAGATCTGATTTTAATGAGATTGGTTGTCATCAAACAATCAAAGCCCATTTGTTATCAAATGTTTTTTCTGTTATCAGTTTTTTAAATATTGTCTTCATATCTTTTATCGTCTTAACGCCATCTGCATCTTATGTACATGTTGCATTTCTTTCGCATTTGAGTATACAAGCTTGGTGGACTCAAATTCCGTTCAGTGATTTCCTGATTGACTGTAATACCGGTGATGTTTCAGGGCTTCACTGCTGACCAGATCCTGCTGGTGGAGGACAACACAACAATTGTGCAGACAAGGGAGAAGGAGGTGTCCCAGATTGTCCGCTCAATCATGGATCTTAATGAAATCTTTAAAGACTTATCGTCGATGATAGTAGATCAGGTAGGAGAAGAGTTTAGTATCTTTGCATGAATAAATATTGACCAGTAGATTAATTATCATAACTGTTCACTTAGGTTTGGCTGCATCTACATGGCCTGAATTACATGACACTGACTGTTTCTACATCTACATAGCAGGATTCATGCCCTTCCTCACAGACATTGGGCACACCTAAGGGACACAACTCTGCACAGCACAGCAGGCTGAAGGTTCAATACAAAATTTGGTACACTATTCATGACACTATACATATCTTGGTACACTTTTCATAAAAACAATACTTATCTTGATAGACTTTTCAGGACTGGAAACATATCTTGATACACTTTTCATGACTCGAAACATATCATGATACACTTTTCATGACTCGAAACATATCATGATACACTTTTCATGACTCGAAACGTATCATGATACACTTTTCATGACATGATGCATATCTCTATACAGCAGAGTATCAACACAAAGGCCATGTCCTGAAAAGAAAAACTTCAGTCACTTGATCTTCATGCAGAATCAGTGCTTTAATAGCAACCTGGGCATTCAGCATGGCGCCACTAATATCAATGTTCGTGTGATGATGGCAATAATGTGTTGTCATATTGTGGTGTTACTCGTGTATATCAGATAAGTATAAACAAATGTGACAGAATGTTTCTACCTTGGAAGTGTTTTGAGTCCATCACATACAGTAACAGGAACCGAAGATGATCCCAAACATCTGATTTGTAGGACGTGGACGGCTTATCAAGCTCACTTTCCGTCCTCATCTCAGATTGAAATGTAACTGGTTTAAGCATACATGTTTGGTATAAAGTTGACTACTGGTGTATGTTAATAAACAGGACAGGTTTTCTTCGTACCTTAAGAAGGCACAAATTATGTGTTTGTATCATCAAGCATTGAGATACAGGCCTGTTTGTATCATGAATCGTATTGAAGGGTACAGAGTTTGAGGATATTGTTTCACCCTCAGCATCAATGTATGAGTGAGTGGATTCACCCCAATTGGGGGCACAGGTGGCCCAGTCGTCTAAGGTGCTATTCGCTGTGCAGAGTTGCGTCCCATGAGCAATCCAGAAACCTATGATTGGGTTTTCAAATCCCGGTTCGCCCCGATTATGTTTCTAGGTATATCAGCAGCATACCCGTGCTCCTGGGTTTTACCAAAGTGGTAAACGTCCTGCATCTCTTCGGGGTTTCAGCTCACATTAAGATGGCAAGCTGTGACATAACTGGAATACTGTTAAAAGCAACGTTAAACCCAGCTCGCTCACTCACTCACTCACTCACTCACTCACTCACTCACTCACTCACTCACTCACTATGATGCAGGGGTGAAATACGTAATACAATACGTATCATGATACTTAGGTCGCTATATGCATATTTACCTCAAATCTTGTGGAAACATCTTGACTATAAATATTTAAGAGCAGGTTCAAAGGGAAAGGCTAGATGTTCATGGTAGCTGTTTTTATTAGTGAACTTGACATGCTTGAAAAACTAATTACAACACATTTTGCAGTCTGACAGACAAAAATGCTGGGGGTCATCAAATGAGTAGTAAATAATTTATTTCAGCAAGTGTATCATCGTGTATCGATAGTCAAAATTGTATCGTGTATCGTATTGTTGCATGAAAACTCACGATGTACCGGTGCACCCCTACTATGTTGTCTGTGTTGCAGGGCAGCCTTCTGGACAGAATTGACTACAACATAGAACATTCCTCCGTCGCCGTCGAGAAGGGCCTGCAGCAGTTACAGAAGGCAGAAAAATACCAAAAGAAGAACCGAAAAATGTACATAATAATCGTCTTGGCTGTCCTTATCATATTTCTAGTCATCGTATTAATTGCTGTAAAAAGTTAACATTCAATTTTGATTTAGTCTTCAGGTAACTTATGTTGTACTCTACAGATTGTACAGGTTTGTAAATATAACTGACGGTGTTGCACAAAGTAGCAGGCCCTGGATTAGCCGAGAGCTGTGATGGCAGACAAGGGTCAAGACAAGACTTACATGTTCTTAACTACAGGCTCCTACGGGTCTTGTCTTCATGGTGGTCCCCCTTAAAGCTCTCAGCTAGCACTCGACCAGGGCCCCGTTCAACAAAGTGATCTTAGCGCTAAGTCAATCGTAACTCCCATTCTTTAACACTGACTTACGACAATCGTAGCTCTAAGATCGCTTTGTGGAACGGGCCCAGGGCCCACTTGCACGAAATGATCTTAGCGCTACGACTGTCATAAGTCTGTGTTCGAGTATCAGAGTTATAGCGCTAAGATCATCATGTGAAGTGTACCCAGGACCCTGTTCCACAAAGGGATCTTTACAATACAACTGTTGTACCTTCCCTACCTTAAGGCATCTTGTTTTAATTACTTAGTTTATGGATACACTGATGTAAACTTTAACAAATATGGAACAACATGAGAATTATGAGGACCGTCATGTTCCATACGGCTCAGTCTGTTAATACTTCTCTAATTAAATATGTTAGGATCAAGAGCATAGGATAACTGTCAAGGTCTGTAACCATGGTAACATATAGTGTATAAAAGTCTGTAATAAATGTAACTGTTGCTTAGTGGTTCCAGAATGTGCTCTTTAATGGTTGTGAAAGTGATCATTGGTTTTATTATTTTAACCCTACCAATTTAAATCTTCAGCAACCCATGCTTGCAGTAAAAGGCGACTATGCTTGTCGTAAGAGGCGACTAATGGGATCAGGTGGTCAGGCTCGCTGACTTGGTTGATGCATGTCATTGTATCCTATTCGCCTGGATCGATGCTCATGATGTCAATCACTGGATTGTCTGGTCCAGACTCATTTATTTACAGACCGCCGTCATATAGCTGGAATATTGCTGAGTGCGGCGTAAAACAACAAACAATCAAAGAAACTTTAACAGACTTTTAAAAACAAAATTAAATTTATTTGTATCTGACTTGTTTTTGAGGGGAAAAAACTGTCAAGTAGATAATAAAAAATGAAAGACCTAGGACAGTTGTATGGCAAAGATAGCTTTTTGGATCTGCACCCAAGTCATTACTCAACCAGAAACATCTCATCAACAAAATGAGCAACAGAACTGAGCCACAAAAGTTCAAACGTTCAGTCTTTTTTATTGGTTGTGTGAATCATGCATTGAATGTGAAGAGGACATTGTGGGTACATTATCATGAGAGTGAAATACAGGACCATTGACTTGTGTGGTGTATCACTGACCAGGATGTTTGGGCATGGTGACATAGGATGGACAGGGCTTTAATCAGTGTTGAGTTTTATTCTTAACTTTCTGGGCGAACATCAATTGGAGACAATTGACAATATGAGCGATGAGGGCATGGGTTCTGAGGCACTGCAGTATGCTGTGCAGAGTTGTTTCCCTTAGTGGTGTGGGTATCTGCGGATTGTTCCTCCCACACAGTGATATGACTGAAATATGGTTCACAGTGGGCTTAACCAAACTCACCCACAAGCCATCCCGTGGGGAAATATTCCTTGTTGGAATAGGTTCCTAGCAACTATGCTGGTCATAAGAGGCGACAATACAGATCGGGCGGTCAGGCTTGGTGACTTGGTTAATTGGGTATCTCTTACTCGACGGCATGGATCATTTCTCACAATATCAATCACTGGATTGTCTGGTCATGACTCAATTATTTACAGACCGCTGTCATATAGCTGAAATGTTGCTGACCGCAGCATTAAAGATCAAACAAACCCTCGCTTACCATTGATGGAGGAAAAAGTGAGTCAGTGATTTGTTACTGCTTAATGATTCATGACAATTAAAGAATTATTGCAGCTGACATTGATTCACAAGGACTGCTACATCACTGCAGTTGTGACTGATGGAAGCATTTTATGATAAAAAAATTATAATGAGACTATTATCATTTAATTGTTGGATCACAGAATTCTTTCTGGCAAAGTCTGAGTAAACGGTTTGGAAATATATGAGTTTTAAATTGAGCATCATCTTAAGCGATACTGATGCTTCTTTAAAAACATGGAGTAGTCACATTTTGTGTGTCATGACTGCGATAAGTAACGTGCCATTTGTTATTTATACCACTCAACAGAAGTGAAGGATCATCCGATTCTTTCATATTATAGTTAATCTGTCATGGCAGATTAACCATAGTAACATGAAAGAATCAGGTGGTCCTTAACTTCTTTTGAGTAGAATACATGTTTTCATATTACCAGGAGTTGAAATATGGTACCTGCATCGATGATAACTTTTTTTTAAATAATGGCCTAAACATCACTGTCCCAGTCATCATCAGCATGATCAATGTCCCTTGGTATGATGGGTTTCTGTCCTGGGGGTAGTTGTGAGGACATGCGTTCCACCTGGTACAGCTACTGGTGTTGGAACCTTGCATCATTCCGGAAGTGAGCGTGTGGCTATATGAACTATACATCTTACAATCATTCCGCTTAAAGCTATTCAAATATCTCTGTAATTTGGAACGGATGTGTGTAAGTTGTGTGTGTACATAATGTATATCTATGTATCTACTGACTGTTTGTATATTATGATGTTGTAAATATTTATTGTCATCAAACGTTGCAATATATATCAGATAAACACATGGACAAATGAGTGATTTTGTTGTATTTGTTGCTGTTAAAGATGAGCTGCAAAACTGTTACAAACCATTCTTGTCAGTTAGTGGTTATTCACAGCAGTTTTATCCAATAGACGATTGTCAATTCGTAGTTATTCACACATAGCAATTATCCAATAGACAACTGTTCATTGTCCATTGGAGGTAAATCACACATCAGTAACTATCCAATAGACACCTAATCATTGGCTATTAGTACAGTAGTTATTCAACTACCAAATAGACAACCAATCATTGCTTATTAGTGGTTAGTCACACGTCAGTAACTATCCAATAGACACCTAATCATTGGCTATTAGTACTGTAGTTATTCAACTGCCAAAGAGACAACCAATTATTGCCTGTTAGTGGTTAGTCATATATCAGTAACTATCCAGTACACAACCAGTCATTGCATGTTAGTGGTTAGTCACACATCAGTAACTATCAAGTAGACGACCAATCATTGCCTGTTAGTGGTTAGTCACACATCAGTAACTATCAAGTAGACGACCAATCATTGCCTGTTAGTGGTTAGTCACACATCAGTAACTATCAAGTAGACGACCAATCATTGCCTGTTAGTGGTTAGTCACACATCAGTAACTATCAAGTAGACGACCAATCATTGTCTATTAGTGGTTTGTCACACATCAGTAACTATCCAGTAGATGACCAATCATTGTCTATTAGTGGTTAGTCACACATCAGTAACTATCAAGTAGACGACCAATCATTGCCTGTTAGTGGTTAGTCACACATCAGTAACTATCCAATAGACGACCAATCATTGCCTGTTAGTGGTTAGTCACACATCAGTAACTATCAAGTAGACGACCAATCATTGTCTATGAGTGGTTTGTCACACATCAGTAACCATCCAGTAGACGACCAATCATTGTCTATTAGTGGTTAGTCACACATCAGTAACTATCAAGTAGACGACCAATTATTGCCTGTTAGTGGTTAGTCACACATCAGTAACTATCCAATAGACGACCAATCATTGCCTGTTAGTGGTTAGTCACACATCAGTAACTATACAGTAGACGACCAATCTTTGTCTATTAGTGGTTTGTCACACATCAGTAACAATCCAGTAGACGACCAATTATTGCCTGTTAGTGGTTAGTCACACATCAGTAACTATCCAATAGACGACCAATCATTGCCTGTTAGTGGTTAGTCACACATCAGTAACTATCCAGTAGACGACCAATCATTGTCTATTAGTGGTTTGTCACACATCAGTAACAATCCAGTAGACGACAAATTATTGCCTGTTAGTGGTTAGTCACACATCAGTAACTATCCAATAGACGACCAATCATTGCCTGTTAGTGGTTAGTCACACATCAGTAACTATCCAGTAGATGACCAATCATTGTCTATTAGTGGTTTGTCACACATCAGTAACTATCCAGTAGACAACCAATCATTGTCTATAAGTGGTTTGTCACACATCAGTAACAATCCAGTAGACGACCAATTATTGCCTGTTAGTGGTTAGTCACACATCAGTAACTATCCAATAGACAACCAATCATTGTTTATTAGTGGTTTGTCACACATCAGTAACTATCCATTAGACAACCAATCATTGTCTGTTAGTGGTTCGTCACACATTAGTTACTATCCAGTAGACAACCAATCATTGCCTGTTAGTGGTTAGTCACACATTAGTAACTATCCAGTAGATGACCAATCATTGCCTGTTAGTGGTTAGTCACACATCAGTAACTATCCAATAGACAACCAATCATTGTCTAAAATACGTTGGAGCCGTATTACTCAGGGTACATGTGGTTCATGCGTCCGGCGTTAGGTTTTATACCACGAGACGGAGGCCTGAGGCAAAAAGTTAAGTTACTGAAAAAATATCGAAAATATTGCATGATGAGTCAACGTACCAAATACGATCTTATTTTCGCCCTGCGTACCATACTGTTGAATCACGAATACCCCTGAAACAAATCCACGAATCCCGCGTACCCGAGGGGTGTTGGCAGCCTTAAACAATAAGTGCGTTAAACAATAAACAAAACAAAACAAATCTTAAGGAGCTAGAACCAATAATTAATTCAACTTTATAAATGTTGCCTCTGCAAATGGAGAGAGTTGATATTACTTGACAATCAAATTCTTATGAAAAACCGTAGGCATCCACACAAGCATTCACCTGAAATTGAAGCGATATTTCACATACATCGTTTATCATAAACGATGTAAGCATTTCATATATGTTTAGTTTCCAACAAAAAAAATTATAATTTCAACACGAAACACCACCATTTCAAAGTCAACTCTATTCCCTTCCTCGAGTCATTGGACTCAAATCAATAAACGAGAAGATCCAGGTAAGAATATAGGTCTTCAGCAACCATGCTTGTCGTAACAGGCGACTAACGGATCGGGTGGTCAGACTCGCTGACTTGGTTAATGCATGAGATTGTATCCTAATTGCCTAGCGCAATAGCTGGAATATTGCTGAGTGCGGCGCTAAACATAAACAAACAAAAACTAATTGCCTAGATCGATGCTCATGATGTCAATCATTGGATTGTCTGGTCAAGACTTGATTATTTACAGACCGCCGTTATATGGCTGGAATATTGCTGAATGCGGCATAAACAACAAACAAACAATAAGCGAGAAGATAAGCAGTACGTATCTGAAAATGGGATCTAAACCTTATGAGTAATATATAGATACTAACTCAACTAAACCGGTTCAGTTTTGTTTCTTTGTTGTTTAACGCCGCACTAAGCAATATTCCAGCTATATGACGGTGCTCTGTAAATAATCGAGTCTGGACCAGACAATCCAGTGATTTACATCATGAGCATCGATCCACACAATTGGGATCGATGACATGCATCAACCAAGTCAACGAGCCTGACGACAAGCATAGTCAGTCGCCCTTTACGACAAGCATGGGTTGCTCAGGTGTAGCCATGTGGTAAAAGCAATCGACCCAGGTCTGACCCAGATTTATTCCATGTGTACACCCTGTCTAGCAGTATCATCACAGTGGTAGCTACACTGCTGGAGTCGGTTAATACCGCGCCTCACTCACTCATAGCTGACTCCAGTTCTATAAATAACTGACATATAAGTGTGCCTATATATGGAGAGTTGAGAATAGCGGAGTTAACTCTGTTGTGCGAGTAATATTTACAACAGGTTCGAAGTACGCTGTACACGGGTGAGTAGGCGACAGGTGACATTTTCAACCTTTATTGGTTCTCATATCACTATAATCAGAGGTACATGGAATGCTGCATCTCTAAACTGTTTGTGTGGAAATAGTATATTTACTGTAGACTTCCATGTCTCAATGACTGGTCGCGAGTTGATACCTGTGAAAACACGTGAATTGATGGGCCAGGACGTGACATTACCTTGCGCGGTGATATTCTGATATACCTATAACATTATTTTACAATGTGTGTGTTGGCCACATCTTGTCGTAGACGGTGTGTCCTGTACACAGCGCAAAGGATGTAACAAGTCCATAATTTGCGTCGGATGGAGCAGTTAATCAAGGGAGGTAACTGTGAAAGAAGTAGTCATAAAATACCACGTTATCAGGCATTATGTACATTCCATTATACAATTACAAGTGAATAAGGGGTAATTGTTTTATTACGCTTTATCAGTGAATCTGACTATGCCAGAGTAAGATAAGGGGTACCATGGTTAGTAGAGTTGTGATCGAATCCTGGTCGTTGTCAAGGTGAGCCAACACTTTAGCCACAAATAACCGTCAGTATGTAGTGACACCTTAGTGTGGGTAATGACTCAATCGTGTGGCAATTGCCATCAAGGGAGGCTGTGACACTATAAGGAGGCTAATGTCACTATAAGGAGGCTAATGTCACTATAAGGAGGCTAATGTCACTAAAGAGATAATGACCACAGAAAGGCGAGTGAAACCATAGGGTGAGGTGAAGTAAAAGTGGCTTCAATGTCGCGTCCAAGATTATTGCACTTGTATAAACGACGTGCGTGCACGTGTGTGTTTGTGTGTGGCTCCTTGTACGTGTCGGACATGCCGATTATATAGTGCTAGCCTACTGAGATACCATGCCTCAGCTTTACATGAATGCGTCACTCAGACACAGTATATACTGACTCCGAGCCGACCACTCATTGCTGTAGCCCCTTGATACCGAGCGACAGGCAGGGTAACAACAAGTATCATGTCTTTTGGCATGACGCGGCCGGGGATCGAAACCCCGACCTTCCGCTCTCCGTACAGACGCGCTATACCTAAAGACCACGGAGGCGGTCGACACCATATGGAAGCTAATGACACCATATAAGGCTAATGACACCATAGGAAGACAAGTGACATTTAGATATAGGCTAGTGACACCATAGGCTTGCGACTTACATCAGGGAAGCGAGTAGCACGATTGGTGGCTAGATGCACCATAGGGGGGCTAATGCCACCACAGGGAGGCTAATGACACCACAGGTAGGCTAATGACACCACAGGGAGGCTAATGACACCTGAGTTGGACAATTGATGGAGGGGCACCATAGCGGGATAGTGACATAGTAGGAGCCTGTTGTATGTTGTGATTCAGAAATGGCATAACCATTACGTCATAGTGACCTTGTGTATGTTTCAGCACCTGTAGTGTTACACTAAAGCACCCGTGGGAGCTACGATGGAGCCATCCCCCTCGTCGTTGCCCGACCACATTGTGGTCCAGATACTGTCCTACCTCAGTCGGGAAGACAGATCCAGAGCGGGCAGAACCTGCACGGACTGGCAGCGCTGTTACAGATGCCCCCAGCTGTGGTACACCTCCACCTTCAACTTCCAGCAACCTCACGACGGCCGATGTCTTCCGTGGCTCGACCAGTATGCCAAACACATGAGGACCGTGCGAATCCAGTTAAACCAGCATGAGACGGAGAACAGAGCCAATGCGTGCACAGCTCTCCATAAACTGTGCCACGCAGAAGAAAGAAGGTTGACATCATTGCGCATAAAGTTCACGGGGGAAAATCCGCTGTTTTACGCTGGCCAGGAGTTTGTAGATGAGCTAAAAACTTTGTTTGGGTGTCGAATGGAATCCCAGAAAGTTCAGTTCCGCCACATAGACCTAAGCGGAATATCTGTAGCATATGATGATAGTGTATTTGATGTTTTGTCTGAGAACAACCCACAGCTTGAATCTTTAAATATTCTGAACGGGAACCTCGTGTGCAAGATCTCACCTGAGTGTGTTCAGAGGCTTGTACAAAGGTGTAGAAAACTCACCGACCTCCGCCTGTTCCACTGCAGTATGTCGGATAGCGTTCTCTCATCGTTAGCGGAGGCCGAGCGCGAACCACTGAAGCATCTCGCTATTCTGTGCAGAAGGGAACAGAAATACATTCAAGACTTGACGTCAGAGGCCTGGTCCGAACTGGTCAAGCAGTGTCCACAGCTGAGGGTCGTGCTTGGATTTGACCACACGTGTCCGCTGCGCATGGTTGCTGTAATACTGAAGTCAGAAATCCCAGTAGTAGAGCTTCGTTTGGAGACCTTTACATACATCTACGACGAGGTGAACCTGGCAGCCAGCTTCTACAGCAAGACACTGGAGAAGGTGGTGCTTCAGACAAGGAACTCTCCTCAACTCGGAGACTCTCTCATCAACTTGGGGACCAGGTGTCAAAGGCTGACGTCACTGTTGGTGTACTGCGTGCTGGAGAAGACGGTGGTGGACAAGATCCTGGCACTCTGTCCTGACATGAAGGAGAAGGGCACGTACATCCTCAAGTGGGAACAGGAACCGGAACCTTGGGTTGTAGGCGTAGAAGAAGGGGACTAAGTATATGTGTTCACCGCCCCCTCATCACATCTAACGAAGGAGTCTGTGACGGATGGACAATATTCAGAAACAAATTCTTCAGTAATTTCCTATCACAAACGCTAAACACACCGACTGCATGTGTCATAATTTGAATTGAGGAGGATGTGACCCCAAACGTTTGTTCATGTCGGACGCCAGTTGAACAAAAAGACTATTTTCCACAATGAGAGAACATGCTTAATGCATATTAAATGAGCACCAGCTGTAATTAATTATATGTGTATATAATCGAAAACGCTTAACACATCGACTGCATATGTCAAAATGTGCATATCCGGAATTGAGGAGGATGTGTATATCATCGCAAACAAATCATGATTTCTTTTCATCTCTATTTGAAAGTTTTCTATTGTATGTTTGATGCTGATTTCCCATTGTAAAGGACAACGATATGATCATCCAACTTTATCCTCGCGTTTCACAGCAACTCTGATTCAAAATCGTTGAAACGAATGCTAGCGTACATCCTCGTCTACCCAGTGTATTGTATCTCCATTCTGATATGATCATTACCCTGGAGTTCCGTGAAGATTTCGGGTTAGAATTGGTCTTCAACAACCCATGCTTGACATCATGAGTATCGATCTACGCATTTGGGATACGATCACATGCATCAACCAAGGCAGTTAGCCTGACCACCCGATACTGTTAGTCGCCTCTTTCGACAAGCATAGTCGCCCTTTACGGCAAGCATGTGTTGCTCAGGTGTAGCGGATAATGTGGTGAAAGCAATCGACCCAGGTCTGACCCAGATTTATTCTATGTGTACACCCAGTCTAGCAGTATCATCACAGTTTACAAGTAGAGTCGTCTCTTACGACAAGCATAGTTGCCTTTTACGACAAGCTTAGTCGCCTTTTACAAGCATAGTTGCCTCTTACGACAAGCATAGTCCCCTTCTACGAAAAGCATGGTCGCCTTTTACAAGCATAGTCGCCTTTTACAAGCATAGACACAGCTTACGACAAGCATAGTCGCCTTTTACGAAAAGCACAGTTGTCTTTTACAAGCATAGTCTCAGCTTACGACAAGCATAGTCGCCTTTTACGACAAGCATAGTCGCCTTTTACAAGCATAGTCTCAGCTTACGACAAGCAAAGTCGCTCTTACGAAAAGCACAGTCGCCCTTTACAAGCATAGCCGCCTTTTACAAGCATAGTCTCAGCTAACGACCAGCATGGTCGCCTTTTACAAGCATAGTCGCCTTTTACGACAAGCATAGTCGCCTTTTACAAGCATAGACTCAGCTTACGACAAGCATAGTCGCCTTTCACAAGCATAGACTCAGCTAACGACAAGCAAAGTCGCTTTTACGAAAAGCACAGTCGCCTTTTTCAAGCATAGTTGCCTTTTACAAGTGCATAGTCTCAGCTTACGATCAGCATGGTCGCTTTTTACAAGAAAAGTCGCTTTCACGAAAAGCATAGTTGCCTTTTACAAGCAAAGTCACAGCTTACGACAAGCATGGTCGCCTTTTACGGCAAGTGTCTTCAAGGGGAGGTGGCGAATGGCTTCAGTATATACTTTATACTATAGTATACAATACAATGGAGCTATGACACACTGAGTAACCGAGGATGGTTATCTTGCTGTATAAGATATCAGTATGTATTAAACAGATGAAATGTAACAGATTGTATGTATGTTGCAATGGGTTCACCTTTTTTCCTTGTTATATTTTTAATAAAACTCGCAAATGATATCGTACATTATTAGTTGTGAATTATCTTGCACAATTTGCCGATAGCTGTGCAAAGTTTCGGACACCTCATGGATCCGACTATCTAAACTTCCCATCCGTATTATCAGAATTCCGGATGAGAATATGTCTGGCAGAGTACCCCATGCTTGCCAGGGCCGACAAAACAATAGAATTAGGTCAGGTTGTATGACGTGGCTGATTGAATGTCATCGTGCCCAGGTGGGATGGTCAGACTGTATGACAAAGCTAATGAATGTCATCGTGCCCAGATGGGATGGTAATACTGTATGACTTAGCTGATTGAATGTCGTTCGTGCCCAGATGGAATGGATCGTTGCTCATACTTTTAGTCACCGGTTTTTGTGGTTTGGCCGTAGTATACATCTGGGATCCTCCCTCCCTCCAGCCCTCCCTCCCTCCCTCACTCACTCACTCACTCGCTCGCACCAAACGTACCACCCAAACATACTTTCAATTCCAGTAATAAAATCCCTTGCGGTATACGGTCAATGGTGGCTGACGGGAAGGACGGCATCGCATTCAAGATTCACGGGTGCCCCACTGGCCTGCGACACAATAAATACATTGGGCAGAGTTGCCATCCATTGCCAGGATCCGCACGCCAGATTTACCCCGATTATGATCCCTGATTTGTTGGCATTATAGCCATACTCATTGGTTTTACAAGAAAGGTAACTTTGGGCTTCCCGCCAATGTCTACTTGAGCCGCATCATCACTGAAAAGAATGCTGAAATTGTCATTAAACTCCACCCACTCCAATAATAACGACGCCTGCCTTCAAGATTAACCTGAAGGACCGACCTTTTGATACTCTGGGGTTGGCCTGGGATATAACAAAAATATAATTGTTTCCATAAAGAAAGTGGGATAAAATCATTAATCCTCAGATGTTACCACAGAAACTCAATTGTTTATTAGAAATTCTGGGTGCGCTGTGTTGTTGTTTTTTTGTATGGGTCCTCCTTTCAAAAACAAATATTTTGCGTGTGACCGAAAATAATATTGTTTTTCTGACACAACATCCCAGAAGCTTCTACGCCAACCTCCACATTATCAATGAGAGAATACATGACGTAAAACTAGACATTGCGTCTCCAGAATATGAGAGTGACAATTTCATAATAAGTCACATGGAGGGTTTCCTATGCCAATCATAGATAGTTCTTTATGCCAATCACAGATAGTTTCATATGCCAATCACATAGTTTCATATGCCAATCACAGATAGTTCCATAAAGCAACCACAGAAGGTTCCATATAGCAATCGGAGATAGTTTAATATAGCAATCGGAGATAGCTTTATATAGCAAACAGAGATAGTTTCATACAGCAATCGTAGATAGTTTCATACAGCAATCGTAGATAGTTTCATATAGCAATCGCAGATAGATTCATATAGCAATCGGGGATAGCATCATATAGCAATCGGAGATAGTTTCATACAGCAATCGTAGATAGTTTCATACAGCAATCGTAGATAGTTTCATATAGCAATCGGAGATAATTTCATATAGCAATCGGGGATAGCATCATATAGCAATCGGAGATAGTTTCATACAGCAATCGGAGATAGTTTCATATAGTAAACGGAGATAGATTCATATAGCAATCGGGGATAGCATCATATAGCAATCGGAGATAGTTTCATACAGCAATCAGTGATAGTTTCATACACCAATCGGAGATAGTTTCATACAGCAATAGGAGATAGTTCCATACAGCAATAGGAGATAGTTCCATACAGCAATAGGAGATAGTTTCATATAGCAATCGGAGATAGTTTCATACAGCAATAGGAGATAGTTTCATATAGCAATCGGAGATAGTTTCATACAGCAATAGGAGATAGTTTCATACAGCAATAGGAGATAGTTTCATACAGCAATAGGAGATAGTTTCATATAGCAATCGGAGATAGTTTCATACAGCAATAGGAGATAGTTTCATATAGCAATCGGAGATAGTTTCATATAGCAATCGGAGATAGTTTCATATAGCAATCGGAGATAGTTTCATACAGCAATAGGAGATAGTTCCATAGTTCCACATGTCAAACCCTCATTGTCCCAATGACCTATTTCTGAAACAATGGAAATCCAAGGACTCACAAAAATGTTCATTTGCTATAAAGTCAGCATTAAATGATTCACTACTATTACTTAGACTGTTATAGAAGTCATAAGTATTCATTAATACCTGTGGTATCCAATATTCTATTAGTAGAAAGTTATGTTTTATTAACAGGGGACAGCCAGTCAATCCATTTTCTCAAGGCCCTTATATGTGCAAATTTATGCGAATCAGATACCCCTATATGGACAATCTCCTCGAGTATCTCGAGAACGGCTAACAGTATCATCTCGGCCTGTAACCCTTAGAACGAACATGCATAAAGGCTGTCGCAGTGGCGGAGAAAGCAGCTGTCGTTCACATTGAAATCCCGTTCCCGGGACCTGTTGGTAATCCTATACCCATTCAACAGTGACGTGGGCCGTGTGTGTGCTTGTACACAGACATACATTACGGTAAGTTACAGGGACCATCCACGCTATCGTCGTTGTCATATTCGCCCTTGGACGCGTGGCCCACCCGCTGTCCTATATTACGCGGTGACCATGGCATGCATGGCTTGAGCGTACTAAATTGCTTCCTCGTTGTAACACGTACGTCAGGTATTGACATGCGAGGGAAACGATTCCGAGATGAATGGAATGCCTTCCATTATTGACTTTGTATGAATATGTGACGATAATGCCTTTACAAGCAATGTCTATTATCTGTATATGGCCCCACCCGTCGCAGGTACATGTAGTATGCGCGAAGCCGCAAAGGGAGATAACCGTTAGGAGGACCGTTTATTCCAAGTGCATGTCCCACTGTTGTTCAAGTCTCATCTAAATTGCAATTAAACTAATTTTGTCTTTGAAAGGCATTTAGAAGTGATACACATCAGGAAAAGAATATATGGATGTCAACTTCTTTGTTATGAGGAACACAACGTTTCGGAGTATTCAGGTGAATGATGAAGGAGTAAGCATGTACTCCGAAACGCTGTGTTCCTCATAATAAAGAAGTTGACATCCTTATATTCTCTTCCTTAAACTAATTTTGTTTCATTTTAGCTCACCTTGCCATCTTTAATGTAGACGATATTATAAAATTCTTCTCCACATTACTCCATGTCGGTCGTCATATAGTCCTGCACCACTACTGCGAAATATCTCCATATTATTTAATCAAAATCAATCTACATTATCTAAAATTGGTAAGGCTCGCTATCCTTGTTCCACCACCATATTTAGCATCATAATTTTGTTTTTTATGTCAGGCATATGTACAAGGATTTCCCTATTTAGGCCCACCTGTAATTACGCTCATAGGCCTAAAAACGGAAATAGTTCCGTATATAATTCGGATATATGTTTTGGAGTGATCCTCCATTTACTTAATAACTTACTCCTTTCGAAAGATAATAATACGTGGCGATGCACTACACGAGACAAATCCTAATGTGCATTCAACGGTAAGTCCGGTTCAAAGTTAAAATTCAAGTTTCATATTTTCATTAGTTAAAACAACTTAACAATTTCTGATATTTACAGCAAATGTTGTCCCTAAAACAATAGGAAGAACATGTCATTTTAATTCTAAACGAAACATTGGCGTACGTTTATCATATTCCCAAATATATTCCTTCATCGATCTCAAATGTGTTTATTGGTAGCATGACCTGTTCATTATAAAACACCACATTATTCAGTCATACCCGTTTGGGTATCATGACATCTAACGCTCAATTTTTCACCATTACAGCGCCTGCAATGGACAACGTATCATGGGACACACTGCCAGATCATGCCATCATTACAATAATGTCCTACCTCAGCCTGGAAGACAGAGCCAGGGCGTGCAGAACCAGCACAGCCTGGCAGCGTTGCTACAGATGCCCCCAGTTCTGGCACACCACCACCATCAACTTCCAGCAACCTCACGACGGCCGATGTCTTCAGGGGCTCGACCAGTATGCCAAACACATCAGGACCGTGCGAATCCTGTTAAACCAGCGTGAGGCGGAGAACAGAGCCAATGCATGTAAAGCCCTTTATTTGCTCTCCCACGTCGAGGGAAGCCAGTTGATGAAGTTGTGTATTGAGTTCACGGGAGACAACCCTCTCTTCTACAATGGCAAGGAGTTTGTAGATGCTTTGAGAGCGTTGTTTGACCGTCAGACAGACTCTGTTATTTGGCAACTGAAACACGTACAGCTTAGTGGACTGGCAGTGTCGTACGACAACACTGTTTTTGACCTATTGTCGGAAAACAACCCCCAACTGCAATCTCTAGATATCAGTAATAATGTTCGTATTTGCAAAGTACCTCCTGATTGTATGGAAAGACTTGCAGATAGATGCAGGAGTCTAACACATCTGGCACTTTTCCATTGCAGCCTCACTGACCAAGTTCTGGAAGCTTTAGCTCAAACCGACCGCGCTCCTCTGGACTATCTTAGTATCACGTGTAGATGGGAACAAGCATATATAGGGGACCTGTCATCTGAAGCTTGGACACATCTTACCACCAGGTGTCCGAATCTTAGAGTACGTTTGACTTTTGCTGATACATGTCCTTTGCATAAGATTGCTGTAATAATGAAGCCGGAAATACCAGTTGTAGAGCTTCGCTTCGAGAACGCTAACTTCTTCAACGACGAGGTGAATCTAGCAGCCAGCTTTTACAGAGTTGTGCTGAACTCGGAGACTCTCTCATCAACTTGGGCACCAGGTGTCAAAGGCTGACGTCACTGTTGGTGTACTGCGTGCTGGAGAAGACGGTGGTGGACAAGATCCTGGCACTCTGTCCTGACATGAAGGAGAGGGGAACGTATGTCCTTAAGTGGGAACCAGATCCGGAAGTCAACTGAAATGAAAGGAACGATAACCGCTTCGTTTACCTGTATGGGACAAGTTTTCTTAAGTAAGACCAACTGTCATTGTTTCACAGAGCGTTGGGGGTAGATATGTGGTTAAAGCGTTCGCTCGTCACACGGGGTTCTATTTCCCACATCGGTACAATGTGTGAAACGTATTTATGTTGTCTCCCGCAGTGATATTGCTTGAATGTGGATAAAAGCGGTGTGAAAAACAGGCTCACTCCTTGTTTCACATATTTGCAAATAATGAAGACACAGAGTAAAACATTGGTTACACACGTGGGACGTCCTGCCTTGTAAATGAGTTCTTGAGTTCCTATGCTTTAACGCTACTTTTATCAGTCTTTACGTTATCGCAGTCTTTAGGTTAATAATTGTGTCAGGAAAGCCCCTAAATAATCATCACAAACATTAACGCAACCACGGTTGGGAAGTGAATCAAGAATTCGAAACCACAAGGCGGTTTCCTATCCATAGATGAAACTGGTCCAACTATCAACAACCCAATCACACGAACCCTGACATACAAAGTTATGGCTCCGAAGCATGATTGAATGAATGACGGGCATTAAAAGAACTGCTCTGCCCAATTCTATGCCAACAATATACCTGTACTACACCATGTTCAAGGTTACTTGACATCCTTCATTAAAACCTGAAACATGGTCAATGTTAAAAGGGACCATAACATTCGGTAAGGGAGAAGTCACTGGAATGTGTTGATTCCGGAAGTAGAATCAACAATGCTCAAAGGGGCAATTTGATTCTGCTTTCGGAATCAACAGATTCCAGTGATTTCTCTGACGTAAACCATGTTTAAATATGGTTGGTGTTTTATTTCTCTAGTGTTGCATAATGGCCTATAGTTGTGTCGGTTTAACTTCTTTAAACGCACGTTTAGAATAGCCAGTCAATTCCTCATTAAGAATCAACTACAAGAACAGTATCGTGATGTCATCAACTGTAAGAACAATAGCATTTGGGTATAACATGGGTATAGCTTTAGTTCAGATAATTATACATGTACATTTGAGAAGATCTTTTCCCAGGTTTTAGCAAGTAAAGCCGGCACCTCTTTTAAACCTTATTTGCCTAGATACCACAGATAGCCCAGTTTGACTTAGTTGGTGCATGTATGAGGTGGAAAATCAAGTCTCTTATACGATTCTTAACCTATTCGTAACTTCGCATTCTGCCAATCAACAACTTTAGAATCTTGCCCAGCTGGGCAACACCACCAGTAGAGATGTTCTAGCTTCACAACCTCAATGACGCCAATAAAGCAATTGTCCAAGAAAAGGACAAATTCATCAGGTCTAGTACTTAGTCAAAGTACCCGTGGTGTTTCTGGGGCAGAATATGTGAGAAATGAAGTATGAGGATCGTGAGGCTCCAGTGTCTGACCTGGCTGATCGTGAGTCATCATGCCCCGAAGGCGTGGATCGTGTACCATGCGGTCAACAACCGGTCTGCCTGGCCTCGGCTGGATTACGTACAAGCTGCTCACTCAGGCATTATTAGGCACCTACAACGTTTCAAGAATGGTTATTGAATCTTGGAATACTTCGCACCATATGCAGTGGATCATTAAATAGAATCATAGCAATATTTCAACTGTATGACGGCGGTCTGTAAACAACCGAGTCCGGACCAGACAATCCAGTAATTGATGTCATGTGCATCGATCCATGCAAATGGGATACGATGACATGCATCAACCAAATCAGCGAGCCTGACCACCCGATCCCGTTAGTCACCTTTTACCACAAGCATCGGTTACTGAAGACCTGTTCTACCCCGGATCTTCACGGGGATATATCACCCTCATTGAAACCGGTAGCACTGTGGGAATGCGAATTGTTTACAATGTTATACATCTTCAGTTGTACTACCTTTTGAAAATGAATAAATGCCGGTGATTTTATGATTCAACTTTAAAGATGTTTGTATCTGAAGTGACCCAGGTCCTATGGAAAAGTATTGTGTTTGATCGTGATTAAAGCATACGGCGGTTTCCCATGACCAAGTTCCATTGCTTTTTTGCTGAGATAGCATGCTGTGGTTTAACATGAATACCCAACTCATACACGGTATACTGGCTCATAGCCGACCAGTCCCTGTTTTAGCCCCTATATGCCAAGCGCGGCAACAAAAAATACCATATTTTAACGTTTTTGACGCAGCCAGGATCGAACCCCCAACCTCCCATCCCCGGGCGGATGCTCTACCACTGGACCACGGAGGCGGTCTTAAAAAAAAGAGTCCATTCACAATGAAAAAGTGACTATACCAGGTGTTCTCGAAAAGGGGAAAGCATATCCAGCTCAACCGGTGGCATCTGTCACAAACACATACAAAGGCAAGTAAATTGTTCACCTGACAAAATATGAAAAACATGGTACAAGCAAGGCAAAATATGGGACTGCATCAGACATAATTTTGTCACTGTCGCATCCGATGCGGAAATGTCCTCCACATGTCTACCATAAAACTTTTTGAAAGATAAGTTTAGGCCTTGAATATCCCCCCCAAAAAGCTGCAAAATTGCGGAGGCGATATTCTTCAATATTCACTCACTTGTTGACTATAAGGTCCTTTTAATTATAATGGTCCTCAAAGAACCCCATTGGCTATCAGTAAGGGAGAGAATCATGTTCAAGATGTTGGTATTTGTCAACAAATTCTTCCATGGTCTGTCTCCAGTGTACCTACAAGAACTTACAAGGTTTTATACCCTGAAGATCCAGGTTAGAATTGGTCTTCAGAAACCCATGAGGCAACTATGATTGTCTTAAGAGTCAGTATCGGGTGTTCAGGCTCCCTGACTTGGTTCATGTATGTCATCGCAACCCAATTGCATTGATTGATGCGCATGATGTCCACTGGATTGTCTGGTCCAGACTCGATTATTTACTGACCGCCATCACATAGCTAGAATATTGAGTATGTCGTTAAACAACAAGGCTCTACCCGCCTGAACAGGCATTGTGATCTGGTGGTAACAACAGATGGTGGTTCCACCGGCCCTGACAGCAACATATGGACACAGAACCTGTAGCAGAGCTGGCGCTGATCGATGGAATGAGCTTCCAGTGGGTGTCAGCAGCTTCAACTCAACCCTCCAGACCATCTTCCTCAGCATATGACGGAGCACTCTTGAGCAGGATATCTGGACAAGATGCGCTATACAAATGTACAATTTATTAGAAGGAGATGTGTGTTTTTTCAACAGTTGATACATCTGATGTGACATTGATGATTATATTTATTTATCACTGAGCCAGTATGGTAATGCCCATTCCAATGCAAAGCCAGAAGTTGCAATTGTGTACACAAAGAGAAGTGCATATTACACACTCACTCACTCACTCACTCACACACTCACACACACACACACACACACACACACACAAATAACACTTCCTGACAATACCATGCATAACAAACAAACAGGAATGTGAAAAGCAATATTTATTTCTTGTCATTGTTTCGTTTCACACCAATCAACAGAGGGCATCTGTCCAGCTAATGTCCATTGTGTCAAAGACTCTGTCAACAGGGGCACACACTTCAGGACATCAGCTCTTGTAACAGGTCTCTGATTACTCACATATTAAAAATATACCTTTTGAATAACATTACATGTATAAACAATTCCTCAGAAAGTGAATAAGCGTGAGCCATGTTCTGGGAGTGGAGCAGCCTGCAGTAATGAGCAAAGGTACATGCATGAGCACACCTTACCAATATCAAGGAAGCATCACTGACAACAGGGGCTATGTACAGTCAACTTACCATTTACATTTCTTACTGCCTAATGTGACCCTAAGTCAGCATTTTGCATCCTCCCTACTATTATGACATCTCATTTTCTACCAGATCTAAACCAGACTGCCACATCTTTCTGGTTCTGCCAACAAAGGGAGCAATGTCAGCCAACAAAGGATGTAATCGTCTATATTATATATTAATATAGCTCACTACCATTGACCAACAAAGGGAGGTAATCCACTGACCTGTCAGCCAACCAAACGATGTAATCTACTCGTAAAACTCCAGCAATGTCGGCCAACAAAGGATGTAATCGTCTATATTATATATGAATATAGCTCACTACCATTGACCGACAAAGGGAGGTAATCTGCTGACCTGTCAGCCAACCAAATGATGTTATCTACTCATAAAACTCCAGCAATGTCAGCCAACAAAGGATTTAATCGTCTATAGCTCACTACCATTGACCAACAAAGTGAGGTAATCTGCTGACCTGTCATCCAACCAAACGATGTAATCTACCCCTACAACTCCAGCAATGTCAGCCAACAAAGGATGTAATCGTCTATAGCTCACTATCATTGGCCAACAAAGGGAGGTAATTCACTGACGCCTTCCCTGTGCCATCAGCAAATAAAGGGAGATAAGGTACTAAGTGATAAGCACTTACTTCACTATGTACGTGGCTACTCTAAATGGGCATGGCTAAAATGGACATTTCTTTAACATATCAAGCAAAACTAACTTGGCACTGCTAAGTGCAGGCCTTCAATCTTCCTCAAATGTCAAGCAGAAAAGCTACAAAAAATATCACAATGGTGTCTCCAGTGATCAAAATGCCCTCAAGGATAAATCTGCATGTGTCTGTGCCAAAACATAACTCCATAATTCCTGCCTTGTTTGATAAGCATGGAAACTGGGTTTTTATAGTCCCTTGCCTCAGGAAGATGCAATCTGGTCTGATATTTATCTACTTGACATTCATTGTGCTCCATGTTCAATATGAATATTTTAAAATGGTGTGTAGTTTCTTCGATATTTCTGGAAAATTACTTGATGTCTGATGTCAAAGCATGACAATGTATACACGGTACACAGTACAGAAAATGTGCTCAGTCCCGACTTCATTTTGTATAGACAAAGTGCTCAATGCTTAGTTCACTTTGGAATATATGTCTTCCAATTTTTGCCATACCTATTTGATTAGCCCTAACACATACATCAATCTCACAAGTCTTCATTTGATTCCTGACTAATGCTCTGCATTGGTTTTAGAATGTCTGAATGTGTCTTAAGCATGGACACTGTCAGCCAATGCACCAATTACAAAACCTAGCTATAACATTTCAGTTCCTGGCAATGCAGAATTGCCACCTACTATATACCTCCTTCTCCATATGTCATTCAGGTAAGTTGACAGAATATGTGATGGTCACATCATGTTTTCATATGTGCCATATATACATACAAATTCAATTCAATTCATTAGTTTCTCTATACTTTACTTGGAAGTTAAATTCATATTTTAAAACTTAAAAGGCATGCTACAAAAATGACTAATGAAGATGTAGAACTATCAAATTAACATGGGATTCAAACAATGTCATATGTATGCTCATGTTTTCCTTACAACTCATTCTCCCTCAGATCAGTATCAAAGGGGCACCACTCCAGACAGATCAACCAATGCCATAGTGATCATGGTAACCCCATAGCATTCACGTATCATGGCCTTGCCTATACATACTAAATCCAGCAAGGCGAGATGACCTAAACAACATGTCTTTCCTATTTCAGACCATCCCAAAATAGCCAATGTAAGTCCGTTTTTGTGGGTGTTTTCCTTTGAAAACAGTAATTTGCAGTGTGTCAGTAAAATCCTGTTTTAAAATGAAAATAATGACTGGTTTGACTAAAGAGATGAGCAGCAAATTAACTCTTGTGACATAAAATATGGACAATACCAGGATTGTTTTAATAGCTTTGGTGCCACTTCAAAAGAACACGAAAAACGGTTTAGGGTCGAAGGCTCCAGATGAGGGTCACCAGGAACACACCTAGTTTAGTCTGGACTGATGACAGCAAGGTCAGATTTTGAATAGTCCTAATGCAGGCAAGATATGTTATTTGCAATATGAACATTGGGGGGCAGAAGGTTCTGACTGAATCATATGGGAGTAACAATATTAATATCAATGCATTTGATTTCAGATACTTCTAAAATATACTATACTAAAGCATGTGAAGACCTATATTTCAGTGAGGACTACTCTCAGGAGGGCGATTACTGAGGTGTGAGTGACACAAGGCTTTTCAGTGCCTGATCTATGGGGCGTAGGGGGAGAGGCTGGTGGAGAGGGTGACTTCATGTGGTCCAACCCCCTTGCTTTCAAAAATGACAAATCCCACCCCCCACCCAACAAATATACCTCTGTATTATTGAAAGTCATGTGACTTCATCAAAATGACGTGCCAATCTTGACTCCCCACCCTTTAAAAAGTCCTGGATCTGCCTGTTTTTTGTTGTCTATACCTCAATGTTTCCAGGGTTCAATCATCCAACAACTTCTAAATAAGTTTTCTATCTCCTAGACTACATGTTACACCTACAGGTATGCTCTCACTGCATGTACTACTCTGTCAGATACACCAGCACTTGTGACCACCCAACTGTTGTAGCTCTCACTGCATATATATTTCCTTGTCACAAATACACATGGGCACCAAATTCTGTTTTGTAATATAAAAAAGGTTTAAAATTTCATAAAACACTAAAAACTAATGAAAAGCTTTCATACACTGAGAATAGGATATGAAAAGTTCAGTGCATCAATGGATTAATAAAATCCTGAATTCCCAAATAACTATTCGTGTTACTGGCTTTATCAGGAGTCCAAATAGCACCAACACTGATAAAACTATTGGTAGATGAAGTGTATAGCCATAAACAGAAGATAAAACTGATTATTTCCTTATTACAAAGAATGTGCTTGTTTGAGTGGCTGGGAGTTTATCAGTTATACAAAGGATATTAAAGTATTAGTGGATTAAATGTTCACCCTTAAACACACGTTTAACATAGAGAGGTTAAGCGTTTACACCACCAGGGTGAGCCACAAGGAGCTCGTCAGAGAGAATGAGTGAGTGAGTGAGCGAGTATGGTGTTACGCTGCTTTTAGCAACATTCCAGCAATATCATGGCAGGGGATGCCAGAAATGGGCTTCACACATTGTACCTATGACTGTAATCAAACAAGGGCCTTCGGCCTGACGCTTAACCACGAGGATTCCCCACCATCTCTTGGCCGAGAAATTGGGGTATTCTGTGATTCAGACCTCAAGTTCTGTAGGTGCAAGTGATGGATTGAAAGAATAGCTAAACTTAACCCTGATGTCATTGCCTCTGTTTGCTCAATGGTATGTGACAATGAAGACCTTATTCAATGGTAAGGCGAAGCGAAAGAGCTAACTCAATGGTATGTCATCGTGCAAGTGATCACTTGGTGGCAATATGTTCCGACGGTGCTTCATTTGACATGGCTATATACAACCTGGAATGTACTGGAAAGTTCACAGAACAATACCGTTTAGTTTATATACAAAGTTTAAAAAAACAACCAATAACAACATAGAAATGCCTATTTTTCCATGAACCTTGTTAATGTAATGTTTGCACCTAGCACCCTTCGTCAAGTAATGTGCCATTTAACAAAACGCAGGGTTGCTTCACACTGAATGGTATAACAGGCAGATACTTCTATGTACAGAATTCTATAAAAAATAACAACCTTGTGACAAACTGCTGAAGAAGACACATTTACATACACAGGATCGCTGGGAACGCTTTCACACCAGGAAATATAGCCATACTTGAAGGCTTTGAGGAACGCCCAGTGTGCGAAATAGCTGCCTGCCTGCTAGCCCATGGCTAGCAAAATATCCGTCAGGGTAAACATTCTCGACTGGCTACTGAAATTTTAATGGAGATTTTGTTAAGCACAGTTATCCCCTGTCTGTATATCAGTATAACCATCAATCGTAATGAATTGATTTTGCGAGGTTACGAGCTCAGAGTTACCCCCCTTCAAAATAGTCGACTCAGATTTGCAATTTGGTTAACTTCATTGATACTTTTGCAGAATCAAATTTCAGAGTAAATAAGCTGTCACTTATTTAAGCTTGTGAAATTTGAAACTGACTAGTAACTTTTAAGGCTAGCTGGCGCACCTGGCCAGCAATAATTTGAGACCATTTCACACACTGGGAACACCTTCACATTACTCGAGTCTCACGAAACACAGTCACTCGCTGGGTCTTTAACACTTTCACAAAAAAAAGGGCAGAGGGATTACATTCATACTAAAAGAACTTGAAAGATCACATTCACACAAATGGGCATAAAGGATTATATTAATATATATCAGTCTTGAAGGATCACAATCATATTAAAATGTCATGAACAATCACATGCTCACTAAAAGTTTTAGGAACACATTCATACCACAGGGGCTTAAACAGGTTGAACAATCCCACTAACACTATAGTGCTAGTCTCTCAAGGAAACACATTCACATCACAGGGCTTTGAACAGGTTGAACATTCAAACCTTAAAGGCCTCAAGAACTGCTTTCACGCATATATACAATTACAAGAAACACTTTAACACATACAGGATTGCAGGAAACTTTCACATGTAGAGGACCTAAGGCAACACTTCTTGCTTTCATGGTTTTCAGGTTGTTTTTTAACCTTTCTTAGGTTTAAATATAAATAAAATATACTGGTGTATCTCAATATTTTTGTGAGCATTAAGTTCACTGTCTTCATCAGTTTAGTCAGTAACAATAATTGCTAAATCTGCTTAAAGTGCAAGGTGTTTACTGCATTGTATAGTAACATGTATATGTAGTATCACTGTGAGAGATGGCATTGTTCTCTTGATAAAAGTGTTTGCAATTGGCAGAAACTATATACAATATATTTAAGCAACTATTATAAATAAAATATTTGCAGTAATGTTTGAATTTAGTAATTTATCATTGTCAAAAAATGCATCTAAATTATTTCCTATCATTTTCTGATTGTTGCTTTTGGTCAAATCCAAAAAACCCAAAAGAGAAGTGCTGCCTAATTTTGGAATGTCTGAGGGAAGGACACAATATCAACCACAAGGTGGTGTTTGGAAGGGGATGGCTGGAGTGGAATGTCTCCTATTGCATAGCTATCCGACTTGCACTCATATCGGCAAACAATGCTTGCCATAGAAAACATCTCAAATCATGTTCTATTGCATGAGGTCGTTGACAGCCCCTGGAGATAAAAGCTCAAACAGTTGATGGATTGTACATACGAGAGCAGGCTGGGTCCCTTCCACTAGGCGATCGTAACGCAACGACAGTCGTATGTCTATGTTAAAGTATGGGAGCTACGATAACCTTAGCACTACGATAGCTTTGTTGAACGGACCCTAGGTCTTCAGCAGGGGCACATTATTTGAGTCAGCCTAAGATCCCAGGCAGAAGGGGCAATCGACAATGGATGTACTACAGCTCAATCTAATAAATAAAGCTAATATTTGCAAACTATGAGTCGAGTTATACAGACATGCCCAGGCTAGAAGTAAGATGTCTACATAAGATAAATAACGCTTATTAAGGCAGTGGCATGTGACAGTGCTATGGTCAACACAGACTTGATGATAAGCCACAACTGTTCCACAAGAAAGGATATATGCATTCAACAACTAAAACTTCAATGACATGGCGCAACTTAAATAGTTCAAGCATGATACTGTAGACAATGTAGTGAAGGCCTAATCACCAGATTTCATCTGATGACAAAATGTAATGGTAATCTGTGACTATTTCTTGAATAACACAAAAAATTCTGCAAATAAAATATTCACATTGATTCTCCATCAGTGTGACGCCATTTGTACGCTGTACTGGAAACCGTTCTCCTGGTTCAGGACACAACAAGCATCTGTCTCATGTGGCTTGTAACCATGGTAACATGAATAACTTCTCCAGGATGACATGCCATTAATATCTCTCAAAGAGAATCTCATCTGTCTCTTATGGCTTGTAACCATGGTAACACAAACAATTTCTCCAGGATGACATGGCATTAATATTTCTCAAAGAGAATCTATCTTTCTGCTTAAGGACATATCACTACTTCGATCAGTTAACATGCAACACTGTATCAGTGTCAAGCATATCCTGCTGGGCCAGTTACTATGATATTACACAGCATTTTGTGTCCTTATCATCATCCCCACCAATCACTGCATGAGTCTTGAATGACTTCAGTCGACCGTCATCATGAGGATAGGTATTGCGGTTGGATGATGACATTGATGTTCGGTTGTTGTTATTATGCCCATTTTGTGTTTTGTCTTTCGCTGATGGTTTCGGAACACTGGTACTTTGCATAACAGGGTCCTTTTGTAAGCTGGTTAAAAACATGTCCTGAAGATGATCATCAAGTGTTTTTGGTCTTGCTGGAGGATCTACTACACGCTTCTCAGTACGAATCTTTTTGAGATCTGCCAGGGTACCAAACTGTGACCCAGGTTGTTGGGCTCCAGGTTGCCGTTGCTGTGCTGGGGGAACCCTGGCACTAGCTCCTGGCTCTGCTGAACCACCAGGAACGACCTTGTCACCTTGAGGGACAGACCTATTTTCACTCGTTGGGCGATTTTCTGCTGATGGGCGGCTTTCAGAAGGTGGACGTGGCTGCTGAGATTTGGCCATTTCTGGTTTGGAAGTTGGTGCAGCCTGTGCAGGGGGTCGTTTGAAGTCCTCCTTCTGCACTGTGGGTTGAGAGTTTGTAGGTCGAGATGAGACTGATGTGCTGGTTGGGCGGCTTGGAGGTCCATCTCGTGAATCCTGTTCTTGATCATCTGATATGGTCACCTTAACATCATCGATGTCGGTGATGGGGGATGTCTCCTTGTCATCATCATCCTGGAAGCAATTAAAGGAACATGCATTTATGTTGTCTTTGCATCATGTCTCATGGAGCTAATGCTCTTAAAGAAAGCTCCGTGACCTAAAGTAACGTGACAATCCACAATCCCTACCACTTTGGCCTTACAAGGCCTTATACATGTGAAGAAAACCCCAGTGACCCTTAACATACCATGATAAATGAGCTTCATGTGATGATTAATATGTACCCAGATCGAGCTATTTATGGCTTCCTTTTCCCTAAAATATCAAACAATAGTTATCATTGTTAATAAATCTAAGAATACTACCTCTATTACATATCTGCCATAAATCCTGTATTTGGGCTTCAATCACACAAACTAAAATTTTCAGATTTTCAACAGACGTCCTCTCTGTCAATTGCACACAATTAGTTGCCGCCAAGTAGTCTCTAAACTATCCAAGCCATGACGTCACAATGGCGGCCATATTACTTATTTCCCTCATCTCCTACTAGAGGTAGATGAATTGGGGAGGTGGGAGGTAGTAATTCAAAGTAGTATTCTTAGAATTATAACAATGATATATATTGTTCAATAATTCTTACGAAACTTCTACCTCTATTAAATATCTGCCAGAATATACCAGAGGGACCCTGGTTTGATTGGTTGGATGGTTTGTTGTTTAACGCCGCACTCAGCAATATTACAGCTATATGACGGCGGTCTGAAAATAATTGAGTCTGGACCAGACAATCCAGTGATTGACATCATGAGCATCAATCCACGTAATTGGGATCGATGACATGCATCAACCAAGTCAGCGTGCCTGACCACCCGATCCCGTTAGTCGCCTTTTACAACAAGCATAGTCGCCTTTTACGGCAAGCATGGGTTGCTGAAGACCATTCTTCCCCGGAATCTTCACGTGTCACCCTGGTTTGATCTGCCTCTAGTAACTCCCTGTGTAATTGACAGCAATCCTCTTCTGGAAACCATAATGTACTGATTCTCATCCAACTGAGATAATTTCCTCTGAAATTCCCCTTGAGGACTTGAATATTAGAAAACTATATCAATAATCCATCAAATATGTGATATTATCACTAGATTTACCGTTATATTTGCTGATTTTGACCATAATAAACTTGGATTAGTGACCTATAATACCGGTCATTACGTCACTTCCCCTTTTTGGTAATGACGTCTCACAAGGTCTATCTCTACCCTGAAAGACGTCATTTCCTGGTTAGAAGGGCTTTGTTCAGCTATTTCTGCGGCTGACGTCACTACCGGTTTCTCTATCACTTCCTGCAATGACACCACTTCCGGTAAATGGTGATAGATGATATTTAAGGTGCTTCTAATCCATCCTACACCTAATAAGCAGAGTAAATCAAGGGTGTACAAGATCTACAAGATCTGTCAGTCTCCTCCAAACCCTCTGATTCCGGCTCTGAGTAGCCCTGGATATCTCCCATGGGGGGTGGATAATCATATCGCTCAGTTTCTGCCCCGTAGGGCTTATCATCCTCCGGTGACCATGACTCCGGATTAATATGTCTCCGTCCGGGCTGTAGCCCGTGGGTAACGGCAGTCATGCCGTAGCAGTCCTCATCCGACGCTTATCCGACGGCTGGAATGACGTGGGAGGCAGGCCTGTGGGGCCATACGGCTTCTGTCTGGTATGGCTGGTTGACGTGAACGGGCTGTCCATGGATTCCGTGCGGCTCCTGAATGGTATTGTTCTCTGGTCTAGTGACTGGTTCATGGGTTGGTAACTGTGATCCATGCCATGGCCTGTGGGCTGGCCATGCAGCTCAGCTTGTAGATTTTGTGTAGACTGGCCCACGACTGTGGACGAAGATCTAGTAGTCTTAATCAGAGCTATCATCACGATCTTAGTGTCCATATCCGACAGCTTAGAATCAAGCATGTCTTTCATCATCTCCTGCTGTTCACTCAGAAGTTGTAGGATGAGGCTCAGGGTGAGAGCAGGCAGCCCTGACATTTTGGGGAATATCTCTTCGGATGTTTGGGTGCATTTCTCACATCTCTTCTCCAATGTGCATGGGGTGGTGGGAGACTGCATGGCGACCTCACAAACCCAACATCAGCTATACTCATGTGCGTGTAGTCTCTTCCAGCAGCACTATTACTTTAAATATATTTTTATTTATATGTCCGTTATTAGAATAATCTTAGGTTAATGTGATCTACTACCAGTTGCTAGATTGTCACTCCTACTATAGTAGCACACAAAGGACAAAAAGTGACATGGCCACCATAGTGACGTCACAGTGTGGGTAGTTACAAGACTACTTGGCGTCAACTAATTGCGTGTAATTGACAGAGAAGAGGACGTCTGTTGAAAATCTGAAAATTTTAGTTCGTGTGATTGAAGCCAAAATACAGGATTTATGGCAGATATGTAAAAGAGGTAGAAGCTTTGTAAGAATTAGTCACAATAGGTATTCCTCACCTGCTTTCATTGTCACTAATACATGTACCCCTTGCACATTGTTAAGCATTCTCTTCCCCGGATAAGGAAGGTGCCAGCTTCATATACTGTGATAGTTTTAATCACAACCAAACCGTCTTTCTTCACATTAGCCTCAAGATATAAAGTGATTACTGATGTCAAAAACTGTCATTTGACTACTACTGTGACAATTAAGTGCACATTGAGAAGAAAGAATGTACTGTGGCATTCTGTATTTAAGAACAAGTGCCAGTGACTTTACTGTGTCATGCCAATCTGCAATATGCCAGCTATCTCAGGTTGGCTTTTATTAAGTCAGTACAGGCCAGGAAAACCTGTAGTTGAAACTAATGATAGCAAGCATGTCACTGTATAAAATACACGAACAGTTTGGTCACAAAGTGTAACCACTTAACCCCAATCACAGCAAGCTACCCCAATGCCCCTGGTGTATTTTGATAATGGCATTTACTCAGGTTACAGAAGCTCGACATTCTGAATTTCTTGCCCCTCCTCCTTCACAAGTGCTGTGTCAGCAATATATGACATATGCAGGCTACTGACCACATCATCGTTGTCCTCCATTGGGAGCAGACCAAAGTGTAGGGCTTCCTCTTTAGCCTCCTTCTTGAACAACACACTCTTCTCACCGCGGAGACTGCTGCGACGGATGGAGGCACTGGAAACAGAGGCGACATGTCAGGAGGGTATACAGGTATTATTGTCCCAACTGATAATGAAATGTCATCCCAGACAAGGGATAACAGCTGTGTGATAAATGTCATGACCACAATGACTAAACAAAAACCGAAATATATAAAACTAAGATTCTAAAACTTGTGTTATTTTTTTCATCATTATTACCATTTGATATTCTGTGTGGTGTTATTGAAAGACTGGCTACTTTTTTGTGGTCACTGCTTCAACATGTTGAAGAACATCTTGGTAAAATATATATATTCTCAAACACATTACCTCCCAGCCCCACCAGAGAACGAAATGCTTGATCTATCAGGCATTGGCCAAAATAATACTCTGGAAGTAATCGCTCAAAATGGTATCTTTCTTTATATTTATTCTACACTGCATATTTCATGAACACAAGATTGGATCCAAACACTGAATAAAAATTATCAAGGATATCAAAGTTCAACACTAACAAGGAAAAGATTTATAGATTAAAAAATTACTATAATTTGAGTCTTCAGGCATGGAATCATAGACTAAATATCTCTCACTTTGGTTTCAAGCCCAGTTTAAGATTTAAAGGTGTCAATAACACTTCAAGATTCAAAACATTGTTGTTTTCTGCCAAGACAGAATATACACTAAATATTGCCAACTGTTTCGTAATCAAGAAGGTAAGTAACAATCTCTCTGGTGGAGTCACATGACATGATACGCATTAACCCTTAAAATATCATTACACTATGCATTAGTGCTATTTAGTGATAATCTGTTGTTTCATCAGAGATCGAACCGTCTCATGTGCAGAACATGTTGGCACACATGATCTGAACGACACACCCTAATGAAATCATTAACAAATGCACATTTTGCCATGAAAACTTGACAATCTCACAGACAGTTATTATATATTTAGAAAACAACAGGTCTACTAAGTTGCCAATTCTTGCATGACAGGTGCCCCTTAGGAAGTGTTAGCTGTTAGGTCATTAATGAACAGGTGACAGTAAGCATGGCAAGGTCACATACTATTAGACAACAGATACAGCTAAACAAAGATTCCAATTGAAAAAGAAACACAAGAAGAGTGTCACAATTGTGTGACATTCTTAGCTGACAATGAGACATTTGACATAACATGGGACAAAGTGGAATCAAGTGGATGACATTTTTTGGCTATCAGGGGAACAAGCGGATGACATCTGTAGCTATCAGGGGAACAAGTGGACAACATCTGTAGCTATCAGGGGAACAAGTGGATGACATCTGTAGCTATCAGGGGAACAAGTGGATGACATCTGTAGCTATCAGGGGAACAAGTGGATGACATCTGTAGCTATCAGGGGAACAAGTGGATGACATCTCTACTATCAGGGGAACAAGTGGATGACATCTGTAGCTATCAGGGGAACAAGCGGATGACATCTGTAGCTATCAGGGGAACAAGTGGATGACATCTGTAGCTATCAGGGGAACAAGTGGATGACATCTCTACTATCAGGGGAACAAGTGGATGACATCTGTAGCTATCAGGGGAACAAGTGGATGACATCTCTACTATCAGGGGAACAAGTGGATGACATCTGTAGCTATCAGGGGAACAAGTGGATGACATCTGTAGCTATCAGGGGAACAAGTGGATGACCTCTGTAGCTATCAGGGGAACAAGCGGATGACATCTGTAGCTATCAGGGGAACAAGCGGATAACATCTGTAGCTATCAGGGGAACAAGTGGATGACATCTGTAGCAATCAGGGGAACAAGTGGATGACATCTGTAGCTATCAGGGGAACAAGTGGATGACATCTCTACTATCAGGGGAATAAGTGGATGACATCTCTACTATCAGGGGAACAAGTGGGTGACATCTCTACTATCAGGGGAACAAGTGGATGACATCTCTACTATCAGGGGAACACGTGGATGACATCTCTACTATCAGGGGAACAAGTGGATGACATCTCTACTATCAGGGGAACAAGTGGATGACATCTCTACTATCAGGGGAACACGTGGATGACATCTCTACTATCAGGGGAATAAGTGGATGACATCTCTACTATCAGGGGAACAAGTGGATGACATCTCTACTATCAGGGGAACAAGTGGATGACATCTCTACTATCAGGGTTATAAGTGGATGGCATATCTACTATCAGGGGAATAAGTGGATGACATCTCTACTATCAGAGGAACAAGTGGATGACATCTCTACTATCAGGGGAACAAGTGGATGACATCTCTACTATCAAGGGAATAAGTGAATGACATCTCTACTATCAGAGGAACAAGTGGATGACATCTCTACTATCAGGGGAACAAGTGGATGGCATATCTACTATCAGGGGAATAAGTGGATGACATCTCTACTATCAGAGGAACAAGTGGATGACATCTCTGGCTCTCATGGAAACAAGGAGATGGTTACTCCTTGTTAATGTGCAGAAGTTGATGAGATCTCCCATGGAGACTCAAGCTGAAGACATTATGGTAATAATGTTAATGACTACCTGATTTCTTGTTTGTTTGGAAAAACAGTGCAAATCATCTGTATCAAAACAACTTTTAGAGAAATTAACAGATTAACTTTAAATAACCATGCATCTTAGACACATATATAGACTGTCTGACTATATATAAAAAAACTGAATTGCGGATGTCCTCAAGTTACATCTGCCCCCTGACTGACTCATGAGTAAGTGGTCTCAATTACCAGCTCGTCATGACTAATAGCTCCAGTTCATGATGAGTTTGCTTTATTATCTCATTGTAGATGATATTACTCACATAAATTTAACATGATAACAGAGAAATACATTGAAAGGCTTGCTATATATGTTATATTGTAACAGGCAGCGCTGATATCCAATATGGAGTAGTGCTTCACAGCATTCAAACATTAACCAAAGCAAAGCTTATGTGGTTTATGTGTATATTGTTATTCCAGTAATTATTTGCACCATGCAATAGGCAGTAACTAGGAACAAGACTGCAAACTGACATACACACTTCTATATATAAAGAAATATCCATTTTTTCTGCATTTAGTAATGAAATACTACATTTTTATGAAAATATAAAATCCATATTTCACTGAAGTGAAATTACACTTTATGCTGGAACTATTTTCACTATGTTTTTTAGAGTAACATCATGAAAATCATGCAAGAAAATAAGAAAGAAATAAACATTTGTCTCTTTTCTTGCCAAATAACATGTTTGTTATATACTTTAATGTGAAAGACTGAGTTTTCTGAAGTTGAGAAAAGTGATTTTTTCACTGCAATGAACATAACACTTGATATCTCAGGGCAGTGAACATAACACTTTGGTAGAACTTTTGTCTCACAAGTTATGACCCTGCAAATTGTCTCATTTGTCAAGCATATACACAAACTGATGACTTCCATTTTACACTAGTTCCACACTGACAAGGCAAAATAATTACAGCTGGTCATTTATGGAGTTAATAATGCTTCTTGTAAGTTTCTCACATAACTCGTCAATGGAGCCTTCGTTTCACAAAACGCCATTTTCGCTACTTGACTAGCTTGTGTTCTTTGGCTTCCAACAGTGGTCTCATAGAATTCAAGAATATTTTTTGTTGAAGTAGATTTTGTATATAATCATATCCAAATTTATTATAATTCATTTTATTGACCTCTATTGGCTATTGTTTATATGTCTTAAGATTCTGCAAACACGGAACTTCTTTTTAAGTCGCAATAACTAGAGTTGGTGAAACCTCCCTGCCTGTTAGGTAGGAAGAAAAATAATAATATATGTCTCAAGTTTTTACATATGTAATGAAATAATTTAATTTTCTGAGTTCCAAAACGATTAAACTGATGTTTCCACCTTCAAATTTCCTTCCACAGTGGGTATAACCTTCAAATTCAAAGTCGTGGTGTTCAACCCCCATGATCATCACTCGCATCACGTGCAGATCCTGGGGTTGCCATTGTTGTGTTTGGGGGCCGAATTTCACTGGAAATGTTTCCTCTGTAAGGATCTATATTACTTTGTCTCGTATTCATTTGCATTTGTTACAAGTATGATCGCAAAATGAAATATCCCCTACTTTTTTTTAATAGTATATAATAAATACGATATTCCATGAAATATGTTTCTCTCACTGAGTGACTGGGGGAAAGGAGATATTTTCACGGTTGGTGTATATTTATTTCATTTCTTCACCTGCAAAGTTGACATTTTCAATTATGTCTGTGCCACTCATGAAAATATAAACTTTGCAGTTCACTCAATGAGATAAACATGTTATGTGACAAGAAAAGAAAAAAATATCCTCTATATACAGATATATGATATATCGTTATGACATTCCTCATCACCCAATAATGGCCAACATTGCTTTAATGGTTGAGTTCAACTTCTCAACCATTTTGTATGGTCTTGTCTGGTAAATTGATATGCAGTTAACAGTTCAGACCTTGTCCAAAAGATTTACAAAGTACATTTTGCCAAATAGTTACTAGATCCTATTCAAAATGTATCTAAATCCTTCAGTAATACATGCTCACTCAAACTAATCATGCTAATAGTTATAAGACAGTTAATAATATTTCAGAAATGTTTCCGTAAATAACGACTTTGAGGTTTTTGAAGTTCATAAAAAGGTGATGCAAAAACCTTTTTATCAATATCCTAATCAGCATATGATAGTAATTTCACCAGCTTGTTAAGAAGTGAGGTAATTGAATCTTAGATTGGACCCTTCCTCTCTCTAACTCTAAACATAAGAGTAATGGCAAGGATAACTTGACTTAATCTCAAACGATGTATCAAACATCGCCCTGTGCAAGTGACTTGGGTTTAACGCCACTTTGAACAATATTTCAGTTATGTCACGGCATGTCAGCTTAATATGGGGGAAAGACAGAAGTGCCAGTCTTAGATTGTTTACCGCTTTGATGAAACCCACGAACACAGGTTGGTGCTGAAGCAGCATCAGGGATCCATGATCCAAACCCAGTATCAAAGGATTCTCAACTCTGCTCACCACACTGCCATGACTGAGGCGACTGTGCCATCCATGCCAAGTTGCCATGTGATAAATAGATATATCAACCTCTTATGACCACAATTTCGGTCGATATTGGATATAACCGAGGAGTCATGTACTTTGCCAGACCCAACCCTTGAGACTTTACCCCAAGCCTTAGCATTGAACATCAATAGGTCACCTACTTCAAAAGATTCTTATCTCAAAGTGAGCATGCCTATAATTATCATCAACGTAATTTACAAATCATCATCACCTAATTCTGCCATAGTACATGCATCTAGCTGAAAGTCATCATGTACCCGGTACTACGTCCAGCTTCAAATAACTTTCAATCTCATCTAATCAGGAGACTTCACATGCACCTGATGGCTGACAGCTGCAAAGGCAGGTAACTGACCACATGCTACAACCATTGGACAAAGTCAACATGTTTGTCATACACATCTATAATTACCGCCACCTTCATCTATGTGGGAAAAATCTGCTCTTTAAGATAATCAAAACAAATCAATTATATTTATTATCAAGCCAGTAACATCAGTTAATAACCACGCAGAATACAATGTTAGGCCATCACCTTCAACCTCTGGTAGCGAGCTTGATACCATGAATATTATAACCTGTTCTGTCACTAGGACAAGGTTGCCTTACCGTACGTCACTCATGTCATTGATGCGAGATGAGCAAGCCTTGCTTCTGTCCCTGTTGCACAACCCATCACAACTCAAATCAATAAAAGTGCAACACATCGTGTCTTGTGCAGGCCTACCAATGAAAACCAGCAGAGCATCCGAACTGTGGAATATGTACACATATCAATAGAAATAGCCACACAAATTACAAAAGACCTAATCCCCATGAAGTGTGCATCGTAATGATTAAAACCCGCCACATTTTCAATGGAACCAAAGTTAGTAAATCCCGCAGACCACGACGAACCAAGTGCGTACACTTTCGGTTCGTAGCGGTCTCCATTGAATATGTGGGTTTTAATCATTATGAGGCACACTTTATGGGGATTGCATCTTGTTTGCAGTTTGTGAATGGTTATTTCTATTTAAATGGTGTACATATGACAGTTTTGTTGCTCTCTGCAGATTTTCATTGGCAAACGTGTGTAGATACATCAAAATTAGAATTAATTCACATGTAGATCATGCACACTAAACAGGACACAAAAACATGGACAGAAACTGTTTTTCTACTGAGACAAACGTTTCTCATACACAAATCTGATACAGGGTCCATTTTGTGAATGCCAGCAGCATGAGCCAAACTCACAGGGTTACACCTTGTTGTTAGAAGGAGAGGGAAATGTTAATCAGTACTGAGGTGTGTTATGCAGAGGCTAAAGCAGCCAGCTACGACAGATTTCAGGCACTCAAAGAGCTTCTCTTCAGCATCTAATGATTCTATAGAACTCTTGTAAGTGTCCTTTCTGAATAATCTCATTGCATTTTGACATGTACAGGCGTCCTGCCAATTATTTACATACCCAATGCAGAGACCAAAGCTGTGTTTGTAAACCTAGCCATTCTGAAGTTCAAGAGGATACAGGTGTCTTATCCTTTTGTCAGAGCGTCAGTCCCTTCAACAGTCCCCTGGCAGCTTACACTTGTTACGGTCAGAACATCTGACACCTTACTTGGGTACACTCTACAGTAACTCAGAACCTACTGGCAGTACATCCTACTGCTGTCATTACTGAAGTCACTTCATGATAATGTAAAAAAATGCAATTAAGACAGTGTAGCCTACTGTAAGCAAAGCCCTGTCCATCATACAGTCAACACCCTACAGCCAGCCAGTGTCTTTGTGTGTCCATTTTACTCAGAAAATACTCTTCAGTCAGAAATTATCTTTATACCATCAAACAGTCAGTGAACACCCTTCAGTCAGCCATACCTGTGTCCAACCACCAGTCAGTTTCACCCCTGTCCATCCAACCATCAGTGAACACCCTACAGTCAGCTACACCCATGTCCACCAAACCATCAGGGAACATCCTACAATCAGCTACACCCTTGTCCATCCAACCATCAGTGAACACCCTACAGTCAGAAACATCTTTGTCCATCCAACCATCAGTGAACACCCTACAGTCAGCTACACCCTTGTCCATCCAACCATCAGTGAACACCCTACAGTCAGCTACACCCTTGTCCATCCAACCATCAGTGAACACCCTACAGTCAGAAACATCTTTGTCCATCCAACCATCAGTGAACACCCTACAGTCAGCTACACCATTGTTTATCCAACCATCAGTGAACACAGTAGTCAGCTACACCCTTGTCCTTCCAACCATCAGTGAACACCCAAGGCAGCAACACCTTTGTCCATCCAACCATCAGTGAACACCCTTCAGTCAGCCATATCTGTATCCATCCACCAGTCAGTTTCACCCCTGTCCATCAACCATCAGTGAACACCCTACAGTCATCTACTCCTTTGTCCATCCAACCATCAGTGGACACCCTACAATCGTCTACTTCTTTTTCCATCGAACCATCAGTGAACACCCTTCAGTCAGCTACACCCTTGACCTTCCAACCATCAGTGAACACCCTACAGTCAGCTACACCCTTGTCCATCCAACCATCAGTGAACACCCTACAGTCAGCTACACCCTTGTCCATCCAACCATCAGTGAACACCCTACAGTCATCTACTCCTTTGTCCATCCAACCATCAGTGGACACCCTACAATCGTCTACTTCTTTTTCCATCGAACCATCAGTGAACACCCTTCAGTCAGCTACACCCTTGACCTTCCAACCATCAGTGAACACCCTACAGTCAGCTACACCCTTGTCCATCCAACCATCAGTGGACACCCTACAGTCAGCTACACCCTTGACCTTCCAACCATCAGTGAACACCCTACAGTCATCTCCACCTTGGTCCATCCAACCATCAGTGAACACCCTAGTCAGCAACACCTTTGTCCATCCAACCATCAGTGAACACCCTTCAGTCAGCCATACCTGTGTCCATCCACCAGTCAGTTTCACCCTTGTCCATCCAACCATCAGTGAACACCCAAGGCAGCAACACCTTTGTCCTTCCAACCATCAGTGAACACCCTACAGTCAGCTACACCCCTGTCCATACAACCATCAGTGAACACTCAAGGCAGCAACACCTTTGTCCTTCCAACCATCAGTGAACACCCTAGAGTCAGCTACAACCTTGTCCATCCCACCATCAGTGAACACCCTACAGTCAGAAACATCTTTGTCCATCAAACCATCAGTGAACACCCTACAGTCAGCTACACCCTTGTCCTTCCAACCATCAGTGAACACCCTACAGTCAGCTACACCCTTGTCCATCCAACCATCAGTGAACACCCTTCAGTCAGCTACACCCTTGTCCATCCAACCATCAGTGAACACCCAAGGCAGCAACACCTTTGTCCATCCAACCATCAGTGAACACCCTAGTCAGCTACACCCCTGTCCATACAACCATCAGTGAACACCCAAGGCAGCAACACCCCTGTCCATCCAAACATCAGTGAACACCCTACAGTCAGCTACACCCTTGTCCATCAACCATCAGTGAACACCCTACAGTCAGCTACACCCTTGTCCATACAACCATCAGTGAACACCCAAGTCAGCAATACCTTTGTTCATCCAACCATCAGTGAACACTAAGTGACACCTTTGTAGAATCATGTAGTCAGTACATCATGTAGTCAGTACATCATAAGGTCAGTACATCATGCTGACAGTACACCTAAGTCAGTACATCATAAAATCAGTACACCCTAAAGTCAGCAATTCTGTAGTCAGTACACCTGGAACTCAGTAAAATATACATCAGTACATGCCCATAGTCAGTACATCTTAAAGCCAGTACACCTCAGTGGTCAGAACACAGAGTCTTGTAGTCAACAGCAAATCTGACCAGGTTAATATTTCTGTCAAGGAAACACACAACCTAAGTCTGTTACAATAGTGGTCTACCTCATACAAATCTGATCTATGAGATGAGATTGATTATTAGAATGCAGGGTTGGTTAATACTAAAGCCGTCAAAGGATAATGCTGGGATGTGGAAAGGTAAGCGAAGATGGTGCAGCAGAGTAGACTGAGAGACATATTACAATGATATATATGGTATCTATCATGTGATGTCTAACCTGTGACTACTGGGAGTTTTCTCACTCAGTGAGGAATTGGAGCTATACAGCATCCCTGGGGAATGAGTCAAGCTGAAATATAGAGCAGCATCAGGCTTGAGATCATGCCTGCCTTAGTGGCATCATTTCATACATCATCCTACATGGTGCTGGAGGTGAGAACACTCCAAGAGCTTCATGTGCATTCAAATCTTACAGGAAATGGTCTTTTGAGACTCTTATTTCATCTTGATTAACTTCATGCTCTTCGGTTATGATAGATTTATCCTTTTTTAGCAACAGAATCACTTCATGCTCATTTGTTTAATGATTTATCAGTTCGGGAAAAGGACTAACTTCATCATGTTCATTCTCTTTGTTATAATAAATTATCATTTCAGCCAAAAATAAACTTCATACCTTTTTGTTTAGTAAATTTATAATTTCAGCAAAAAGATTCACTTCATGCCCTATTGTTATTACAGATTTAAGTTCATGCCTAAAATGCCTTTGTTATTTGAACTGATAGACTGGGCATGGGTACAAAATGACCTTCAACAGAGGTTTGACCTTCAACCATGATCACTGGACACATGGATAATATGTAAAAGGTGGGACCAGTGACTGTTACATGGCCTAGAACTCCAAGGATGTGTTGAAAGCAGGCTGGATCGATGGAGAGCCAAAGGGTAAATCAAAGGTGGGTTTAACTGATGGAGTGACCAAGTGCAGTTGAAGGTGGGTTGGAAAGATCGAGAAACCATCTGGTCAGGTTAAAGTGTGTTGGAATGACAGTGGACATATCTAGGCCTGCTCAGAGGCTGATATTCGGCCACAAATATGGAGCTAAAGAACAGTAAAAGTCCTTATTTGAATCTACAGTTTCTAAATTCCGCAGAATTTACAAAAATACCGTATTCGACGTAATAAGCGCCCAGGGCGCTCTCAAAATTAGAAATAGGGGGCTCTTATTAGAATATTATTTTGGTGAAAAAAAACAGAGTTGAAAGATATATTTCGTGGTTTATGCTGACAGCCTAAAATGTTTATATACGACAGATATATTTTCCCAGAATTTAATTGCCCATAATTAAGGGTGCATATAACACACAAGTGCGTATTATACGCGAAGTCTTGTGTACATTGATCAATCGACAGGGGGTGCTAATTGGATTGTACACTAGCCAATATATTAGCAAATATCGCCGTGGGCGCTTTTTAGAGCAGGGCGCTTATTACGTCGAATACAGTAAATAAATTTTAAAAAATCCAAGTTTGAAAAATATCTTGTTTTCCCCTAAATTGGCCGCCAAGGTGAGATGAGTTGGAGGTTTTGAGAGACCATATGAAAGGTAAAGGGGGGTTGGAGAGATAGAGAGACCATTAAGGGAAAGTTAATTGTGGAACCTATGTCATATGGATAACAACCTGAAGGTAGGAAGTATGTAGCATGGAGTTAAGTACATATATTAGGTAGAAGGACAAGAGCCTCAGACCATGTTTGTGCTCAACTGATTGTCCAACAAACATTGAATTTTGAAGACTATTACAAGTTACACTGAAAAAACACACAGAACAAGTAGCTTACAACCTAGTTTAGCTAGTTTTATTTATTTAAAATCTCATTGATGATAAGGACTTGAAGAGACATGACAGTACTTCTTAAACACTTATTGATGACCTCTATATTAAGCATAAACGACGACCTCTATATTAAGCATAAATTCAACACTAAAGTAACTAGTACCCCTAGTTAAGATAAAAACTTAGGTACAGCAAAATGCCAACAGAAGGGTTGAGATCAACCCCCTTGAAAGATTCTGTTTTTAAGTCATGTGATCCTAACCAAACAAAATATCAAGACACTGGTTTGACTTGCAAAAGATGTGATATCAAGAGTTTTACAAACAGAGCAACAGAGGACAGAAAATGCATGACAGCCAGTTGAGCTTGAAAAGTCTGACTGTGGACAAGTTAGTTTTATTAGAGATTAATATAGATAATCATTTTTTTATATTTGGTATATATTTATTTTATCTGGATGCACATGTAGTCTTGTAAAATGTATCAAGGCAAGAAACAACTCAAAGAAATCTGGAATAGAAGTTAAACAATTAATCTGAATAAAGGGCAGGCAGAGTGCATATGAAGAATTCCCATACACTGTGGACAATGTCAGACTGATGAACTCTGGCCGCTGATGAGGTCATCCGATTCAGCATTCAACAACACTATGCGTGAGTTGTGTTCTACGCTGCTTTGAACTGTACATCAGTTACATCACAGAATGCCAGCTAAATGTGGGAGGAAAGTTTGAAGTGATCCAGGTGTTCCACATTCACCACCCTGCTGGAATCCCAAGCATGGTTTCAGTGTTGAAACACCAAGGATCATAATCAGGGCAAATCAGGGATTTGACCCCAGAAATAACAGGATCTCCTGGCACATCTAAGGAACACCACTCTGTACAGAGAACTGTAGCACTGTTGGCGAATTGTGTCCGAAAGTACAAAATGATTGAAAAAAAAATTAATTTAACTGCAGTTCACAAATATACTACTAAAAAAAGTTATTCTTTCATGTTTCTAAACTTAATCAAACTTGCCATGACAGATTAACTGTAGTAATATAGCAGTACTTAACCTGACATGCCAGGACTGATTAACTATAGTAATATGAAAGAATCAGGTGGTCCTTAACTTGTTTTGAGTAGTATAGTAACAAGTTGACTACACTTTGAAGATTTTCGTTGGATCTGATAAAACGTTAATTTAACAGAAAGGTTCTGATGCCAGTAAACAGCACTGAACCATATGGATTAGGTAGCGCTGAGCATCAGTGAGAGTCTCATCAGTATCATGTCCACCGTGTATAGATATTCCATTTGTTTAAGTGCAGAAGACACTACATACAGGCAAGCAATAATCGCACCCAACATCAAGCCTAGCTTTACACAGGGCACATAAGCATGATGATGCCAGCCATGATACAAGTACAAATCCCATACTGCAAATCCTTTGGTAAAATAACCATGATAATAAGGGATACAGATAATATAATAACTTTATTTCATAACTACAAAGATAGTGGAAATGCTATTACTATTATGAAATAAACTGAAAATATTTCGAGTGTCTTCAGTATCTGATTCTTATCACAAATCTTATGACACTCAGTTGAATTTGTTTGAAATATTTTTCCTTTTACAGAGGAAAATAATGTCATGCAACAGACCCAACCATCTACCCATGCATTGTTGGACAAGCCAACATACACGCCTTACATGTGACTATGAATATACACACAGACACACACACACACAGCATCTTCCCGAGGCAAGGGAGTTAACTGACTATAAAAGTCCAGTTTCTACACTTGCCGAACTAGGCTGGAATAATGGAGTCATATTTTGGCTGGACTAACGAGTGTGCGCATAGTCCAATCAATCTCGTAATAAAATCGACATCCATTTCATAAACTGCAGTACAGGTTTTAGTCGATTGCAGGATTTGCATAGCATGTGTACCGCCATCTCAGGATCAATAGATATTTTTCAAATCTTTTCATCTTTTTAATCAAGGTGCTCACGTGATTTGATACACTTTATCACTATATAGAATTTGATTATCAATCAGATCGTGTTAACTGGGCGCCACCATTTTGTTTGAAGCAAATGCAAGTAATATGAGGGGTGGAATCTGATTGGTCAATAGGGGGAACACAGAAGGGACATAACTCATAATAGCCACTCTTGGCGCTACGATCGAGCCCTGAAATTCCAGTCTTGTTCAGCAAGGGTGGAAACTGGACTTTGACAGTCAGTTAACTCCCTTGCCTAGGGAAGATGCACACACAGACACTACTACCATACACACACAACATACAACGATGAATGGAATGTAGTCTGACTCAGTGTCTCTGTGTAGGGAGCTTGATATGGGAGGACAACCGGAATTGAGGCGAGATGAGATGAAAATGGGTTTAATATTGTGTTCAACATTACTGCACTTGTATAGAAATGTGCCTGCACGTATGGGCTTGTCTGCTTGTACTAGTCCAAACTAATGCCCATTTTATAGTGCTTGCCCCTTAAGACATACCACAGTTTAACATGAATACCCCACTCAGACAGCATACTGACTGAGCTGACCAGTTTTTGTTTTATCCCTTTAATGCCGAGCGCCAAGCAGGGTAACAAGTTACATCTTTTAATATATTTTGGTATGACATGTCTGGGGATCAAACTCCGGGTAGACGCTCTCTCTGCTAGACCATGGAAGTTATGAAACCAACCAGTTCAGACAAACCAAAGATCATAATAAGGGATTTGAACCCATGACCAAGCAGATCCAGCCATTCTATGGACAGTACACACTGTGTCAGTGAACACCTATCCTGAGCAGTATGACAACACAACAAAAACAACTTTCATACAAATCTTATTCACTCCAAGTAAGTCACAATGCATACACAGTAGAGGTGTAACGATACGGGAGGGTCGCGATACGATACGTATCACGATACAGGGGTCGCGATACGATACGTATCACAATACAGTCTTTCTGCTCTCTAAAAGATGTGACAAGTACAGTTGAAGAAGATATAAAGTGTTTATTTACTGTTATAGCAAATTGTCAGCAATACAGTATGTTTTACTGAAACAACAAACTGGCTTTGAAACTGTTAAACGTATGTCATGTTTAAAAGTACTGGGTAAGTAAAACTGTGTTATGAAAATATCGTATGTATCGCGATACATGCTTTCCAAATCGATGCATCGTATCATGGGCTGTGCATCGGGATACAATACTGTATCGCCGTATCGTTACACCACTAATACACCGGCAACTCGTCCTTTCCTTCAATACAGATGACAACTACTACAAGCTCACTTCAGATTACATGGCCAGAAAAAGCAACCAATAGGCTTAATGAACTCCACTCAAACACATGCTTTATTCACGAATGTGACACGGATTTGTGACAAGGGGACAACACTTCCACATCTTCCACGTGAAAGTTGCTCTAAATGTGAACATGTGTGCCTAGCACATGTTTCTAGCAGTTACCAGATGAACATACAGACAACTGTAAGATATAACTGTTCTATGTTATATTGATGTGTCAAATACTGTGTCACATGTGAATATCAAACACATAAACAATTATATATTCATGCATTTGAAACCAGTCTCCAGATGTGTCAGCCATTACTGGACTTGTCATTTAGGGATTACTTGATCAAGAGCCTCCCATGCCACACATATTTCACAAATCCAAAGAACTTCAACATAATTTGACGATAGAAAAAACGTTTCATTAAGAGCTTAATACGTGTATACCCACATTTACCAACTCTACCTGTATGGCCATACATGCTTAAAAGCTCTACCTGTGTGCACACATTTCTTAAAGATCTCCCAACCTGCATGCAGATATTTCTGTAAGAGTGAGTGAGCGAGTTGGGTTTAACGCCGCTTTTAACAGTATTCCAGTTATATCACGGCGTGTCAGCTTAATGTGGGAGGAAAGCCCGAAGTGATGCAAGTCTCAGACGTTTACCACTTCGGTGAAACCCACGAGCACGGGTATGGTGCTGACAAACCTAGAAACATAATAGGGCCAAACCTGGAATCGAACCCACAATCATAGTTTTCCGGCGTGCCTAAGGGATGCAACTCTGCACAGTGAACCGCGGCGCCTTAGACGACTGGGCCACCATTTATTTAACAGCTCCCTACGAGTATGTCCACGTTTCTTTATATGATCCCTACGAGTATGTCCACGTTTCTTTATATGATCCCTACGAGTATGTCCACGTTTCTTTATATGATCCCTACGAGTATGCCCACGTTTCTTTATATGATCCCTACGAGTATGTCCACGTTTCTTTATATGATCCCTACCTGTATGCCCACGTTTCTTTATATGATCCCTACGAGTATGCCTACGTTTCTTTATATGATCCCTACGAGTATGTCCATGTTTCTTTATATGATCCCTACCTGTATGCCCACGTTTCTTTATATGATCCCTACGAGTATGTCCAGGCATCTTTAAGTGTGCTCTACCTGTATGCACCACCATTTACAAAAAGCTTCCAGCCCGTACCCCCTAGAGGCCCTAGGAACCATCCACATGTTGCTTCAGGTCCCTATTTGAGAACCCATATGATCCCTACTTCTATGCCAGTGGAGTTCCCTCCGTTTATCTCTGTAGCCTGGTTTCAAGACAAGCATGCAGTGCCTCCTACCTTCTGGTACTAATACGGTGTTTTCTCTGGGGCAACCGATTGTTCCGCGTTGTCTCAATCTCATCCTTCATGTCAAGGATCTTCTGTTTGAGCTCGGGATCCTCACATAAATCTGGTCACAGAAAGATAGATAGAAACACATCAAGTGGTTACCAAAGTTACAGCTGATCCATTCACTACAAAAGCAAATCAGTTTACAATGGGAGTTTCAATATTCAAGTAAAAGTTTGTTTCAACTGTTAATCTCAAGTGTTCTACACAATTTTGGTTTACAACAAGCATTCTCTCCTCTGCAAGCTCAAGTTCTGCTTGATACAAGCATGATCAAATGACATCATCTGCCAATATTTAACAAAGGTCAGGAATTAACGAATCTATACAGAGATGATAAATTAGAGCATGGGCAAATCCATCTTTGTGGTAAGATGTAACAGCACAAATGCTTACTATTGTGTCTTTGCACTGCATGATAACCTAAGAATAATAAGGTACCCCCAAATAATATTGGGGAGGGTGCAATATCCTACAGAACAACTCCATAAAATCAAAGTACTACAGAAGTTATTTGACAAGGACAAGATATGTAGTGAGTGAGTGAGTTGGGTTTCAGTAGAACAGTTACATCACAGCATGTCAGCTTACTGTGGGAGTACAACCCGATGTGATTCAGGTCTCAGACATTTGCCACATTGGTAAAATCCATGAGCACGATTAGTTTGGTGCTGACAAACCTGGAAACGTAATCGGGTGAACTGAGATTCAAACCAATAATCATAGGACAAGCCAAGTAAACTCAGTTGGTTCATAAACATGATAAATACCAAAAGCAGTCTCTCCATTTCGTGTTTTGGCATCAAGATCAGCTCCATTCTGGACAAGGAGTTCCAAAATCTCTGGCTGGAAAAATATAACGTAAGATATGTAGGCTCTTTTTCATCAACAGCTCCAATAAATAAGATAGGGATACATCTTAAAACAGAACTAAGGACAAAATATATGTTCACACCAAGAAGTGATATCTATTTCAGAGCACTGTGATCATTATCATGATTATTTTAGCACATCATAACAATTGCAGATTTCTTGTACCTAAATGATTTTGAATATTTGAAGCGCAAACAGACTCCAACAGCAAGAGTGAGTGAGCGACCTTTCACCACTTTTAACAATATCACTGCGGGGGACAGGAGTATGCTTCACACATTGTACCCATGTGGGAAATCGAACCCAGATGTTCAGCATAACGAGCGAACGCTTTAACCACTAGGCTACCCACCACCCCCAACAGCAACAGACAACAGTTTACTTCAAGCAGTTTGGTTCATCATCAACTCACCTGTCCCCAGTAGGCTGCTGCATGTATAGGTTGCCATGAGTCATCATCACGCATGTTGATAGCGACATGATTGGTCAGGAGATAGTCGGCCACTTCTATGTAGCCATTGGCTGCGGCTATGTGCAGCTGAGGACAAAAGTAAGAGTAAGTGAAATTTATATAATCAACAAAGTAGAACACAAGCAGACATTTCTAAAGTGACATTTAACTCTTTTTTTCAATGGGGGAGACTACTGGCACTATATTCACTATTGCAACAGTATTACGATAGTATTAAACCAACTTAAAGGCTTGATAATTACACAACCAATGTAATAAAACTGAATAAAGTATTGACGGATATTTTCCTCTTGTTGCTACTCAAACCAAAGGGAAGTAACTCTAAACTGAAGTCATAATCCTTGCTAATCAACACATAGCAGGTTTGAAATTTGACTGTCAAAGCTGATTTTTTAATAACTAATAGAGTCTGTTGAAACGATCAATTGTTATGCACACATCTTCAGTACCATTGGTGTCTTAATTCCTATTGATATGTTAAAATTGTAGAGCAATCAACAGCAATACGTCTATAGTTGGATATATATCGTAACATTCCTAGGCATTGCGGAAGAAGAGTTGATCCTATTGGTTGACATTGCGTACATGGGTAGGAGGTGGTTACAAAGGATCAACGGGTAAGCTTTTTGAAATTTTCTCTAATATCAAAGAGAACATGGTGAATTGGCATTAACATATTTTTAAAAATATAATTAGCTCCTCATTTTTGTGTTGAAACACGAGACACAGACCATATTGAGCTACTGGTTCACATACAGTTCTTGATGCACGGTGCTTCAACAACAGTGGATGTAAAACAGTAGACACAATTTATGGATAACAACTTCTTTATTTTACTGTAATGGTGACAGTTCTGTACAGATCAATATACCATTGCCCTTGCTTACCAATGACATAAGGATCTATAACAAAACGTTGCCATCACAGTAAAAAAAGACGTTATCCATAAATTGTGTTTTCTTTGTCATCCGTCAATTTGCGAGAATTCAAGTTGATGTAAAGACTTACAGGCGTCACTCCATCATCAAGCCGGTGTTCCAGGGCTCGGCGTTCATTGCCCGCAGCCTTGAGGTCCTCTAACATCCTCTTCTCTGTGGCCAGTCGTGTCTCATCTATCTGCTCCTGCGTGATGCCTGCAAAATGAACACACATTCTATTGGCATGTCCCTTGATCAAAGACTTCGTCTGGTCACAAATATCAACCAATGAGCTATCAAACAGGACTTTCAGTAATCATATAATTTAAATAGGCTCATTACTTTCTTAATTTTGTTGAAAGCATTCCACATTCATCAAGTTTAGTCTGAAAATAATATTCGCACAAGTTGGGAAGAGCAGGGTTAGATGGTAGGTTATATAATTTCTTTATCAATTCTATTTTTATAACAGGCTGAATGAACACATGGATAAAATTGCCAAATAATTTTCGGATCAACAAATTTCAAAATGGCAAACACATTTTAGACCATAAATGTTTGCCCACAATAGCATACAAAACTTGCATAAACAGGGATCTAACACACATGCAGTCCTTCCATAAAGCAACGAGAGGATAGGATAAAGTTAATTAATATGATTACTGTACAGTGTCTAACATAATTTGAACTCTCTTCATCATCCAAGCATCACAGGTTCAGAAGTTCACAATGACTTAAAATGAGTGAGTGAGTGAGTGAGTGAGTAGGGTTTTACGCCGCTTTTAGCAATATTCCAGCAATATCACAGCGGGGGACACCAGAAATGGGCTTCACACATTGTACCCATGTCGGGAATCGAACCTGGGTCTTCGGCGTGACGAGCGAACGCTTTAACCACTAGGCTACCCGACCGCCCCACAATGACTTAAAGAGCTGGGAGATACTCTCAACCATGGATGTACAAAGTGCAGAGTGAATGTTTAACATTTCATAGCAGATGAATATGAATATCATTAACCTAAACTTTAACTTTTATGCTAAACACTTTTAACTTATTTGAGATGTCTGTGTCCACAGTGTTGTTCAATATCTTACAGATTTCAGTTTCACATTTTTGAATGGCAACCAATCTGAATTTTACAAGATCAATTCTGAACAAGGTGCCTTTACGTCTCTTATGATTCTGTCCATAGGTACAAGAAAAGAAGACTTCGGATTCACACGATAAAGTCTGTATTTTTTCATGAATAAATTATCAAGCCATCTTCTTTGGCCAAAATGAAAATCCTTATTCTGTTGAAATAAGGGACACACAGATCATACTAAGTGCAATTGTTATTGTTCACCAATAGTTTTTCAGATGGAGATATTTTACTACCATCGGATGGAAGGACAAGAACGGCAAAGTCATTCATAACCATGATGTCAAGGTGAGTGAAAACGACAGAATTGAAAAAAGACTGGGTACCTCGCATAGACATCTGAGTCTCTATATAGTCTAACGTTTCCTCATCTTCACAGATGTCGTATGGCATGTTGCCATCAGCATTGACAGCCAACAACTCAGCACCCCTGAAAGAAAACAATACAGTTTTTTATCTCTAATGGGCCATGAAGTACACTCACAAATATCTAAGCCTATCGTTAAACTGTAACTTGTACTACCAGTCAACCTGAAGACAAGGTCAAGATAAGTGCCATTGCTTAAAGAACATATACATGTTTCAGCGAAGGGCATTGCGCTATACAATGTTTAAATGGAGGATGCTTCCCCACACAATGTTTAAGTGAAAGATCTGTCCCAATACAATGTTTAAGATGAGGGTGTTGCCCTATACTATGTTTAAGTGGAGGGTGTTGCCCTATACTATGTTTAAGAGGAGGGTGTTGCCCTATACAATGTTTAAGAGGAGGGTGTTGCCCTATACTATGTTTAAGATGAGGGTGTTGCCCTATACTATGTTTAAGAGGAGGGTGTTGCCCTATACTATGTTTAAGAGGAGGGTGTTGCCCCATACAGTGTTTAAGAGGAGGGTGTTGCCCTATACAGTGTTTAAGAGAAGGGTGTTGCCCTATACAGTGTTTAAGAGGAGGGTGTTGCCCTATACAGTGTTTAAGAGAAGGGTGTTGCCCCATACAATGTTTAAGTGGAGGGTATTGCCCTATACAGTGTTTAAGAGAAGGGTGTTGCCCTATACAGTGTTTAAGAGGAGGGTGTTGCCCTACATGCCCTATCAGTGTTTAAGAGGAGGGTGTTGCCCTATCAGTGTTTAAGAGGAGGGTGTTGCCCTATCAGTGTTTAAGAGGAGGGTGTTGCCCTATCAGTGTTTAAGAGGAGGGTGTTGCCCTATACAATGTTTAAGAGGAGGGTGTTGCCCCATACAATGTTTAAGAGGAGGGTGTTGCCCTATACAGTGTTTAAGAGGAGAGTGTTGCCCTATCAGTGTTTAAGAGGAGGAGGAGGGTGTTGCCCTATACAGTGTTTAAGAGGAGGGTGTTGCTCCATACAATGTTTAAGAGTAGGGTGTTGCCCCATACAATATTTAAGAGGAGGGTGTTGCCCTATACAATGTTTAAGAGGAGGAGGAGGGTGTTGCCCTATACAGTGTTTAAGAGGAGGGTGTTGCTCCATACAATGTTTAAGAGTAGGGTGTTGCCCCATACAATATTTAAGAGGAGGGTGTTGCCCTATACAGTGTTTAGGAGGAGGGTGTTGCCCTATACAGTGTTTAAGAGGAGGGTGTTGCCCTATACAGTGTTTAAGAGGAGGGTGTTGCCCTATACAGTGTTTAAGAGGAGGGTGTTGCCCTATACAATGTTTAAGAGGAGGGTGTTGCCCCATACAATGTTTCAGAGGAGGGTGTTCCCCTATACAGTGTTTATCTGGAGGTTTGTTGCCCTATACAATGTTTAAGAGGAGGGTGTTGCCCTATACAAATTGTCAAGAGGAGGGTGTTGCCCTATACAATGTTTAGGAGGAGGGTGTTGCCCTATACAGTGTTTAAGAGGAGGGTGTTGCCCTATACAGTGTTTAAGAGGAGGGTGTTGCCCCAATCAATGTTTATCTGGAGGTTTGTTGCCCTATACAGTGTTTAGGAGGAGGGTGTTGCCCTATACAATGTTTAAGAGGAGGGTGTTGCCCTATACAGTGTTTAAGAGGAGGGTGTTGTCCCATACAATGTTTAAGAGTGAGTGAGTATAGTTTTACGCCGCTTTTAGCAATATTCCAGCAATATCACGGCGGGGGACACCAGAAATGGGCTTCACACATTGTACCCATGTCGGGAATCGAACCCGGGTCTTCAGCGTGATGAGCGAACGCTTTAACCACTAGGCTACCCGACCGCCCCACAATGTTTAAGAGGAAGGTGTTGCCCCATACAATGTTTAAGAGGAGGGTGTTGCCCTATCAGTGTTTAAGAGGAGGGTGTTGCCCTATCAGTGTTTAAGAGGAGGGTGTTGCCCTATACAATGTTTAAGAGGAGGGTGTTGCCCTATACAGTGTTTAGGAGGAGGGTGTTGCCCTATACAATGTTTAAGAGGAGGGTGTTGCCCTATACAATGTTTAAGAGGAGGGTGTTGCCCTATACAGTGTTTAGGAGGAGGGTGTTGCCCTATACAATGTTTAAGAGGAGGGTGTTGCCCCATACAATGTTTAAGAGGAGGGTGTTGCCTATACAGTGTTTAAGAGGAGGGTGTTGCCCTATACTATGTTTAAGAGGAGGGTGTCCTCCTTCATGATCTGTGATAATACACCAACATTTCACACCAAGTCCTGGCCGTGCAGTCACTGTCACAGATCACGGCAGCTTACCTGTCTATCACCTGTTTTCATAGTCCACGTTCTCCTGTCACAGGTCATGGCAGCTTACCTGTCAATCAGCTGTTGTCATGGTCGAATGCTCCTGTCACAGGTCATGGCAGCTTACCTGTCAATCAGCTGTTGTCATGGTCGAATGCTCCTGTCACAGGTCATTGCAGCTTACCTGTCTATCAGCTGTTTACATAAATGCACATGTCCACAGGTGGCAGCAGCATGCAGCGGCGTCCACAACTCGCTGTCCTTGGCGTTAACATTAGCTCCATGGTCTAGCAACAGCTGCAGTAGCTCTGTGTTGTCATCAATACAACACTGCAATGGAGGAAACATACACATCAGAGATGGAAAGTCAACTGTCAAATGCTAAAAGTAAAAATTGGAAGCCCTAGATTCAAATACTATAGAGATCCTAAGGACCCCAGGATACCCCTTAATCATGCAAAAATCACAAATAGGTAACAATGTAACAATGGACATGATATATCCTTTATGCGTTGTTGTTTTTGCGCTATGCAAATATGCATATTGGTTTTTATGTTTATACCACCATAAATGCAAGAATATGTTGAAGTCATTTCTAATAATCATATATATGTCAACAAGAAGTAACCATGGTAACCCACTGAAATTAGACAATAATACAAAATCAGTCACATCATTCAAGTCAATAACGTAACACACACCATACCCAATCCATTACCGGCCAATTTGGAAACTGTGCCTTATTGTTTTTCTTAGTGTTTGGACATATAAACGTCGTTTGGCCTAAAACACCAGCTATGAGGTTCCGATTTCCAGACCAAGACTAATCTCAGGTGATGACCCAACTTAAATCTCAGGTGATGACCCTAACTTTTTATGAGTACTCACTTTTTGTTACAAAAATAGTTTACAGAAGTTCTCAACAGTAAGGACAAGATATGTTACGGATGAAACTTCATTATTCTACTATGATGTGATGTTTCGGTATGCATCCTTATTCCGTTGTCAAGCAAGAGTAAATCATTGCCAATCAAACAGTTTGCCAACATGGTCGTAGGTTTATAATAAAAATAATACATACCTACCTACCATAGCCTACTCTATTTTAAAAATAGGTGTAATTGAAACCACAACAACATATTTATGAGGTCGTTTTGGTAGGCTGAGATCTACACCATTATCACTCATGATGAGAGTCATCATCACCACCTAGACTTTGTCGTCCATGGTGGTCACAGTCCAAGTAGGTTTCTTTGTTTGTTGTTTCACCAGACAATCCAGTGATTGATATCATGAGTATCAATCTATGCAATTGGGATACGATGACATGCATCAACCAAGTCAGCAAGCCTGATCACCCAATCCTCTTACAACAAGCATAAGTTCCTAAAGACCAGACCGCCTCCATGGTCTAGTGGTAGAGCGTCCGCCCAGAGAGCGGAAGGTCCGGGGTTCGATCCCCGACCGCGTCATACCAAAAGAAGTTAAAAGATGGTACTTGTTGTTACCCTGTCTGGCGCTTGGCATTTAAGGGGCTAAAACAAGGACTGGTCGGCTCAGAGTCAGTATACTGTGTCTGAGTGGTTTATTCATGTTAAACTGCGGCATGGTATCTCAGTGAGGTAGCACTATAAATCGGCATCAGTCCGGACTAGTACAAGCAGCCACACAAACACACACACATACATGCACGTCGCTATATAAGTGCAATAATCTTGGACGTGACGTTAAACCCCATTTCACCTCACCTCACCACCTAAAGACCAATTCTAATGCAGGTCTTCACAGGTACACACTGTAAGTACAGCAAACACTGACCACTATACATAGCAAACGCTCAGCATGTTCACTGATATCTCCATTTCAGTTGAATCTGGATGTTCTTAGACAAACATGAGTGCAGGAAAGTCACATTGAAGTGCCCACTGGAATATTCTGTCCCTTCCTTTACAAGAGAGTTCTGAATGAGTGTGAGTGTGTACGAGCAGGGAAAATGGCTGTATCTATCACCGCAAGTACCCCCACCAAACTTCGGAAAATAATAATTGATGCAACTATTTCATATTTATTCTTATACTGCTACTGTATATATGGCATACTACATATCCATCCGATATCAAGAGTTAGATTAGTTATCATGGTTATGTACAGAATATTTCTCATGTTCATGCACCGTGATGCCAAAAAAAGAAATGATTGTTAAAAAATATATGACACATCAAGATGTTTCTACAATTCCAAATATAGGCCTATAGTGTTAAATAAAAAACAGAAATTATTCATATTTTTATTCTATTTTACTTCATTTTCAACTATTTCTTATTTAGTTATCATATATTATATACGTACATATATATATATATATATATATATATATATATATATATATATATATATATATATATATATATATATATATATATACACATATATATATATATATATATATTTCCTTGTGGACAGTTGCCTAGAATCAATACAACTCATATCTTCATGGCATGCATAGATATCTAGGCACGATCAGCAAACTGTTGCAAGTATGAAATACCCTCTTGACACAAGGACAACTTTCACATTGCTCAAGATGTTTTTGTTGCAAATGGAGCAGTTAAGGTGAGTGAGTGCATCATATTCTCACTGTACTGCTTCTGGTAAGCTGTACATTTCCCCTTTCCCCGAAACATAAAACACAAGATTAAAACCTTGCAGTAGTTTATCATGATGTATTGAGTTCAACATCACTTTTAAAATATATGTATTATTCACAGTGTCATATCACTAAAGGAGGTAGATCTAAAATGTTTACCACTTTGGTGACACACATAAGCAGAGGTGTTTCGAATCATAATGAACCTCGGATTTGAACCCAATATCATAGGATTCTGGCACACCTAAGGGACAGAACTCTGCACAGAAATTGCAACGCCTGAGACATGTTATTCGTTTTTTTGTTTGAGGTTAAACTTCACACTCAGCAATATTCCAGCTATATGACGGCGGTCTGTAAATAATCGAGTCTGGACCAGACAATCCAGTTATTGACATCATGAGCATTGATCCACCTTATTGGGATAACATGACATGCATCAATCAACCAAGTCAGCGAGTCTGACCACCCGAATCCGTTAGTCACTTTTAACAGCAAGCATGGGTTGCTGAAGATTGAGACATGTTAGACATATGGAACAACTGTGCACCAATGTAGCAGAAACACAGTCCCCGAAATTCACGCCAGCCTGCTGGCCTGAGACTACAAAATTATGCTGAGGACAAGTAAGCATATAATGTTGGTGGTCCCCATAAGCCATAATTCTGAACTAGTTCTCAATGCTTCAGTTTTTTTACAAACTGGAACTGAATAATACTGACAGCAAATTAAGCACAGTAACCATGGTAACATTTTGGTCTCATTCAAGCAGGACTAGGTCAATATATTTTTTCCTTCAATTCCTCTGGACTAGTTTAAAAAATAAATTTCTGAGGATGGCAATATTCCAACAACATGTACAGGTACTAAGCCTTACCTGGTGTAATGCTGTCAGTCCATCTTCATTTGTAACATTAGGGTCAGTCTTGGTTTGTAAAAGATTCCGAACTGTAAACACAATGCAAACATTTACTAAGCATTTCACCACAAATTAACCATGGTAAGCATATACCACTTACTGCGCTTAACATGCTTACATAGACTTGCATGGCAGCAAACTGCCAATTATCTAGATTACATATCACGGAATATTATGATGATGATATTCTAGTTTATTCATCATGATGATATTGTCTATGTTAAATCTGACCAGTGCACCTAGACCACCTTTTGAGTTGGCTTTTAGCGGTTGACACAGGTACCACAAGAGCCTAGAGTCAGGGAAACAGAAAGTTTTTATTCAAACATCCGATAAAAAAATAGTCTGTTTCTTTTGCACAACAAAGATTACTTACAGGAAGCACCTTGTTATCTGTAAAGTTTCTATATTAATTCTGTTAAAAACAGTATGATTACTCTTTAGCCGGACAAAATGTCAAAAATGCTCCAACTAAACCAAATTATATTTTTGGGCGTTATGTCTACCAAAACAAAACTGGTTCACCTCCCTCATATTGTACACAGGCTCAAACATAAGTTTGGACACAAACATGGTGAAGCCATATCATTTTAACACTTTACGACACTAATTTCTCCTTCAGAGCTGTAGTTGATATCCCTAGCTAGTCAAATATACTTTAACATATGGATATGCCATTGGTTATTGCCAAACACCCAATCAGCAATCTTGCAGCTATTCGCAGCAAGATTTTTATTAAAACTCTCATCCTTGGAAAAAAACACAAATACTTGTTTTAAATCGAAAATATACCCTCAGATGTGGGTTTCCTTCACACAGAGACATTCTACAAACAACTGATAACTAAATCAATAAACCAACTGTTAGATTGAAAGTTAAATCTACTTCACGTTGACCTACATTAAAATCTGGACATAAACATGATAAACATGGTCATGAAATTCTTAACTTGCTTCATACATGTCACATGTGACCTACATTGAAACCCTAACATGCTGATCCAACCATGGTGACTCTTGACATGCCTCACATTTACACTGTCGACCGATATTCAATCCTTACAACTATTGACTTGTTGCATACTGACTTATATTGAAAACTTGATTTAACAAATCTGGTCATGTGAAAACTGACTTGCTGCATATTGACGAACATTCAAATCTGGCTATAACAAATTAGGTCATGTAAATTTTGACTTGCTGCATACTGATCCACTTTAAAAAGTTGATATAACAAATTTGGTCACGTGAATACTGACTTACTGCATATTGACGAACATTCAAATCTGGCTATAACAAATGTGGTCATGTAAATTTTGACTTGCTGCATACTGATCCACTTTAAAATGTTGATATAACAAATTTGGTCACGTGAATACTGACATACTGCATATTGACATATATTCAAACATTGATACATGTATAACAAATTGGGTGATGTGATATCTGACTCGATGCATACTGACGTACATTCAAACCTGGCTATAACAAATTTGGTCATGTGAAAACAGACTTGCAGCATAGTGACTTTCATTCAAACCTTAATATAACAAATCTGGTCATGTAAATTTTGACGTACTGCATATTGACGTACATTCAAACCTGGGCATAACAAATGTGGGCCTGAATATTTACTTCATGCTCTGTTAATGCAGCCAGGCACTGTGAGCCGTGCACTTACCAATGAAACTCGTAACTCCAAAGAGAAATAAAATAAAAAACAAAACAATGAAAGTCATAACTGATTTCACACTGACCTACATTCAAACCAGGACATAACAAACGTCATGTTACTATGGTTACTCGTGTCCATATTAATAGTGACTTACATTCACCTGCGAACAAAAGAATTTGACAGGGATTTTTCAAGGATTCCAAACAAAGTTCCCTAGGCAGACAAATTGGATATAAAACAAGTTTGTTCAAATTAGGGATTTTCTTTAAAGTCGTTATATTCATAAATTCAGGGGTACTTTTATTCTTCCACTCAATACAAAACCATAAACTCAATACAAAACCATAACACTAAACATTAAAGCCTGTTCATGTTTACTGGTTCTGCTATCAGTGAATAGCAAGACCCCTCTGCAAAGTGATAACATTGTTATTACCATACTAAAATGACATGGCAAATATTTCATTCTAATTTGGGACTTTTTACTGACATTTGCGTCAGACTTGAGGCTGCATATGAGCTTTCAAGTAGGTCTAGATAAATCCATGTTTGATCATCAAATCCGGATAACTCTTGACTTCATTTCAACAATTTGCTGGTTATTTTAAGAGAAAATTACCAAATTTTGCCATATTCCATCTGTATTTGTTAAAGCTATCTTCAAGAAATCAATGGATGTCACAAAATTGTCGGTTTTGCCAATACTGAATTATTGATAAAGGTCAGTAATTATCAATAATTAGGAACTTTTAAATACAACATGTACAAAGATATTGGTTTTATAATTCTGAATGATTATCAATGATTAACTGCACTGAGCATGAGAAGTATACCCAACAGATTTCCATGTTACCATGGTGAAAGGAAGAACAAGTGCAAGCATTTCAACCAATGAACCTGGCAGCTAGTGATAATACTGTTGATAAATAATGTTATTTCTTGTCTTTTTCAATGTCCACCAACTACCCACCTGCTAGAACCAATAATGTTGGTAAATGGTGTTATTTATTACTTGCCCGTGAAGACATCACCCGTTTAATAACAATAAGCTGGTATTACACAGTGACGAAAAACAAAGCGCATACTTATGTTCTGCCAGAACAAGTTTACAAAGAAAACACAATTAATGGAACAAGTTTGACCAACAAAGTAACAAATGTTGAAAACTCTCAACATCCCTTGGCTCATTCAACAACATTGCATGTAGAGATTATATATCACCGAGAAGAGCTCATGCACACTCGACATGGCATTGTTTCTCCAGAGTGTCTTGCAACCAAATTTTACAATTTATGTCATAGGGTATTGTGACGTGATCGTAAACGTTGTGATGCAAGGCCCCATTCAAAAAAGTTTATGATAAAATATGGGAGCTACGATAACCTTTGACAACTTTGTGGGATGGACCCCTGAATGCTAAAGGTAGGCCCCTGTATGGTAGTAAATTAATACCTGTCAACTTTTGATGTGTTTGAAGAATGATTCTGTTAAACTTAATAGGATTTTGCTGGTGATCAAGTAGATATCTGCCTATTCATACACAGAAGTGATGTTTTTAAAGTAATAAGCGGTAAGTAAAAAAAAAAAACTAAACAAGTTCCCATTTAATACCAAATTTATGAAACTCGTGACTAGTTCTGGTATCCTCTATTGATTACCTTCTTCTCTGTCAACCAAGTACCTAGCAATTTTTGTTTTGCTTTTCTTGTTTGTTGTTTAACGCCGCACTCAGCAATATTCCAGCTATATGATGGCAGTCTGTAAATAATCAAGTCTGGATCAAACAATCCTGTGATTGACATCATGAGCATCAGTCCACACAATTGGGATTGATTACATTCATCAACCAAGTCAGCGAACCTGACCACCCGATCCCGTTAGTTGCCTCTTATGACAAGCATAGTCGTCTTTTTGGCAAGCATGGGTTGCTGAAGAACTATTCTACCCCGGAAATTCACAGGTCTAGCTGCTAGTAACAAATACTGTGGGTCAATAATGTTATTTAATCCCTTCTTCTGTGTCAACCCACTCCCTAGCTGCTAGTAACAAATACTGTGGGTCAATAATGTTATTTAATCCCTTCTTCTGTGTCAACCCACTCCCTAGCTGCTAGTAACAAATACTGTGGGTCAATAATGTTATTTAATCCCTTCTTCTGTGTCAACCCACTCCCTAGCTGCTAGTAACAATACTGTTGGTAAATAATGTTTTTTATTACCTTCTTCAATGTCATTTCTTGCCGCAGACTCCAACAATGCTATGCTACTTATGAATTTGACTCGGATATTTTTCTTTTTTTTCTGTCTCTGAATAGAATTCTGTTGAGATGTAGATTTCTTCTTCTTTGAGTCTTTATCCAAGTGTTTCTCATACTGGCTAAATTTTTTCAGCTGCTGTGTGCGCCGTTTCCGCGCATGTTTTAGCCGATCCTGAGTCGACATCCTTTCCACGGACGCCATCTCATTAACCAGCTCGCTATGGTCAGTCATCCTGGCAGCGTCAGTCAGATATCACAAGTATAGGAGAACACAGCTAGAGGTAACGCCCACACAGTGAGTCCTGCCCCATCACAGAAGCCAAGGACAGTAATCAGAGTCTGCAGGTGACAAGCCACACCTTCTCTCCATAGGCCAACACAGGGCCTACGTCTACAGGAAGTTGCCTATGCTGTCTGAGAGAGGCTCCACATGAAGTACATCCAACAGTAGGTCTCCTGTAAGGTGGGCGGAGTCGACCTTGGTCCTCTGTGGACTAGTTGCAAGTCACCTGAAACAAACATCAGATATCAGACCAATCTCATGGAAATCAGTTCTTAGTTCTCCCTATAGCTGAACAAAGATCTGAGGACATCCCATTACGACCTTTCATCTCACCAGTCGGAGCGTCGCTTACCAGATCATGAAAGTGACACACAGAATGTGTTTTCTAATCATGTAACCATGAAATATTTAAAAGAGGGTATTCCGAACGACAGTAACAGGTTTCATGATTATATCCATACAATACAGGCCATCTATAAGCCATTCCAGAATGTTCTTTTAATCAGTTTTAAAAATTTTAACCGAGAATACGTCAAAATATGTTTCGAAGCATAGTCGCCAGTTTGAAACTAGTGTTGTAAAGCTCGAAAAAGCTGCCTTCTGATTGGCTAATGTCGATTTCTTGTCAGTCATTTCATTGATTGGTCAAAAGTTGTTCTGACGTGAACCCTAATGGGATGTCTTTAGATCCTTGTTTAGCGGTAGCAAAAACTAAGATCTGATTTTAATGAGATTGCTTTCAGACGCGGTCCACAAGACCCAGGACAGAAACAAGGGCTGTGTTAAGATCCACAGAACAATTAGTGCACCACAATATTATGTGCCACGATACGACTATTGATACAAAACCATACAAGGGTATAATAGCATGAAGATTAATCATAAGGTGAGGTCGCGTCCAAGATTATTGCACTTATATAGCGATGTGCATGTACGTGTGTGTTTGTGTGGCTGCTTGTACTAGCCCGGACTGACACAGTATACTGACTCCGAGCCGACCAGTCCTTATTTTAGCCCCTTCATGCCGAGCGCCAGACAGGGTAACAACAAGCACCATCTTTTAACGTCTTTTGGTCTGATGTGGCCGGGGCTCGAACGCCGGACCTTCCGCTCTCCTGGTGGACGCTCTACCACTAGACCACGGAGGCGGTCAGATTATTCATAAATATCTATTTTCTGCTTGTATGTACAATTATATAAAAGTCGCAATCAACTGGTTTATTAATTAATTCAAATCTACTAAAAAACATTTCAGTGCAGCTACTATTATTTCCCTTCTAATTAGGGAATGTTTCCTTCACATGACGAGTAGCGATTTCTTTTGCATCAAATTAAGACACGAAATATGTATTGACACAAATTAAAGCACATCTTGCATCATTCTACAATGATAGCTTTGTTCATTTAACATATAGTGATGCACAGGTTATGTCAGTGTTACTTGACATAATAGTGAGTGAGTGAGTGAGTATGGTTTTACGCCACTTTTAGCAATATTTCAGCAATACCATGGCAGGGACACCAGGAATGGGTTTCACACATTGTACCCATGAAGGAATTCGAGCCAGGGTCTTCGACATGATGAGCGATTGCTATTACCACTAGGTAACATGCACATGCAACATCATGTTGGGTTTTCATTTGCATGCCATCACAATCTTACAGCCCAACTGATGGAAGCCCAATGCTAAACAACACCATCAGCCGACTACAAACAGGAGAATCATCTTTAGCTTTATGCTGGTTTTCCCACATAGCTCCAAGCACCATTACAAGACTGTAGAACTGTTTATCAGACATTCCAGCTATATGACGGCGGCCTGTAAATAATCGAGTCTGGGCCAGTCAATCCAATGATTGACATCATGAGCATCGATCCAGGCAACTGAGATCCAATGACATGCATCAAACAAGTCAGCGAGCCTGGCCACCCAATCCCGTTAGTCGCCTCTTACAACAAGCACAGTCGCCTTTTATGGCAAGAATGGATTGCTGAAGACCTATCCTAACCCGGATCTTCACGGGTCGATTCATACATCTATGTCACTTCAGTGATATAACCACCATAGCCACCTCTACAAATACGGCAGGATTGTGTAGGATATCAGCCCAGGCAGTGAGGAAATGTTTACATGCTGAAGGTATTCCCACTAGACATCTATTTCGAGGTGTCATTTGGCGGACCTGCATCGTCGGCTGTGAAATCAATGGTGTTAAGGTCACGGAGTATGGCCACAACTGCGATGGAGACAAGTTTGGTTCAGTGACGAGTCCTGTTTTATGCTTCGCCGTGTGGATATAGACAACGTGTTTACAGGCGTTGGGATCCACTGGATCAACAGCTGTGAGCATGTCAGCAACAACCACAGAACCTCCGACAGTTTGCACAAGCACAGCAGGCAGAGGAGGTGAACATTCCCCAGGCCACAATTCGGGATCAGACTGCTTCCATGGGACGACGATGCCAGTCAGTTTTGTACTCTAACGGTGGCCATACAAGAAATTGAGTACAGATGACCTACACCTTGAAAATCGACTGTTCCATCAAGAATGGAAAATGACATTTACACATTCATAAGGAACAACACTAAACCCTGTGGCAATCTTGATAGCACCGTTGACAGAAAACAGCCAAGTGATTCTTGTTATACAATAATGATTAACCAATCAGTTCTATGCAACATTAAGTATAGCATACTTATTGCCACACCCAGCATTGTATAAGACATCATCACAACATGACATGTAATCATGGCAGCCTTGATATGTGTAAAATAATAAAAACATTTTGTTCATGTGAATAAACATGTTCAAAACAAGCTGTATGTCAAGCCAGTTGTACAACTTTGATTTTGTTCATATAACAGTATAAACTGTCAGATTTCTATTGTTTTCTTACTTATATACAGTAATAATAACTACTCTTTCAAATATCATAAAATAAATATATGATATTTTCATTTGGTGTGGCATCTAGCACACAATAAGTCCTAAATCAGTTAATTGCTCCACCTCACAAGATATTGAACATACAACTGAAATGAGGTATTTATAATCACTGAATCCTATTTCAACTTAATCCATCTTAATATTGCACATGTGAATACAGTAGAGGAAATTATTAACACTGTTCTAACATATATGATATTGTTTCAGTTGTGATATATATTTATTAATATCCCAGGTATCATGCTGGAATATGTTTGTATCAAGTAGGACCTGAAACGTATTATGTTTACAAACAATGTTTAAACATGAAATACTTTAATAATAACACTCACAGAGTAACAATGTTTCCTAGTTGAAATAGTATTATTACATTCAGTACAAATTTCAATGAAATACGTAAAAATAGGGTCTAACTCTGTAAACAAAAATTCATATTTTCACAATAGTGATTTTATGATCAAAATGCTACGTCAGTAAAATCACTTCCTGCAGAGACTTAGTAACATCTAGCGTGTTCCATCATTGAATACAGGAGCTTATATTTGCAGAGGATTATATAACCTAATCCGATCTACCTGTAATCCTTCTTAAATCCACCTGTATGTATGTGACTCGTCTACTTTAACTTCATCTTACCTGACCTAGATCTATACCTGTACTGGCGTAATGTCTCTCGACATCAACCTTGTCTCACCACCGAGCTCTCCCTGGCTCGCTAACCGTTACACGAGAAAAACATTCACCTATACAGTTCACTACAACATATGTTCTACATAATATCACTGTGTGCACGAACATTTAGAAAACATTAGAGACCAGTCCACTGGATCTGACATCGAACGGAACTTCCGCTCAGCTATCCAATATACAGCCGATGTTGTGTTGTCTCGGTTTAGGTGTGTCAAATATTTCTCAATCCGTACCAAAGCGGTTAACATATAAAAAACGGTATTTGGAAGTATTCTCTAAGGTAGAAAGAGCAGAAACCATTACAAACTAAAGCTAATTGGGTTGTGTAAGTTGTAGATGGCTTGTCAACAATCGTTACAATGCGACAACTCAAAATAGAGGCCAAACGACACACTTCGTCGCGTCGACCTGAGTTCTGACTCGACCATCGGGCGACATTCTCGCCACAAATACAACATCGTGCAGACATATATACATAAAGTATTGAACTAACCATATATTCTTTTCACAGGTGAGGTACATACCTCATAACCCGGTCATCGTGACGATATTAGGCAAGGTCGACAGATTAAGTCCCGGTAGACATTTTACCGGTAGGTGGCGCTACGCACGGAGGACAATGTCATGTGACAGGTGTTGGTCAGGTGTGTTATGAACAGGTAATACACAGAGGCCGGGTATGAGGTCGTGACGGCATGGATTGAACGTGCGAGGTCAGCTCGATAGGAGCAGTTAGGAAAATCAGGCTACATGACAGCGTCTAACTGCTAGTTTAATGTTACAATCAACTAGCTATAGGGTCGCGTACGTGTTGCAGCCGAATGCAGAATGAACATAATGAATCATTTCTCAGGCGTTCGTAAACAAAGTACAGTTTATATGCAGGGATTGGTGCAGTGGGTTGTAGGACGGATGTTGTCAACACAGGTTATAAACGAGTAATCAACGTGCAGACGGATTGCAAACTTGTTCTCGGCATGCATATATATACATACCGCCCTTGACTCGCTCTATATGCAGTGAAACGAATGGCCTCGCGTAAGGCGCTGTCGAGACTTGCAGCATGTACACTTGATTATGCAGAGCAAGACCTGCTTAACAGTTCACGTTGGCACGTTTGTTATAATTGACGCACACGGTATGCGTAAAGAGAATAAAGGCTGGCACTAAAGATCTCGGAGTTCACCAGCTCAGTATTATAGCAGTAATTTACACCCGATACACGCACCAACCTAGCTGACATAATGACCTGATGCACTTCAGCTGTGGTAGTAGTTAGAGACAACCACTTGTTACAACTGCTTAACGTATATTCAACAAGATAAACAGTTAACAAAACACCAATGTTACCACTTCAAGATCTAGGGTATAATAGGTCTTCATCAACCCATGGTTGTCGTAAAAGGCGACTATGCTTTGTCGTAAGAGGCGATTAACGGGATCGGATGGTCAGGCAAGCTGACTTGTGTATTGCGTGGATCGATGCTCATGATGTCAATCACTGGATTGTTTGGTCCAGACTCGATTATTTAGAGACCCCCGTCATATAGCTGGGATATTGCTGAGGGCGGCGTTAAACTACAAACAAACAAAACTTGAAGAGATCGAGGGTAATAACTCCCTTTTATTGCTGATTTTGGATTTCTCAAACCTGATTGGCCGGCTGAAGCATTGTGACGTCACATTTTTAACAGTATGATATGACGACACACAATGTTCATGACGTCCTGATTTATCACGTTACGTCATCCGAACAACTGTTTTTTATTTGGCTGATCTTTTGAATATGATTGCCTTCCTTATCACTTTGAGTTACGGATTATCCGTTCCTCTTGAATGAATGTTGTAAGACGCAAGCAATTTGCTCGAGACACACAACTATTATTCAAGAACATATAACCCATTAGTCCTCGTAGATTGTTAGGTATATCTAAATGGCCCACGGGCAGCAGGCATGGCTGACCAGCACGTAACAAAACCCGTGATTCTGCACTAACTTATCACCAAATATCAATAGCACGATATCATACAACACATCACGCAGGCCCTCCAGGTAACGTAATCTGAAAAAACAGGTAGAAGAAAGGATAATGACATCCTCGCTCCATAAAACGACTCCAGCGTCACTCCACTACTCTTACATAGACCTAGAAAGATCGCTTTGTTATATAGTGATTGAGTATGGTTTTATGCCGCTTTCACTCACATTGTGACCATGTGGGGAATTGAACCCGGGCCTTCGGCGTGACGAGTGAACTCTTTAACCACTAGGCTACCCTACCAGCTCTGAAATAGGCCCTGTAAATAAGAAAATACCAATGACCGACGTCTCCGCCACCTAAGCTCACCCATTAATATACATTGATGTCAAGCATTCTGAAGATAATCGGGCGGTATTGTAGCCTTGTAGTTAAGCATTCGCACGTCATGCCGAACGCCGGGTTCGATTCCCAACATAGATACAAAAAGCCCATTTCTGGTGTTCCCCGACGGAATACTTCAAAAAGACGCGTAAAACCAAACTCACTCACGGAATATAATCAGTTTGACAGTGTGAGTGCCGGTACACGCTGTCGGGGTACGTTTTTAAAGGGAGACTGTGCTCCATGCTCTCATGCCCAATTCCAATCTAGGTCAAGACATTGGAGTTGTTGCCATGAGTTAAACTGAGACATATCCTGGGTAATAACCAAATATATGATTGACTTGCATAATTGAATATAAAGTAGCAGCCATATAGTCATGTTTGAATGACTTGAGTCCAACCTGCTGGGAGTGCTGAATATCCCTCGGCTAGCCCCCCTTTAAACAAAGGTCACACACATGGGTGGCAGAAACCAGGTCCCTGTTCCAAAAAGCCACCATAGCGCTAAGACGATACGACTTACGACAGTCTGAGCGCTACGATAGAATCGCTGATGCTGAATAGAGTCAGTGTCCTCTTAACAAGCATGAGGTACTGCCCCGGAATCCCCATGCTTGACATTAACACAAAAGCTCGATAATGTCTTAGCTTATGATGTCTATCACCTACCCGTACACATCTCGGTGACATTTGGCCTTATCGTGACATCTCGACTTTATGTCTCATGATATGAGGGCTGTATCTCAGCCCATGATATCGCGACTATATCCGAGAAACATCACGGCTATATCTCAGTTATCATAGCGTGAATATCACAGCTATATTCAAGTTGTCGGAGGGGCGATGGGGTGGCCTAGTGGTTAAAGATTTCGCTCATCACGGCGAAGGCCCGGGTTCGATTCCCCACATGGGTACAATGTGTGAAGCTCATTTGTGATGTTCCCCGCTGTGATATTGCTGAAATATTGCCAAAGCGGCGTAAAACCACACTCGCTCACACACTCAATTTGTCAGAAATAATTATGTGCGCAAAGCAATAACCAGAGTGAGGTGAATCACTCCATTGTAGTCACTCCATTGCTGACGCCCATTGTAGTCACCTTGTTGTTACACACAGTGCTAGCAACGCAGACCCATAATCTGTAGTTGTGTCATGAAGATATCAAGACAACCATGCCACGCACGTCCCCTGCAGAGATACGATGGGTGCATATTATAATGTAAGGTATTATAGGTATTCAAGGACTTGTGGGGGTGCCAACCGCCACCTCCCTGAATCCCGAATTCTACATGACACATATTTCAGCACTGAGTAAAAGGTGCGATTCGAAATTAAATTACCCCAAAAATATCGAATGAGTGAGTTGGGTTTTAACGTCGCTTTTAACAGCATTCCAGTTATACCACGGCGTGTCAGCTTAATGTGGGAGGAAAGCCCGAAGTGATGCAGGTCTCAGACGTTTACCACTTCGATGAAACCCAGGAGCTGACAAACCTAGAAACATAATCGGGGCTAACCGGATTCGAACCCACAATCATAGGTTTCTGGCGTGCCCAACTCTGCACAGCGAATCGTGGTGCCTTAGACGACTTATTAAAATATATTTTATATGATAATGAAAACTATTACGTACACCATTAATGTTTTTCAAATGTTGAATCTGCTGTCCTGCGTACCGTACTGCCAAGTCCCGGATACCCTCTACATAGACCCCCGAATCCTGCGTACCAAAAAATTATATGTGGCAAAAATGGAGAGAGGCCCCTCCCTTCCCTCCAGACCCGGATAAGCATCGCATTTGAACAAGAGTAGACAGGAGTGTTATACAGACACGCACTGAGCTATGACACATCATGTTGTCCTGCAAGTTACTATATATGTAATATTTACACTGATAGCCAGCCTACTGGAGTAGGGCGGGGGTGGCTGTCGCAACCACACTGACGTCAGAAGGGCCAATGGTTGCTCTCCGACCCATGTCGAACACTATTAATAATACTAACTTAGTAACTGGGGTGAAGTTGATGAAGTTTATAATAAGGTACAACACCTGTATACCCCCGAGTTCAGTGTATGGACACACCCGCGTGTTGTAAACGGCATGTACTGTATTGTGTTCTGTACTTTGTGATACTGAATGGACCCGTCCATCAGGTTATAAGGCACCCATTTACTAATGTACTGGTATGTATGCTGGTCTGCCTGTCTCCGCGAAACGCTTCCCGGTAAACAGCTGTGTTTTCAGACCGAGAGATATATTTAAAGTGTCTAAGAAGTGTGCTTCATGAGTGTGTCAGATTGAAATAGGAGCCGTGGAAAGATATTTGACCTAGAACTTACACCTGCGTGGGATTGCATAGGTTACAATGTATATAGGAAGCATATCGTCACATGCCCTGAAACAGGGGAACATATGATCACGTACAGGTGTGCAATGTATCATGTTCTACAGGTGTGTAAGATACAATGTTGTACAGGAGTGTAAGATACAATGTTCTACAGGTGTGTAAGATGCAATATTGTACAGGTGTGTAAGATAAATGTTGTACAGGAGTGTAAGATACAATGTTGTACATGAGTGTAAGATACAATGTTGTACAGGTGTGTAAGTTACAATGTTGTAGATGTATGTAAGATACAATGTTGTACAGGTGTGTAAGATACAATGTTGTACAGGAGTGTAAGATACAATGTTGTACATGAGTGTAAGATGCAATGTTGTACAGGAGTGTAAGATCCAATGTTGTACAGGTGTGTAAGATACAATGTTGTACAGAAGTGTAAGATACAATGTTGTACAGAAGTGTAAGATACAATGTTGTACAGAAGTGTAAGATACAATGTTGTACAGAAGTGTAAGATACAATGTTGTACAGGAGTGTAAGATACAATGTTGTACAGGTGTGTAAGATGCAATGTTGTACAGAAGTGTAAGATACAATGTTGTACAGGAGTGTAAGATGCAATGTTGTACAGGAGTGTAAGATGCAATGTTGTACAGGAGTGTAAGATACAATGTTGTACAGAAGTGTAAGATACAATGTTGTACAGAAGTGTAAGATACAATGGTGTAAAGAAGTGTAAGATACAATGTTGTACAGGAGTGTAAGATACAATGTTGTACAGAAGTGTAAGATACAATGTTGTACAGAAGTGTAAGATACAATGTTGTACAGAAGTGTAAGATACAATGTTGTACAGAAGTGTAAGATACAATGTTGTACAGGAGTGTAAGATACAATGTTGTACAGAAGTGTAAGATACAATGTTGTACAGGAGTGTAGATACAATGTTGTACAGGTATGTAAGATGCAATGTTGTACAGGAGTGTAGATACAATGTTGTACAGCTTTGTAAGATACAATGTTGTACAGTGTGCAAGATACAATGTTGCAATGAAGTATACGATACAATGTTGTACAGGTATGTAAGATACAATGTATACAGTGTGTAAGATACTATGTTGTAAAGAAGTGTAAGATACAGTGTTGTACAGATGTGTAAGATGCAATGTTGTACAGAGGTTTAAGATACAATGTTGTACAGATGTTTAAGATACAATGTTGTACAGATGTGTAAGATACAATGTTGTACAGGTAAGGTAGATGTCAATACCAGGCTGACTATAGCTGGACAATAATAATACAAAGTTGAATACGGAAGTATCATCATTTCATATCTTACATCCGCACGGCGCGTGTCAGAAAGTTCTTACATCAGCTGAACGACCCATGCCATCAGTCGTCGTTGGCGTCTTAACAAGAGAAAATTATATAAACATTCTTCCTAAGCAAAGCTTTTCTTTAACTTAGTAGCGAATCAGTGATTCGAGTCCTTGGTACAAACTTCTGTTTACTAAGGGAAATATCCCATCTACCCGATAAAATTGGGTATGCCTTAGATAACCGTTAACAACCTCGATTATTCAGTCTATTATATCTCTCTTCTGTTATTTTTTATTACAATAGAATGGATGCATGATACACGAGGTAATCGATGACGTGTGCGGTCACGTGATTGATCCTTTGGACTGTGCGCCGATGTCGATGGTGTCAGCGCTTACCGTTGTGTCGCCCAGTGGAGATTCCGGGATAAACCTGATCCCCAGTAACCTGTCCTGTCTGTGGGAGACGACCAAATGGATTGAGTGGTCAGACGGTTGATGGAGTGTCATCTTACCCGACGGCGTGGGTCATAATATCAATCACTGCATTGTCTGATCCAGATTGGTCCAGCCCGCCGTCATATATAGCTGGAATATTGTTCATTGTGGCGTTAAACAACAAATACACACAAACACTAACTGTGGGACCCCCCACAATGCATTTTTTTCAAGAATGAGCTGTCGCTATATGGTTGAAATAATGCCGACGCGACGTTAAATTTTAACTCACTCAATATTAAGCTTTATATGTTGGCATATGAGGCACCACAAATCATTTATTTTTTCTCAGCTTGCTGCTATTCTGTCACAATAATAACCAGAATCTGCTCAAATCAATGCACTGGGTATACCGTTGGTGAGGCTGCGGCCTAGTAGCCAGGTTGTGGATGATCTCACGCAGGGCTCTACTTTCTGTACAGGTGTGTAGCAAGGCAGCTCGCTGACTCCTTGTCTTTTATCGCAGCGGGTCGCCCAGCGTGAGAACCGGGCTCGGCTGTTCACGCTCCAGTGGTAATCGCTCAACGTTCTCGCATAAACACGGGAATCAGTAATATGGTATTCGCCGAAATCTGTGTCACTACAATCCCGTTCTGTTGATACTTTATCTTTCTCTTCTCTTCCACTTTCCGACCCTTCTCAATTCTCACTTGTCTCTTTTCGTATTTCTCCTATTATCATCTTGTTTAGCGCAGTTTCCAAGTAACAACGAGTGAATTTTGTTTAACGTCGCAGTCAATATTCCGGATTTATCATAGCGTCCTGTAAATACTCGAGTCTGGACCAGACAAACCCGCGGTTGATATAATGAGACCCAATCAACTATAAGCTTCCCCTAGTCTCTTTCGCGGTCCCCGTATCATATTATTTTCCCTTCCGCCTAGTCTGTACTGTAATCTTGTATCCCAAAATGAAGCAAGTCTAGATTATCCACAAGCACGGATTCTCCCATGTCAATGGGACTATGCGTTAGTCTACTGACCACCCTATCCATTTTTGTCGCCTCTAAAGACAATCATAGGTTACTGGGGACCACTGGATTTTTGGGAAGCCTTGTGGTTAAAACGTTCGCTCGTCACGCCGAAGATCCGGGTTCGATTCTCTACATGGGTACAAGGCGTGAAGCCCATTTCTGGTGTTCACCGCCGTGATATTGCTGTAATGTTGCTAGTGGTGAGGCTGTTATTCCAACAACGTTTACAGGTCTTTATAGTGTTGTCGCCACCCCTAGTGTACAGTACATTCACTCTGTGCAATCTAAAGAACCCACTCGTCCGATGATAGAAGACCAGATGGTGGAAAAACTAATTCGTCAAAACGTGTGGTGTCACCCTCGGCAAGTGACTTCGTTCACATGTGCCTCTGTTCACCCAGCCGGGAATGGGTACCCTATATGTGAGGTGGATGTAAAACCCCTCAAACGCTAGTAGGCACCTTGGGTTGTTCAACCCTCCAAGGAGTTGAGTTCAATGCATACGGATCTACTGGTCGGGGAATAAATCAACCGCATTTGAGCAGATACTAGTATCTGGATAATTACGGTATACATATGTACAATATATATAAATATAATAACAATATACAGATACGTAAAACCACACTCAGTCACTCACTCAAAATTAGCGGACACATAACCAAATGAATTATGTCTCTGAAGTGTCTTTGAAGATTTAGCTTAACTGTATCAAACTTGCTGCAAATGTTTCTTTGTCTTTTATGTGTGTGTGATTATATACTGTTACAAGCGTAATAAATACCAACAATACAAACTAAAGGAAGTCGCTTTCATTTCCTGGTCTGAGCCTACTTGTGGTTACCACGTGACACACAATACGCTTGATCTTGTTACAGAGTACATTGTTATTACAGCGTGGGTGTTGGTTTACAGCTGTTCATGAAATACATATTTTTCATGTTCATGAAAAACATATATATTATGTTCATGAAATACATATTTTTCATGTTCATGGAAAACATATATATATTATGTTCATGAAATACATATTTTTCATGTTCATGAAAAACATATATATTATGTTCATGAAATACATATATAATGCGTTCATGAAAAACATATATATTATGTTCATGAAATACATATATATTATGTTCATGAAATATATATCATTAAAACTCGTTGGACAATCATAGGGTATAATGGGAACGAGAATTTATATACATGTATACTGAACAAGAAAAGTTAGGGATCATTAATAATTTTTGGAATATTTTTGTAGTGAAGGCTGGGCACACTTTTCTTTTAGAAATCACCAAAAATATTCATGATCCCTGAAGTTTTTGTTCAATGTATTTCACATACATCTTCGAATTTCTACCAGTACACTGGCCATTGGACTTTAAATGTAAAGAAGTAAGGCCGGATGTCTAGCTTTGTGTTCTATTTTAGGAAAGCTAAATGTCAACTGTGGTGAACTCCATTTACCAAAAACGCTAGACCTAAGTTCATCTTGCATGTTAAGACGTTTTGTTTGGTTGATGTTAATGAGTGAGTGAGTTAAAATCTATCGTCGCATCGGTATGATTTCAGCCATATAGCGACTGAGGTTGATGCCGAACTCACCAATATTGCCGCTGTATGACGGCGGCATTTAGATAATTAATCAGACAAACAGTGATTGATATGATGATCACTATCCCTCGCCATCGGCTAAGCTAAGTAACAAACAAACAGACAGACAGACCCCTGTGCTCTGGCCATTAACCATCCCTGCGACAACCCCTGTGCTCTGGCCATAAACCATCCCTGCGACAACCCCTGTGCTCTGGCCATAAACCATCCCTGCGACAACCACTGTGCTCTGAACATGAACCATCCCTGCGACAACCACTGTGCTCTGGACATGAACAATGATGATCAATGTCCCTCGCCATTGGCTAAGCTAAGTAACAAACAGACAGACAGACAGACACCCCCCTGTGCTCTGGCCATGAACCATCCCTGCGACAACCACTGTGCTCTGGACATGAACAATGATGATCAATGTCCCTCGCCATCGGCTCAGCTAAGTAACGAACAGACAGACAGACAGACAGACACATTTTCGGTCCATTTAGCCCTCTAATCATTCTAATCCTGGTTTTCCAGGGTCCCATATTAAGAGGTGATCAGCAGGTCACATTAGCTGAAACGTATGGGACCAAAATGCGCTCTGTGATGAAATGTTGCATGTGCTAGAATATGACATATTTGTATCAAATACATAATAGTGATGTGTGTACGTATATTGTGCAAGCCTCCGTATACTCGGTGCATGCTCAAAGCGCTAACATTATTACCCCGGTCAGTGGATCAGTGTGCACTCCATTCTCAGCTCCCTGGGGAGTATACATCCAAAGTTGCCTTGACAGGCACGAGAAGTTTAACTGTCACATTACCAACTCATCCTACCCGTTTTACTGCTTGGTGAACAGAGGCATATTTCGAACAACATATGCTTCAGTGTGGGGCAGGACCGAACCCCTAGAACCTCTTAGGAGTCAAGCCGGAGTCGCCCATCCAACTATTTAATGCGGCACTCATCCAACTATTAAATGCTGGTTTACGCAGTATTTAGCAGTTCTAAAATTGCTGCCTGTTAGAAATCGAGCCTGGGTCAGGCAAACCAGAGGTTGATGATTTACACCGTATTTAGTTTGGTCAGCCTTTATGACAAAATGGGGCTCTGTAGACTCATCGTCCCCGTAATGCCCATCGATGGAACCACTAATGGGACACCAAATCGGATCGTGACAACCACTGTGCTCTGGCCATGAACCATTCCTGCGACAACCACTGTGCTCTGGCCATGAACCATTCCTGCGACAACCACTGTGCTCTGGCCATGAACCATCCCTGCGACAACCACTGCACTCTGGACATGAACCATCCCCACGACAACCACTGTGCTCTGGACATGAACCATCCCTGCGACAACCACTGCACTCTGGCTAAGAACCATCCCCACGACAATCACTGTGCTCTGGCCATGAACCATGCTTGTGACAACCACTGTATCCTGGACATGAACCATGCGTGTGACAACTACTGTATTCTGGACATGTACAATGCTTGTGACAACTACTGTATTCTGGACATGAACAATGCTTGTGACAACACAGTGCTTCGGAACATGAACAATGTTTGTGTCAAGTGGGAAACGACAGGGTTCTAAGAGAGCTTCAACACACACACACACACACACACACACACACACACACACGCACACACACACATACATTTAATCTATAAGTAACGGGCACTTACTTTGGATGCGACACGTTTCATCGCGGATGCCAATACATTCCAACACATCGTAGGTTATCCGTTACCATGAGGTTATCGTCAGATCAACAGTAGATCATATAACACATGGCCCGCACGACAACCTTCGGAATAGTAAGCGTCCATGTCTTCAGCAACCCAGCTTGTTTCAAGTTAAACAAGACCTGGTCACCCAATCACATTCAGGCACACATTTCGGGACGGAAAGCCTAATTGACATCAAGGAAACAAGGAGTGAAAACTCCTTGTAAACTGTACAAAAAATGTTCTACGGTCATAACACTGTGCAGGCTTGCGTTGAAGTGCTTACGTTATCAAGCAAAATCCAAAGAATGTCCGCCGTGCTTCGATAATCAGACTCGTTCTTTTCGCATACCCTATTCATCGGCACATTCTGCGTGTGTGATGGTGCAACTGTTACCTCATGTATAATGTAGAGTTGTAGTGAGCGTTCCGCCTAACCTTGGAAGGCTGTGCGAATGTTGCCCAAGTGGTTATCAGTAAGTAGCCTTGTGAACCCCAGTGTTGGACTTTACTTTTTTGACCTGGGTTTTTGTCTGTTTTGTGTATTTCGTTGGCCGTTAGCTTTCAAGTGATATACCAGAATAAAACATATGCTAGATTATTTACCTACATTCAGCATGTCTTCGGAGGCCACAGATCCGCCATTTTTTAAAGCTGGGACAAGAGTGCGGGGGCGACATTAGCCTATCAACATTTTTTTCAAGCTAAAATGTCCTGTCATTAATGATTCTTCGTAACTTGTTACTCATAACCCATGTCTATTTGAGTATGGTATGTAAATGACACACCCTACCTCAGTATGTGCCGCATATCTCGGCGGACACACACAATTCGCGGTATGGTTTTGTTTTTTTGGTTGGTTGGTTTGTTTCACACTACATTCAGCAATATTCAAGCTATATGACGGCGGTCTGTAAATAATTGAGTCTGGACCAGACAATCCAGTGATTGATATCATGAGCATCGATCCACGCAATTGGGATCGATGACATGCATCAACCAAGTCAGCGAGCCTGACCACCCGATCTCGTTAGTCGTCTTTTACGACAAGCATAGTCGCCTTTTACGGCAAGAATGGGTTGCTGAAGACTTATTCTAACCCGGATCTTCCCGGGTCGGGTCGAAGCGCTGGTACAATGTAGAATGCTGTGGTGGACAGTTTGTTACAAGAAGTGTGTAGCAGTTACCTCCATTGAACGTTGACAAACATGGCAAGCGAGGTTGTTCAAGGTGTTTCGGGATGAGACAGTTTCTAGAAAGCTGGTTGTACCTATATAAAAGCGACACGAAGGCGACAAGAGACCCTGTTCACCCTGCCTTGTGTCTTATCTACTATTTGAAAATACAGAATCCCTGCCTGCTTCCAACACTATTCGGAATTCAAAAACAGACCTGTTTCAGGACATTTGACAGTGACAAAATCATTGGCTACCACTGACAATCACACCAAACACATCTTCAACAATCTATACTGCCTCATAACAAAGGTGTGAAGCCCAGTTCTGATGTTCCCTACACTGACATAGCTTGACTATTGCAGCGGAAAAGCCAACTCCTTCACTGATAGTAGTGTCACGTGTCTCAACTGTCGACATAATACGAACAATATGACACATCGTAGTTTTTTTGTGTGAAACAAACAAAGACAAGTGTCTACTGGTTGTCGATTGAGTGAGTGCACATTGCTTAATCCTGTATGGTGCGTCACACATTACCACAATATCAGAACAAAATCGGCAACTGATGGTCTGTAAATATTTGAAATATAGGTTGTCAGTTGTGGGATCCCCTTGGTATAAACAATACGAGGGGTGGTAATAAAGTTCTAAGCCTCAGTAACTTTCAACTATGGGCCTTACATAGTGAACTTGTCGATGTGGTACATTGTTTGAGTAGTTCATTTCAAGTGTATTTGGTCTGTTGAGGCCGTTTGTTTAATAGTGACATCCAGTTGGACGTGATAGGGGTCCAAATCGACACAGAAATGGAGTACCGAGCAGTCATCAAGTTATTGACTAAAGGGAAAAGTATTCTCCAAGAAATCAATGACCGCGTGTCACAAGTGTATGGGGACAAGTGCCCTAACTATTCCACTGTTAAATGTTGGGCAGCTATGTTTAAGGCTGGGAGAACCAGCCTTGATGAATGGCACTATTCCAGTTCTCCAGCACCAAAAACATTCAAGTCGGTAAAGAAATTCATGGCCACTGTGTTCTGGGGTGCAAAGGGTATGATCCTTGTTGATTACTTAGAAAGTCAAAAGACCATTACTGATGCCTCTTCGCACACCTCTTGACTTGGCAAGGCTGCTGTGCGACAATGTGGATTCAAAGAGCTTCCTCTGACTAACATGTTTGAACCAGCGAGCTAGCTGTCCTGGTATCTGAACCTGTTTGAGCCAACAGGCTAGTTAACCCCAGTGCCTGAATCTGTTTGAATCAACGGGCCAGCTGTACTGGTGTTTATGTGAGTGAGTGAATTTGGTTTTACACCATTTTTAGCAACGTTCCAGCAATCATGCCAGGGAACACCAGAAATGGGCTTCACACATTGTACCCATGTGGGGAATCAAACCAAGTTCTACGGCATTACGAGTGAAAGCTTTAACCACTAGGCTACCAACCCACTGGTCCCCTGGTGTTTGAACAACTTTGAGTCATGTATTACCTGTCCTAGGTCCACTTGCTCAAAGTGATCTTAGCACTACAATGATCATAACTCCCATACCTTAACATAGACTCACTATAGCCATACAACTAAGAATGCCTTGTACCAGATGGCCCTGGCCTAAATCCAATCTACCAGGAACCACCCCACTGAATCACTGCCTAGCTGTCCTGGTGTAAGTCTGAATGACAGAGTAGTCATGGGCTTGGTGTTCTAGAGTAATTCTGAACAAGCATGAAATACTCATATCCCCCCGCCAACATGACATGTCCGGTTGTGTGCAATGTATTAGCTCCTGTGAACTATGTTCACTGGACCTTTTTGTAAATGGCCTGATTGCAGCACTAAAAAAGTTATTACTGGTGTTGTTTTGCCTTCTGCAGTTTATGATAGAATACGTAACTGTATTTGTAATGAGTTGTGTTATTACTTAAATAAAATTCTAAAATTCATGAATAGCAAAACGCAACAATTCAGCATGTGTCTGATAGATGTGGAAAATTTCATCTGGAATCGAACACCACCAACACCAAGTCCAACTTGTTGCCATGGAAACGTAAAAAATGAACATTTTTAAAATTCCTAAATGGCAAAAGGCACCAGTTCACCATGAGACTGATAGACATGCAAAGTTTCATTATGGAAATATTTAACGGTTTCTGAGTTATGCTCCGTAAACGGTCTCAGGACGCACACACACACGGATGCATGGACAGACCCTATTTCAATATCCCCTGCCAACCTCGTTGGGGCAGGGGATAACTATCTGGTAGAGTTAGACAGATGGGAATACCGGTATTAGTCTCTTAGTCACTGCATAGCTGTCCTGTCCTTTACATTTTGAGCAATATGTACATGTTGAAAGTCGTACGTGGTGGTACTTTCGAGTTTATTAGTACAAACAACCTAACACACACCTATCTCCACATATATCTGGTTTGTTTAAGGTTAGTATTAAAACTTGACTCACACCAAACTAAAACACAGTCAATGCTCTATTTCATGACTCACATGTACAATGGCTTCCACCAAAGTGACAAGCTAAGGCATATATTCAATTAGATATTTATTTACAGTTTCCTATGTACAAAGCATATGACATGATCTGACCCGGGAAGATTCGGGGTAGAATAGGTCTTCAGCAACACATGCTTGCCGTAAAAGGCGACTATGCTTGTCGTAAAAGGCGACTAACGGGATCGTGTGGTCAGGCTCGCTGACTTGGTTGATGCATGTCATCGATTCCAATTGCGTGGAACGATGCTCATGATATTAATCACTGGATTGTCTGGTCCAGATTCGATTATTTACAGACTGCCGTCATATAGCTTGAATATTGCTGAGTGCGGCTATAAAGAACACACCAACCAACCAACCAACCAACCAAAGTCTGATCTCTAGCATGTCACTGCTCAGTGCCATCATTGCCTCCAGGTCACCTCAACTTCGTCTGTTCGAAACCTGAAATATCATTGAAACCAGCCTTCATTATAGACACGTCGGATTCCAGAAAGTGAGTGAGGGAGTTTGGTTAACACCACTTTTAACAGTAGGACTGGCTATAGATACAGATCATGGAGATCGATAATCGCCAACTAAATATCGATCCATTTTTGATAAATATCGGAGAAGTAACTTTGAGCAAACAAGCAAAAAACTCTGACAGAAATCAACATCCTTCATACCACTGGTGAATGGTGACACATTTATACATGGATTACTTTTGTGGACATTTAAGTTATAACAAAAACACTTGCTTTGCGTCTTTGGCAATTGACATGATTGATAATAGCAAGTCTGTTTTGGTAAAGTTCATTACAATTTTTTACGTAAGATATTATCGATGATACAATTTTTGTATCGATAATCGTTAATATTTCTTTCCATCAACGATAATTCTGATTATCTATCTTTTTAGCCAGCCCTATTTAACAGTATTTTAGTTATATCATGGCATGTCAGCTTAATGTGAGAGAAAAGACTGATGCAGGTCAAAGACAATTACCACTTTAGCAAAACCTAAAGTACAGGTTTGGTGCTGACAACACAAGGGACATAATCAGCATAATTGATCCTGATTTCTGGCACGACTAAGGGATGGATGTCTGCACAGTGAATCACGAGAGTGAGTTGGGTTTAACATTGCTTTTAACAGTATTCCAGTTATATCGCAGCGTGTCAGCTTAATGTGGGAGGAAAGCCCGAAGTGATGCAGGTCTCAGACGTTTACCACTTCGTTGAAACCCACGAGCACGTGTTGGTGCCGACAAACCTAGAAACATAATCTGGGCGAACTGGGATTCGAACCCACAATCCTAGGTTTCTGGCATGCCCAAGTGACGCAACTCTGCACAGTGAATCGCGGCGACTTACGGATGACACCACAAAGTATGACTTACACCTGACAATACAAAGTTCCAGAAACCATTACATCTGTTATAAAGAGTACCCCCCCGGGGTAAGACTTTTCCAGAATAATATCCTCTGTTACAATGTATACTGACGACACTTTAAAAACGCATTTTCAAATGTTTGTAATATTTAGCAAGTTGGACACAAAAATGAAATTAAGTTCTTTTACATGAGATTATCAAACGACAACAATGTTGTCATACAGTTTTGAATCCCCATTTGATGTGTTTTGAGATGTACTGCCAAAATCAATATACTGTATTCGACGTAAAAAGCGTCCTGCTCTTATAAGTGTCCATTGCTAGTGAACAATCCCAATTAGCACCCCTTCCAATTGATCAATGTACAAAAGACATATTCATTCATGTATAATACACACTCGTGTGTTATATGCACACTTAATCATGGGCAATTAAATTCTGGAAAAACATATTTGTCTTATGTAAACATTTCAGGCTGTCAGCATAAACCATGAAAAATTTCAACTGTTTTATTCACCAAAATAATATTCTAATAAGAGCCTCCTAATTCTAGTTTTGAGAGTGCCCTGGGCGCTTATTACGTCGAATAAGGTATGTTCATGCAACAATTTGTGAGATTTTCATAAATCTATGGATCTAAGACATTTCTGGGACATGTAATCTAAGACAGCCTTTCCTACCTCTGGGTGCAACTGGTTTCGTTTAGCGGAGTTGTCTGCCCGGCTTTAAACATCTCCCACCCGGCCTGGGCAATCATGGCACCATTGTCTATACAGAAGCTGCAAACACAGATATTCTGCTTTAGTGAGCGAACGAGTTTGCTTTAAAGGAGATTGAAAAAAAATAATTTAAATATGGTAAATAGTCATCCATGTTTACACTGTGACAGGCTAGTGGAGAGCCATCCATCATTTTCTTTTGTTCACAGTTCATTAACCTCCATAACAATGAGGTGATTATCCATTATTCTCGACGTATTGAAGATGCAAAATGGGGTTTGTGTTGCGTGGGGGTGTAATAGTTCTTTCAATAACAGTACCAAGTGTCATTCCTTGACATTTCCAAGCAAAACATCTGAGGCGTCTGTCTATGAGAGATCCACACAAACTAAAAGAACTTGATTACACAAATACGCAGTTCTGGGACCACTTGCACAAAGCGTTCTAGGCGCTACGACTATCGTAAGTCTATGTTAAAGTATGCAAGTAACAATCATCATAGTGCTAAGATCGCTTTGCGCATGTGGACCCAGACTTAATTGGTACACCATAGGTAGTTTTGTCAGTAATAGCTACAGCTCAACTCCATACTGAAATGCCACCTAAAGCTTCATCCAACAGCTATGAACATGTTGTAGCTACAAGGTTATCGTCAAGTCTCTACAGCTTTAGCTACATTCCTTCTCTGATTCAAAACAGAGTTTATTATTTGTCTATGACCATGTAATAATGATGTACTTTGGCAAGAATACCTAGCCGGTTTCACGCATTGAGATGTAGAAACGCCTACTTGTGCCACAGAATTGACAAACTTGGGTAAATTTGAGTATTCTGATTTTACTTACGGTACATTTCAGAATACAGACATGTCCTAGATCTGGGTTAGAATAAATCTTCAGAAACCCATGACTATCGTAAGAGGCGACTAACAGAATTGGATGGGCAGACTCACTGACCTGGTTGATGCATGTCAATTAATTGTGTAGAATGATGCTCATGGTGTCAATCACTAGATTGTCTAGTTAAATATTTACAGACCGCCATCATATAGCTGGAATATTGCTGAGTGCACAATAAACAACAAACAAACAAACAAAACCTCACAATCTTAGATTACCAAGTTATTTGAGAAAAAGACTATACTGTGAGAATTCATATCTAATTTTCATCTTCATTACGCTGTCTATTAACCTAAAGGAATTAAACAAGATTTTTGTTCAAATGTTCAGAATTAGAGATGACCACCCCAGTCACTGCTGGTCCACAGAGAGAAGGCACATGCTTCAAGGGAGCTAACTCTTGTACACACACCTCTGATCTGTAGCATACAGAATTGCCTCCCTTTCTTCAGCCATCTTCTCCATCATGTCTTGAAGTCGTTTATTGCCTGAAGCAGAAGAAGGGCAGACCTAAGGTACTGATACCAGAGCGACTTGAATATGTCTGAAGACGAAATGTATGCAAATTTTTCCTGCTTCATGAAGAAGGAGGGCGGTAGGGTAGCCTTGTGGTTAAAGCATTTGCTCGTCACGCCGAAGATCCGGGTTCAATTCTTGACATGGGTACAATGTGTGAAGCCCATTTCTGGTGTCCCCAGTAATGATATTGCTTGAATATTGCTAAAAGCTTCATCAATCTCATTAAAATCATATCTTAGTTCTCGCTATCGCTAAAAAAAGATCTAAGGACATCCCATTACAGTCACGCCAGAACGACCTTTCATCTGACCAATCAGAGCATCGCTTACCAGATCGTGAAAGTGACAAGTCGGAATGTGTTTTATGATCAAGCAGCCTCAAAAACGTTAATACGGGGTATTTCGAACGACAGTTACGGCCCATACGACTGATTCCATCAAAATTACTGTCTATCTCTCGCTTCTGTGGGATAAACATTTGATCGGAGGAGGCGTTGCAGAGAACGTGGAAAGCACTGCCATACAATCTCAACCATATATTAGACATTCCAGTTCATTTTTCAAAATTTTAATCAAAGACTTTGTCAACATTTATTTCAAGCGTCGACAAGTCAACAAGTTGAAACGAGTGCTGTAAAGGCTCGAGAAAGCTGCTTTCTAATTGGCTGATGTTGACTTCTTGTTAATAATTTCAGTGGTCGGTCAAAGTTCACGAAAGGTCGTTCTGACGTGACCCATAATGGGAAGTCCTCAAATCTTTGTTTAGCGGCAGCGAGAACTTAGATCTGATTTTAATGAGATTGAAACCTGCATAAAATTATATTCACCCACTGATGAAGAAGGGCACTTTCCAACCCAGAGTTCCTTATGGTCAACCTAGTACACATCTCACACAGTCCATTCAACAAATTACATGTTTTTCATCTGTTTCATTTTTGAAAAGTCTACACATGAAGATATACATAGGTCTTGAAATGGTGAATAGTGAAACAATGAGAAAATATCTGTCAATGTGAAAACCTTTTTCCAGTTGAGTATTTTCAGTGCAGACATTAAACCCCTATACATAACTGGTGATACGGTCACTTTAATGTGTAAAGATATATTGTCATCCTCCGTGTCATAGTTACAGTAATATATACCAATAATCATGCAAAAAAATCTTTCAAACCCATTGAAATGCTTCCATTAGGCAAATAACTGGATTGTCTGGTCCAGATGCGATTATTTACAGACCGCCGTCACATAGCTGGAATATTGCTGAGTGCGGTGTTAAACAAAAAATAAACAAACTGATTTCAGGACAAGTCAGCAAGATCTTCAGCTGCCTGTGAATAAGCAGACGACACAAACCAGTGACTAAAAGCATGAGCAACAACACACGCCATCAGGCACGATGACATGCAGTCAACCAAGTCTCCCAATCAGACCTCAGATCCCCTTAAGAAGCTCTTCAGACAAGCATGGGATCCTGGGGACCTATTCTTCCCCGAAATCCCCTCAAGGGTATTTCTACACCCTTATATCCAAGAAGATACCACAATGTTGAACAATGTGAAACATGGTCAGAACAAGGTGAGAAACTCACGATGCGCACCTACTTCTGGAATCTGTGGGATTTCCAAGTTAGACTAGGTCCCCAGCAACCTATGCTTGTCATAAGAGGCGACTAAGAAGGTCAGCTGGTCAGGATCGGTAACTTGATTATTTGCATCGTATCATCATATCCCAATTGTATGGCTTGATGCTCATGATGACAATCACTGGATTGTCTCAACCAGACTCAATTATCTGCAGACCACTGTCACATAGCAGGGATATTGCTGAGTGCAACATTAAACAGCAAACAGTTAGGACAAGCATGGGATATTGGAAACCCATTCTTCCCTGGAATCATCACAGGGATATTTCTACATCATTTTCCCTTATGAATACAAGCCAGTGTTAGAAATATTACTACTATGGCAAGTAACATGAAACATGGTGAGAAGGTCAAGACTCACAGCCAACTCCTCCCACAATCAACACCTCCTCGGACCTGCAGTGTGCCATGGCTCGCTCTGCAATACACACAGCACTGGTTATAGGAAAAGTACCACATGCTCAAATATTCAGATGCAGGTCCTGCTCCTCAGTATCATAAACAATGTGCCATTACTGTTACAGAAACACATCACATGATTAAAAATTTAAGTAATCTCTAATCTCGACCTGGGATGGATTAGTCTCACCTGCAATCTGCACCTGGGGACGAATTAGTCTCACCTGTAATCAGCCCCTGGGGATGGATTAGTCTTACTTGTAATCTACACCTGAGGACTGATGAACCTCACCTGTAATCTGCACCTGGGGATGGAGTAGACTCATCTGTAATCTCCACCTGAGGACTGATGAATCTCACCTGTAATCTGCACCTGAGGAAGGATTAGTCTCACATGAAATCTCTACCTGGGATGGATTAGTCTCACCTGTAATCTCCACCTTGGGACAGGTAAGTCTCACCTGTAATCTCCACCTGGGGACAGGTAAGTCTCACCTGTAATCTGCACCTGGGGACAAATTAGTCTCACCTGTAATTTTCACCAGGGTACAGATTAGTCTCACTTGTAATCTGCACCTAAGGACTGATGAACCTCACCTGTAATCTGCACCTTGGTACGGATTTGTCTCACCTGTAATCAGCACCTGTGGATGGATTAGTCTCACTTGTAATCTGCACCTGGAGACTCAAGAACCTCACCTGTAATCACCATGTGGGACACATTAGTCTCACCTGTAATCTGCACCTGAGGACTGTTGAACCTCACCTATAATCTGCACTTGGGGATGTATTAGTCTCACTAGTAATCAGCACCTGGTGACAGATTAGTCTCACCTATAATCAGCACCTGGGGATTGATGAACTTTACCTGTAATCTGCACCTGAGGACTGATGAACCTCACTTGTAATCTGCACCTGGGGACGGATTAGTCTCACTTGTAATCGGCATCTGGGGGCAGATTAGTTTCACTTGTAATCTGCACCTGAGGACTGATGAACCTCACCTGTAATATGCACCTTTTGGACAGATTAGTCTCACCTGCAATCTGCACCTGAGAATGTATTATTCTCATCTGTTGTCTGCACCTTTTGGATAGTCTCACCTGTTATCTCCGCCTGAGAATGGATTAGACGCACCTGTAATCTGTATCTCGGGACGGATTAGCCTCACCTGTTATCTCCACCAGCATAGCGAAGACAGTTTCCTGCAGGGAGAAACACAGGTCCTCTGGCGTGTACTCCCCCGCCTTGATCAGCTGCGGGGCTCGCTCCTGTATACACAGAGGCTACATGTGATGTCTCACCTCAGAACCAGGTACACATAAACATACACTGCGATGAACTGCATGTCAATCCATCCTGTCTATGAAAAAGATGGCTTGCACACCACAGATAAGAGCACATGCAAGTATCGTGATACATATCGGATCTTGAGTAAGGTATCTTGATACGTATCAGATCACACAGTTGATCGTCCCAGCCCCACCGGTTTCCACCTTTGCCGAACTGGGCTAAGATTATGGAGTTATGTAAACAACATGGCGACTGCCATGTCGACTGCAGAATTTGCAGAGCAAGTGTACCACCAAATGGGTGTAGACAGATGTTTTTCAAATCTTTTTATGTGTTTAAACAAGGTGCTCAAGCGATTTGATGTACTACGTGAGGTTAGACCGATTTTATTATAAAAAAGATCTGATTATCGATCAGATCATCTTGACTTGGGCCGCCATTTTGCTTTAATCAAATGCAAGTAATAAGAGAGATGGAATCTGATTGGTCAATAGGAGGGACATAGAAGGGACATAGCCTGTAGTCGCCACTGGTGGTGCTATGATTGAACCATGAAATTGCACCCCAGCAGGGCATGAGTGGAAACTGGACTTTTACAGTCAGTTAACTCCCTTGCCTCGTGAAGATGTGTTCAAAGTGATTTTAATCCAAACTCATTCTAGATAATGGATAATTCTACCCTGACATTGAAGAATGCTTGATTATGATTGAGTAAAAAGAGGTATCCTTTTTCCTACTGAAACCTCTCTTACATATATATCAGTCTTTTCACACCAAAACCATGCGTATGAATACATCCACTGCCAATATATGGATCCATAACAATTGGCTGCCGATACACCCATAAGAACTGTATTGCATCAACATTTGGCTAATTTTTTGCTGGGTCTCTAATACACGCCGGGTCAGGGGACCTCAATAATCTAAGAGACACCCAAGCGTCCAATAGAGGAATTACGGTATGTTTGATATCTGAACCTCCACAAATAGTGCTGTGACTGACCTCAATGTAGGACAGTAGGCCTGAGAAGGATACGTCCATCCCCTTCACGGCATATGGCAGCTCCAGGAACTTCTTCCCCCTGCAGAAAAACACAACACCACCACTGTGAACACAACAACACAAGATCCCTAAAAATTGTGGTAACAAGGACATGGATTAACTATCACAAACACAACCAGGGTGCCGTTGTACAAAGCGATCTAAGTGCTGAGATGATCGTAACTCCCATACCTTAACATAGGCTTACGACCGTCGTAGCTCTAGGCTTGTTTTGTACAACGGCATCCAGCCGTTCTAGTGTACTACCAAGGCACAAGGTGACATTCAAGCAGACCACAAACATGCCACAGTGTATATCTCGGTGGAAGCACCGGGTTTTTTAGCGCACACACGCTGGGTTGTACAAAAGGAGAAATCGTTATTCCGGATTACGATTGCTGTTGCCAAAACGCACGTAACATGCATCACATCAATACAGTACAGCAGTAAGGTCGTGACAGCAACAGTTGTGGACACAAGTGGACTACTTGCCTCTTAGCCATCTGCTCTATGTTGTAGCCCGGGCTGGGATCATTGGACAACTGCAATGCAGACAGGGCGAGGATTAATGGCCTCCAACATAACATCTGCTCTCTGCTCTAGCAATAACTCAGCCAAACAGAGTGTGAGTACATCCACAGTTTGTTATAGGAGCATGTGTTCATACTGATTTTACGAAAAGGGGGACTGAGTTCTTTTATTTCCCGCGTGAGAGCACGGGTAAACATTAATTCTTACAAGAGTCGAATGACGTCAACAACCTTCAGCTATGATGTCGTCTCTAGTTTGATGGCATTCCAAATTTACATCACAATAAGAGTTGAAAGATGTCAAGATTGTCTGGATGACGTGAGCAATACACTGATGTGTATGTAGTGATATCTGCACTAGTGCACACACGATTTTATGAACTCGGATATTCCTTACCATAGGGGTAATAAGAGCCTTACTGCACCTGATAATTCAGCTTAACACAGAGAGTGAGTGCACAGTGTATTATTACACTAGCAAGAACTTTGCTGCACGGAGAGTTAGAAAGAAAAAACATCTCGAGGTAAACATCATTCTACACGGTATATATTATTCTGTAGTAGTTAAAAGCTAATGCCTTACCTTTAAAACTCGGGCGAATCTGTCCAAGCAGTTTCCAACAGCTATGTCAATTGTTTCACCAAATATTCTATACCTACGATGAGAGTATGCAATAACCTGCAACAGAGACACACTGTCTGCCAGATCACACAATAATTCATGGAACCTCAAGCGACAACAATACGCAAGACAAGGCCTGTGTTTCCAGAATACACTGCATGTACAGTTGAACCTCATTGCGTCAAAACTTGTGGGGACCAGGAAAATAGTCTGCGTTAACCGGGGCTCGAGACAACCACCAACAAAGTGAAAACCAAACATTCTAGTGTGAGAGATTATTACTAGGTCTGAACACAAGACTAGATTTCAAGACATGTAAATTTCGGTGTCTAGGCTGCTGGTAGTGAAGGGGGCCACAACTCAAGCGTAGCATCGATCTCTCACTCTCACATAAGCATCATTGTATAAGTCATAGCTCGAATAATTGATTCACTAACATAATCTTAATCAATTTTCACGTCTCATCGGCAGTCATGTGAGAACACTTCAGTAACCTGCTGCTGATGCGCTGGAGTAATCAGTTTGCACCTTTGTAAGGTGTGCCTGTTAATGAGGCTCGATTGGGTGTTGGCATGTTGTTAGAAACCATCCTGCCTTTGATGTAATTACGGCAATCGCAGTGAGATCAGTCAGTTGTGTGGAAGAGAGTTGAAGTTTGGCAAGTGTGGGTGTGTGAACATTTATTTATTTTTAACTGTTCGAGTCATAAGGGGAATTTCATGCTTAATTTGGACACGTGGGACTCCCATATAAGTTTAAGACAACCGGGAATTCAAAACATTCAGTTCAAAAGATAAATAAATTAGGAATTCGCAAGGACCAGACGGAGAGTTCAAGACAACCAGGAATTCGACACATCCAAGCTGGACACAATGATTGATATGTTTAATCTAAGACCAGACTGACCTGTGTGTTCCCGCCACTGACATACAGAACTGTAGGGTTCTTGGCTCCCGTGATCAGACGCCCCATCTCTATGTCTGACCTGGATAAGGAGCTTTACAACTACCATTGTCTGTTTGTTTGTTTGTTGTTTGTTGTTTAACACCTCACTCTGCAATATTCCAGCTATATGCATGATATGGATACGGTCTGCAACCTGCCTTGCGTCTTATCTCCTATTTGAAAATACAGAATCCCGGCCAGCTTCCAACACTATTCAGAATTCAAAATAAGACCTGTTTCATGGACATTTGACAGTGACAAAATCATTGGCTAACACTGACAATCACACCAAACACATCTTCAACAATATACTGCCTCATAACAAAGGTGCGAAGCCCAGTTCTGATGTTCCCTACACTGACATAGCTGGACTATTGCAGCGGAAAAGCTAACTCCTTCACTGATAGTTGGTTGGTTTGTTGTTTTACGCCGCACTCAGCAATATTCCTACGGCGGTCAGTAAATAATCATGAGCATCGATCCACGCAATTGGGATACGATGACATGCATCAACCAAGTCAGCGAGCCTGACCACCCGATCCTGTTAGTCACCTCTTACGACAAGCATAGTCACCTTTTACAGCAAGCATGGATTGCTGAAGACCTATTCTACCCTGAATCACAGGTCTCACAACAACCACATACTGCCTATACGTCTGACCACCCCTTCCATCTAGTCACCTCGTCCAACAAGCATAGGTTGTTGGGAAATAATTCTAACCCAGAATCCCAACAGGGGTGGATTAGACTTGCTCAAGTCTCTAAGGCAATATTTATTAGTTTGAAACAATAATTTCCAGATTATGTAAATTATAACAAGCTGTGCATGTAAGAGACCGCAGTCCTTAGTCCACATATCTAGACTTGCCTTTTAGTAGGATGGAACTACTACACATCCATGGACTTATCATTCAGTATAGCCTTGGAGCAAGGTTAGGGGTGGATATATGTGGATAAGTAGATGTTAGCCTTGATGCACTATATAGAAGTAGAAAGACTTTAACCTTGATGTGGTGTGTGGGGATATGGGAAGGGGTAACAACACGCAAGGAAGGGACACTTCCTCAAAAGATGGCAACAAGGATACGCCCAATGCAGTGGTTGACCGCCACTATGGGTTTCTGCCACAGCTGAGCCACAGTGCGTGCCACAATTGCAGTCGACACTAGAGGCGCCCCCATCCCTGGCCCTGAAACACAATCAGTAACCATATCCAAGTCATACAAAACATGTCATTGATGAAGCATAACAAAAATACCATAAAAACACTATCAATCAATAAAATATGAGGTAAAATTGGGTTTAACGTCTCATTCAAGATCATTGCACTTATATAGCAACGTGCATGCACATGTGTGTTTGGTACTAGTCCGGACTAATGCTGGTTCCATAGTGCTAGCCCACAGATGACATGGCACAGCTTAACATGGATACCTCACTCTGACACTGTATACTGCCTCTGATCCAATCCCAGTCCGTTGTGCTCAGCACCAGACAGGGTAACAACAAGTACCATGTTTCAAATTATTTTGGTATTGAACCACCATCCTTACTCTCTCCAGGCAGATGTTCTATCCACTAGACCTTGAGTATAATGACAAAAAGTAAATATTCAGATTGAAATGGCATAACATTATTATGTTGTCAGTTTTGAATTGTTGGATTTACATGTGTATTATTAGACAATATCTAAGTTACATTCTGTGAAACAATACATGTTTGTTTTGTCGACATACTATGTTTGCTGATTATTTACAGACCGCCGTCATATAGCTGGAATATTGCTGAGTCCAGCGTTAAACAACAAACAAACAAACCATTCTCAACAACATTTTGAACAAGGCTCTATCATTAGTCTGTGTTGCCTTTTTAGTCTGTACAGGTTCATCATGTTTAACATAGACGAACTGGGTCAAAAACAGTAGATGTACCCACCTTTAGTGTAACAGACCACATCTATCTGCTGAGGGTTGATCTTGGCTTCATCTAGAGCCTGCTGGAGAACCTGCAGGACGTGTTCCCTGTGGTGCTTGGCGGTATCTCTCGGCAGGAAGCCTGCAGGAACACAACATGATGGATGAATACCACTGCTTAGTGTACAGCTGCCCCAACTGAACATTGCCGATGTGGAGCTGGGAACATTCATCAGTCTTACTTCCATAACTCTACACTAGATGCCCTGTGATGAATTTCTACCTCATAACTTAAAGAGGCCTGAGTATATCCCTTAGGGAAACGTTAAAAAAATTCCTCCATGTCATCAAAATACCATGACCACCAGCATCTTCCCGGGGCAAGGGAGTTAACTGACTAAAAAAGTCGAGTTTCCATCCTTGCAGAACTAGGCTGGTATTATGGAGTTAGATTTGTGGCCAGACTAATAAGTCTGTGCATTGTGTAATCAAAATCATGCAACGAACTTGACATCCTGTTCATAAACTGCCATGCAGATTTCAGTCAGTTGCAGGATTTGCAAAACATGTGTACTGTCAACTTAGCATCAACAGATATTATAAAAATCTTTGCATGTTAATAATTGAGGTGCTTTCGTGATTTTATGCACTTCGCGAAGTAAGACCTGTTTTATTACAATATAGATCTTGACTATCGATCTGATCTTCACTGGCCACCGCCATTTTGTTTAAAGCAAATGCAAGTGATATGAGAGGTGGAATCTGATTTGTCAATTGGAGGGACATAGAAAAGACATAACTCATAATAGCCACTGGTGGTGCTATGATCGAGCCCAGAAATTCATGCCTAATTCAGTCATGGATTCAAAGCCTAGATTTGTTGTGATTATCAACCTCAAGTTGTCAGCACCAACCAGTATCTGTGGTAAACCTGCATCCATTGGGTAGCTCCTGCACCCTCTCCAGCTGCCAGGTCGTGTACACCTACCCCCACGTGTTGAGAGTTGAGAGAGTTGCTCATGAGAGCTCCAGGACGTCACACACTCACTATGTCCCTGTATTGACCATGTCGGTCTGTGACATTCCTACCAGTGGAATCTTGTGATGTATTCGGTCATGTCGGTCTGTGACACTCGTACCAGTGGAATCTTGTGATGTATTCGATCATGTCGGTCTGTGACACTCGTACCAGTGGAATCTTGTGATGTATTCGGTCATGTCGGTCTGTGACATTCCTACCAGTGGAATCTTGTGATGTATTCGATTATGTCAGTCTGTGACACTCGTACCAGTGGAATCTTGTGATGTATTCGATCATGTCGGTCTGTGACACTCGTACCAGTGGAATCTTGTGATGTATTCGATCATGTCGGTCTGTGACACTCGTACCAGTGGAATCTTGTGATGTATTCGGTCATGTCGGTCTGTGACATTCCTACCAGTGGAATCTTGTGATGTATTCGATCATGTCAGTCTGTGATATTCCTACCAGTGGAATCTTGTGATGTATTCCATCAGGACGTCACACACTCACTATGTCCCTGTATTGACCATGTCGGCCTGTGACATTCCTACCAGTGGAATCTTGTGATGTATTCGGTCATGTCGGTCTGTGACACTCGTACCAGTGGAATCTTGTGATGTATTCGGTCATGTCGGTCTGTGACACTCGTACCAGTGGAATCTTGTGATGTATTCGATCATGTCAGTCTGTCACATTCCTACCAGTGGAATCTTGTGATGTATTCGATCATGTCAGTCTGTGATATTCCTACCAGTGGAATCTTGTGATGTATTCCATCAGGACGTCACACACTCACTATGTCCCTGTATTGACCATGTCGGTCTGTGACATTCCTACCAGTGGAATCTTGTGATGTATTCGGTCATGTCGGTCTGTGACACTCGTACCAGTGGAATCTTGTGATGTATTCGGTCATGTCGGTCTGTGACCCTCGTACCAGTGGAATCTTGTGATGTATTTGATCATGTCAGTCTGTCACATTCCTACCAGTGGAATCTTGTGATGTATTCGATCATGTCAGTCTGTGACATTCCTATCAGTGGAATCTTGTGATGTATTCGATCATGTCAGTCTGTGACATTCCTACCAGTGGAATCTTGTGATGTATTCGATCATGTCAGTCTGTGACATTCCTACCAGTGGAATCTTGTGATGTATTCGATCATGTCAGTCTGTGATATTCCTACCAGTGGAATCTTGTGATGTATTCGGTCATGTCGGTCTGTGACATTCCTACCAGTGGAATCTTGTGATGTATTCCATCAGGACGTCACACACTCACTATGTCCCTGTATTGACCATGTCGGTCTGTGACATTCCTACCAGTGGAATCTTGTGATGTATTCGGTCATGTCGGTCTGTGACACTCGTACCAGTGGAATCTTGTGATGTATTCGGTCATGTCGGTCTGTGACATTCCTACCAGTGGAATCTTGTGATGTATTCGGCCATGTTGGTCTGTGACATTCCTACCAGTGGAATCTTGTGATGTATTCGGCCATGTCGGTCATTTGTAAGAGGCAGGAAAGTGGAACTGTCATTTGAATTAGACTTAGACTGTGCATAATGTGTCATTGGCTAAACAAACTGTGATGGAAATATTCTTGTGACCAGGATCCAGACCGTGTCCAATAGGGGGAGTTTCTGTATCTCGTTGAGTTTTCACTCATTTTGCTTTGCCACATATACGTTAGTTTGCCAGATTGTGCTGGCAGTTGTGTATTTACTGAACAATTGTAGGTTTTGGTGATAATTAAATATTCTTAATAGTGAAACTGAGAAGGGCCCTTCCTTTTGTCACTTAAGACACTGTGTCACTCATAACAGTAGGCATGTCATGTAGATCTAAACAGACCCAGCTTACCTTCTCCTGGTGGTGTGATGTAGGTATGGCGAGGATTTGACAAGACAACTCCATCTTGTATGATTCCAATACCCAGCTTGTTGGCGCTGCCTTCAAAACCAATAGCTATCACCATTGTTCTGCAGGCACAGTTAGTTACGCTGAAGTCAGAATAGATACAACACATAATTCATGTGATCACACGGAAGAAGCAAGGTCATCATGGTCATAAGAAAGTAATGCAAATGTTCTTTTCACAACTACATTGCGCAGGTTGCCAAGCATTGCCAAGTGGTCAATGTATTATTAATAAATAGCAAATTGAACAGCAGTATGTCAATATTATTCAGGATAATGATGTCTTTGTACAGTAACCATGGTAAGCATGACCTGTCTCTTCACACTTTCAGCATTAGGCTGGTCAGGTCACAAGGGTCTCAACTGAAAATTCTGCAGTTCTTTTAACATTTATTCAATGTAAGGACACCCGTTTGTGTTCTGCTTATTTTTCCTTCCTATATACACAATTCATTAGTGTATATTATGACCATTTCATTTCTCCAGGGGGGGTCGGCTAGCCTAGTGGTTAAAGCGTTTGCTCGTCACACTGAAGAAATGGGTTTGATTCCCATTTCTGGTGTCCCCCGCCATGATATAGCTGGAATATTGCTAAAAGCGGCGTAAAATCAAACTCACTCACTCATTTCTCCACAATATCTTTGGTTAAATTGTGTGACCAGTGATTTGGTTCATTTGTTTAATCCGTCCAGACTTGACAGCCGAATTGTTTGATAGGCATTACTTAGAAGTTGAGGGATGACAAAGCAGAGTAAATTTATGGCTAACAACTTCTTTATTTTGTTTGTTTGTTTGTTGTTTAACTCCGCACTCAGCAATATTCCAGCTATATGACGGCAGTCAGTAAATAATCTAGTCTGGACCAGATAATCCAGTGATTGACATCATGAGCATCGATCCACGCAATTGGGATCGATGACATGCATCAACCAAGTCAGCAAGCCTGTCTTTTATTTAGAGTAATTAAAGGCGTCAAATAAACCTAGCTGGAACTTGGCGCAGTACGGCGTTAAACAACAAACACTATGACATGTTCTTATTCCTAGTTCAGATATTTAAAAATCCCAAATATATATATGCTAGGCAGGCTAGGTTCGGCCACGGACGTATATACACGTCTTTGGTTCGGCAAAGGTTTGTCTACAGTTATTTGTTCAGTACAAGCGCTTTGAACTCATGAGTCTTGTCCTCAGTCTAGTCATAACACCGCTACTGCCGCAGTTATCTTACCCAAACTCTACTCGGGTGACTCTGACCGTTGAAAAGAACAAATAGAAACAAAGGAAACTGGTGATTTCAATTAACACAAATGTAATGACTGAAGATTATGTTATATTGCGTCACATCACAACAACAAACACATGTGCTTCCTGACCGGAAGTAAATACATGTGGGTTAGTTGAAAAGATGGACGGAAAACAACGAACCGTGAACCCAATGGAACATACATTGCGACAGAAACTGTTGTGTATAAGCGGTATTGGTTTGTCAAAATAAATATTTATACATATATCCAAGATGACTTTGTTCATCACCATGCTTTGTTTTAGTACCCTAAAACTTGTTATTGGTAAATTTGATTTCTCTCTGCAAATGAATAATAATCAGGATGATATTTATGACTGTTAGGTATTTAACCGCGAGCCTGTTTAGAATGGCACCCACCCTGCACAAAACCTAGACCCTATCATTACTTTATTTTAACTTCCCTTTCGAAATAATTTTGCAAAAACTTTCTTTTTGCGAGGATATCGATTAAATGTTCAAGGAAGAAAGTTAATCTTGATCAATTTATTTTAAAACGCATGTCAAAGAATGCCATGACAGAGGATTAGAATCATATATGTCTGTCTTTTTGTTATAGAATTTGGAACAACTTCCGGAGAAGTAGAGGATGTCGAATACTACTGCAAGTATGAAATGACGGAAGTGTTGGGTTTTGGAAATTTGAGACGGCAAATATAAACTTAAAGTTGAAAAGTCCTCAATCTCATTAAAATCAGACCTTAGTTCTCGCTAGAACTAAGATCTGATTTTAATGAGATTGCAAAGTCCTGCACTTTTTCATAATCATTTAACCATGCATAAACGTTATTTTTAACATTTGTAATAACAGATGTTGTAAAATAACCTGGGCCATAAATGTAGAAATGTAACATGAAGATTAATATAAATTTATTCTATATCACAGACTGTTTTATTCTTAATTCTTCTCTCTGCTGCAGATGCTCGTGCCTTTTTCAAAATGTGAAATAATAGCATTGAATGTAAAGTATGAATGTTTGGTCAATTTAGATGACATGTGCAAGAAGCGCAGCGACAGCAGATGTACGCCTCGTCAAGCTTCATACATAATACATCCCTTATGTTGGTGAAAAAATATAGATATGCCCATACATCCATGCACAGTAAGCTGCCAACTATAAAGTCAGCTCACATCACAATTAGCTGTTAGTAGAATTGCTGTCTAACAAATCATTGTCTCCATTAGCTGCAGCTAATGTAGTGTATACCTGTGTAATTCCCAACTGTGTTTTTACTCAAGTCTTTAATTTAGTACCAAGTAAGGATAAGATAAATGGATGAACAAGTTCTTTATGACGATTAGTAGCGAACACCAAGTATCGAGCAAGTATCCGGGCCAACAACGATGAATTCATTGCCAACATCGAGAAGGGTTTACAAAAACTGGCCCTAGGGGGTAATGTCGACTTCCTGCGACACCAGATTGCCAGCACCCTGAACAAACCCAAACCCCAGAAACCCAACCTCACTCATCATGACAGGAAAATCCCGAATAACGTAAAATCCGACAACACTATATCACCATCGCCCCGCAGACAAAGGCAAGGCAACTGTCACCATGGATACAACCATGCAGAGACCATAAAATAGATCTATTTTATGGTCTCTGATACAGCCCACTTCAATGCCTTAACCGACAACTTTCCGCAATGATCAATCGCCTACAAGCAGCTCAACAAAGACCCCAACAACAGCCTACAGAGAGAGCACTAGGCATTTCACTAGCTTGATAACGGTATTAGAATCTACACCGAAACGTCGCTCCGAATTGTCATAAAAACAGTTGTTCATTCATATATAGTATCCTTACCTAGTACTCCAACTTCTAAATGCCTCTCAAAGAAGTTTAGTTTGGTTTGGTAGTACCACCGCCACCGGCCTCTCCATCATGAATATTGCTAAATGCGGCGTAAAACCATACTCACTCACTACTAGTTTCCGATGAGATTCCATTAAGTTGACACAGCTTGTGTTCGATTTCAAAACCCAGGACGACCCAGGTAAACCCAAGTTAACACTGGTTGCCCAATGTTAGCTCATATTAACCGATTTACGTCATACTTCGGTGACCTAAGTTGGCCATACCTCGTGAACCCCTGGGGTGCTGTACTCTGGCTAGCAGCCTCCCCATTAAGTTACGTCACCATTAAAGCTAATTAGTTTTATTTATTGGTTCAGTGATGAATATACGTTTTAATGAATACAATTAACTATGTATTGATTGTACATGTATCAATGTGTGTGGGACATACTTACTTTAGAATCACTTAAATCAATAAAACAACTTTGATGATTAATTTGCATCTCGTTTAATGTTCTTTAATGCGTTATTGTTATTTTTTCATCTTTTTAAATGCATTAAAAATAGAAAAGGTACAATGGAGGCTTTGTCCAATCTCATTAAAATCAGACCTCAGTTCTCGCTACCGCTAAACAAAGCGGTAGCGAGAACTAAGATCTGATTTTAATGAAATTGGGCTTTATCAAGCAATGAAACACTTTTTTCAAAGTTTTTATTCACATCAAGGGTAGTTGCTTGCAAGATAAACAACTTTGGTAGACAATAAATATTTGTGGTACGGGCGTCAAGCGTTGACAAAAGATGTACATTATTGATATTATTATAAATGTACATGGATATTATTGACACTAGCAATGAAACACTTGTAAACTTCACGTAGTTGTGTGTAACTTATAGCAGTTGCTGTTGTGTTGCCCCTTATCCTGGCGGCCATATTATTATAACCAGAGACCATATACCGATATATGATCTCCAGATCTGTTATCAAGGCTACATTATATATGCGGGATGTTTTTTGTTACTGTCCTAAGTTCCCCGCTGGTTAACTAAGGTCGAATATTGTCAACCCTGGCTGCGAGAAAAGTGGTAACCTCGGTTGACTTTTTATTGTTTCTTTTAAATAGTATCTACAGTGTCGACATGAAAGTGTAGATTCATCGTGACAAGGCAAAGTTTAATCTTTGCTCCATCACATGATGGGGAATAATAACAGACCGGCTTTGACCACTCGGGTTTCTGGTTAAATTCAGATAACGAGTGTCCCTACTTAGACTGGGCTCCTTTCTACCTAACCAGAAAAATCAGACACACTTGAGCTTGCTGCGCCAACCATCAGTGAAACCACTCGATAATACATTGGTTCCACTGTTGATACGCGCCGCAGGCTTAGTGCTTTTAGACTACTAGTTAAGGTAGACAGGAACTCAGTCAATACTCGGCTCGCACCGAATAAAGCTGGGCTCCGTCTCTTCATAAAACAAGTTGACGACACGCATAGAGAGTCGGGAACTAGTTCACTCTCTGCGCCACTTCCCTAATCACGTGATATTTCCTTTTTTACCCCGGCACGTGATTTTCGTCATGTGATTCTTTTATGGGCACGTGATTGGTTTGATAGACTAGTTACTTAAAGTGAGATTGTGCGAACACACAACCAGGATCTGGACAATTGAGGTCGCACAGAAGGAATTCTCACGCCTATCTGCTCACAAGAGGTAGGTTATCTCCAGTTGATAATCGGTTGAAGTAGGAACACTCGGTAGGACAACCGTCGATGTTAGTTAGGACTCGGACATTTGTATGTAATGGTAATCATCATTGTAAGGTAAAATGACTATGATGAATCACTGTCTCTTGCAGTTTCGTTTTCCAGAAGTCAGTAACTTCAATAAGCCCAACCGTGGATTTGTTAAAAGAAATGTCAGTACCTTAGAGGCTCACTGTTCTGTAGGCATATATAGACTTAATATGGCCACGATATCGTATTGGCCACAGGTGCCCGTTGCATAAAGCGATATTAGCGCAACGATTGTCGGAAGTCAGTGTTGTATATTGGAGTAACTATAATATATATCGTCTGAAGGCTACGATCTCTCGTGGAACGGTGCCCACATCGCGAGAATCTGCAGTCTCGTGGGGAGGAAGTATGGGGTGTAGTGTTCCCTACGACTGAAATACCATGTTCCTTGTAATCGCCTGCAGGTGAATTTGTAAGCCATACAAATTCATAGCAGTGGAGAATTTGTAGGTCTACATTCCCAGCTCGTTGACAACATTCACTGTGGACATTTTCTGGTATAATTGATCTACTCTTTTCTTTTCTAATCTAGAATGAATGTAAAAGAACTGCTGCCAGTATGACCCAATTGAGCAAGATTCAGCCTTGGGTCATTTTTAAATTACGAACAATGATCAGATGGATTAATTATGGGATTGTGTCCACAGTCTTTGTCTGAATGAACATTCAATTCAAAAATTAATTACAATGTAGCCATGACATGTATATGTTGCCAGTAATTACAACATTCTAAAGCCCTGATGAGAGTGGTGTTTCTTAAATCCTTATGTATACTTTGTATTTTATATGTACTGGCAACCACCCTGTACTGTTTTTTTATATTATATGACTTAACCTGTGTCAGCTGCCATTGGCTATATAGCTTTGTTATAAAGACAAAAGAGAAGGCCACACCTTTAACTTAGCTAGGGTAAGGTGAGGTGCCCCGGGCACAAACACCACCAATGTGCTGACCTGGCACATAGTGTTTCTTGGATTGATCAATTTTTTAAAAATATTAAAAAAACTTGTATGTAGTGCAAGTTATCAACATGATCAAGTTGATATTGTCACTTCCGACAAATCCCTTGCATAAAGGAATATATAAATAACTAAATGGCCACATTTTATCTTGCTTGTTTTACATATCTGCAGACCATAATTTACAAGATCTTGAAAAGAATATATAATTAAAATCAACAGTTTTGTGTTTCAAACATGTTCGGCTGGGGGCTCAGCCACATAAATCTACCTCCTCCTCATGGCGGATATTGAATCATATGGGATGGTAATGAACACTGCCGACAAGCTCCCTTGAGCGATTGACATAAATACTTTAATCTGGTTCCTTATTGAACATTTAGAGCTGCATATGTTTACATTTTCTGTAGCAAGATTGTAGCATTGAGAATAAGTTGAGAATAATTTCCCTCAAATGTTACTCCTGATTTGAAGCTTCATGTGTCCTGTGGGGTGGTCGGGTAGCCTAGTGGTTGAAGCGTTCGCTTGTCACACTGAAGACCCGGGTTCGATTCCAGACATGGGTACAATGTGTGAAGCCAATTTTCCTGTGTCCCCCTCCTTGATATTGCTGGAATATTGCTAAAAGTGGCGTAAAACCATACTCACTCACTCACTCACTCACTCACTCACTCACTCACTCACTCACTCACTCACTCACTCACTCACTCACTCACTCACTCACTCACTCACTGTTTCCTGTCTGTCTACTCTTTGACATCCATAAAGTATAGCTTTAGTTAGTTTGAAATGAAAATTATACTAATAGTTTTGATTGATACTTTTCATCTCTATCTGAATTTTAGACTTCCTAAGATGGCTCTTAGCTTACTAGCACTGGTTGCCATGGCAACATTGTGCTGCGCTATGGTTCCGGAAGATGAAATAAAAATGATGCCTGGTTTGAGAAAGCAGCCATCGTTCCAACAGTTCTCAGGATACCTTAAAGCATCCGGCACAAAGAAACTTCACTACTGGTGAGAATGATTCAATTTTGTTTAAATTTGAAACTTTAATTCAACATTTTACCATTGTATTAATGTGGGTGTCGACACGATCCAAATTTTAATGTGTGTAAAGAAGTATGTCCTATCTTCATGATCTTGTAATATGAACAATATCTTGTGTGTGTGTTGTGTGCCTGTGTACTTCCATATATATAGTCAGTCTTGTACCAGACATGTGTTTTCACCAGGGCACCTGCCATGAGGTGCCAGTCATGTGTTATCACCAGGGCACCAGCCATGAGGTGCCAGTCATGTGTTATCACCAGGGCACCTGCCATGAGGTGCCAGCCATGTGTTATCACCAGGGCACCTGCCATGAGGTGCCAGCCATGTGTTATCACCAGGACACCTGCCATGAGGTGCCAGTCATGTGTTATCACCAGGGCACCAGCCATGAGGTGCCAGCCATGTGTTATCACCAGGGCACCTGCCATGAGGTGCCAGCCATGTGTTATCACCAGGGCACCAGCCATGTGTTATCACCAGGGCACCTGCCATGAGGTGCCAGCCATGTGTTATCACCAGGGCACCTGCCATGAGGTGCCAGCCATGTGTTATCACCAGGGTACCAGCCATGAGGTGCCAGCCATGTGTTATCACCTGGGTACCAGCCATGAGGTGCCAGCCATGTGTTATCACCAGGGCACCAGCCATGAGGTGCCAGCCATGTGTTATCACCAGGGTACCAGCCATGAGGTGCCAGCCATGTGTTATCACCAGGGTACCAGCCATGAGGTGCCAGCCATGTGTTATCACCAGGGCACCAGCCATGTGTTATCACCAGGGCACCTGCCATGAGGTGCCAGCCATGTGTTATCACCAGGGCACCTGCCATGAGTTGCCAGCCATGTGTTATCACCAGGGTACCAGCCATGAGTTGCCAGCCATGTGTTATCACCTGGGTACCAGCCATGAGGTGCCAGCCATGTGTTATCACCAGGGCACCAGCCATGAGGTGCCAGCCATGTGTTATCACATGATCTGTACGGTCCATGTGTGGAAGTATACCAGGGCTCATGACCTGACCTGTACGGTCCATGTGTGGAAGTATACCAGGGCTCATGACCTGACCTGTACGGTCCATGTGTGGAAGTATACCAGGGCTCATGACCTGACCTGTACGGTCCATGTGTGGAAGTATACCAGGGCTCATGACCTGACCTGTACGGTCCATGTGTGGAAGTATACCAGGGCTCATGACCTGATCTGTACGGTCCATGTGTGGAAGTATACCAGGGCTCATGACCTGATCTGTACGGTCCATGTGTGGAAGTATACCAGGGCTCATGACCTGACCTGTACGGTCCATGTGTACCCTGCAGTGTCCCAGCCATGTAATGGTGTCGTGTTGTTGCAGGTTTGTGGAGTCCATGAACAACCCTGCTACTGATCCAGTTGTGCTGTGGCTCAATGGCGGGCCGGGCTGCAGTTCAGACCTGGGTCTTCTCACAGAAAATGGGCCTTTCAGGGTAAGTGCTGATGCAGGGATGAAGAAGAATTGTGATTGATTACAATCATGCGTAAGATAAACTGCCTCGTCGATTTTCTGTGCTCACTATTTTATTATTATATTAGAATGAGTATGAAGATGTAGCTAGGATTTCTCTGCACCAAGATGAATGTTGAGGTGGGGCTTAGAGGGATGTGATCCAAATTGTATCCAATTTTTTTCGAACAATGTTAAAAGTTATTATTTTCATAATTTCCACATTTTTTTAACAAAATGCATTCAATGCAGGGCCTTTTTCCTTCTTGGACCTGTTAAGCTTAACAGTGTGTTTTTGTTAACTCCTCATTATGACCATGATGACATTATCTGGACAGTTTTTTGTTCAAATTTGGAAAGAGTACCTGCATTCATTTAGATACAAAATATATTCACTCAGAAGGACATACAAGTATTTTCGGAAACATTTGACTTTTGTAGGTGATGCCTGATGGGAAGACGGTGACCTACAGCAACACCAGCTGGTCCTTGGTAAGACGTTGATAAGTACCAGACCCAAGTACACAGTGTAGCACTGTGTAACGTAATACTGTGTCATAAGAACATCCTGTACTTTAATACTGTATCACTGTGTAGTGTCATCAGTACTTCCTGTTTTGTAGGGGCAGTCGGGTAGCCTAGTGGTTAAAGCGTTCGCTCGTCACACCGATTGCCGACATGGTTCGATTCCCGACATGGGTACAATGTGTGAAGCCCATTTTTGGTTTCCCCTGCCGTGATATTGCTCGAATATTGCTAAAAGCACCGTAAAACCATACTCACTCACTCCTGTTTTGTAATCCTGACTATTTGCGCCCTCCGCGTTGGTCTCAATTAACCTATGATTGTCGATTGCGACTATGCTTTATGTAAGAGGCTACTAACAGGATCGGGTGGTCAGACTCGATGACTTGGTTGATGCATGTCGTATCCCAATTGCGTCAATCCATACTCATGATGATTGGATTGTCTAGTCCAGACTCAATTATTTACAGATCATCATCATATAGCTGAAATATTGCTGAGTGAAGTGTTAAGTAAGGATAAAATATGTGGATGAACAACTTCTTTATTACAATTAGGAGCGACATTTCAGTGTAGGTTCTAACACCGTTATCAAGCAAGTGATAGAACCTACACCGAAACGTTGCTCCTAACTGTAATAAAGAAGTTAGTCATCCATATATCTTATCCTTACTTAGTACTCCAACTTCTAAATGCCTCTCAAAGAAGAGTGAAGTGTTAAACAATAACGAAAAACAAAACAAACATGACGAAGGGGATCAGTTTTTTGGATTGATGGGCTTCATTAGTTATTGTCATAATACCCTGATGGCTTGGCATTATTGATCATGGTATCAATCACTGATTATTCTGGACTAGATGGGGTTATTCACAGCACGCTGTCATCTGGCTGGAATATTGCTGAGTGAGGCACAAGCTGTAATACTGAGCCAGAGGTGTGTCCGATTGAATTGTTCAGTCAATATGATCATTTAATACAGTTTCAACAAGTCCAGGTCTTGTCACATTTGCAGGGACAAGAATCTTCCGCGAATTTTAGTGAGCACAAATTTGTTAAAATCTGATGGCTTCCCCTATACACACCCCCTAATTATTGACCACACTCCATTGCAAAGAAATTTCAGCTGAAAACGAAAATATCCTTTCTCATGCCTGCATTTGTATTAAGAAACCAATTTACATTACCATGAACATGTGCTATTGGCGTTTGAAAACAAATGTTCAGTCTGTCCTGGAATGAAGCTGTCAGTGTCAATCCCTGATTTGCTAACATTAGCCCCTTGTCTAGATCCTGTCTTCTTAAGCTGTATTACATTACTTGTAGTATTGCTAGTGCTTGTCATTTGGGCCTCACGACCCAGTCTCATCACCTACATCAGTTTAAGTATTTATCTGATATTGTTTTTGATGCTGAGTTTGGTATTGCAGGCGGCCAACATGTTGTACCTTGAGGCACCTGCAGGTGTGGGGTTCTCCTACTCAGATGACAAGAATTACACTACAGATGATAACGAGGTGAGTATGTTCTTCAACCAATCCAAAATAGGGCGATGTACAACTGCTCTTCAACCCCACAAAGACAGGGCCACACCAACACACGCCAGAATATCATAGAAAAATCTCCAGGAATATCACCCTCTGCAATTGCAGGACATATTTGTAACAGGGTTTTACCTTGACCTACAAAGGTGAGGGTCCAGGGGACCCTGAATAATTAATTTTAAGGTAATTTTTAATTTCCTGTAAAGTAATGAAATGGTGTAGTGATTGTATGTTTAGATCATTACTTAGAGCCTGGAATGAATCGATGATCATGTGGACAGTGGTCATGATTGATGGATGAAATGACAGACGCCCATAACTGCTCTTTATAGGCTGTAGGTACAATGAATATTTAATATTGTGCATCCCTTGCATATTTTTTCCCCGCGTCCATTTTGTCTACACTTGTGCATCATGTAAAAACCCTGATAAGTAGGATCCAGTATTTGTGTGGTACAAGGCAGTACATGCGTGACTGATTTCAGGTTGCCCAGGACAACTACCTGGCCCTCAAGGACTTCTTCTCCAAGTACCAGAACTACTCCAAGCATGACTTCTTCATCACGGGAGAGAGCTATGGGGGGGTCTACGTGCCAACCCTCAGCTCGCTTGTTGTAGAAGACAAGGACATCAATTTCAAGGTAAAATGCTTAACAATTCTTTCAATTCGTTCTTGAAATTAATATGCGCTCATAAAATGAGAAAAGTATGAGCTTCCCCCTCTTTCAAGAATACATGATGGTACATATTTGTCTGGATATACGTGAGTTTACTACTATGAGTGGCAACAAGGACAAAAATCACTTAAAAATGGTTTGAATAAACAATGTAATATAGCACGAGACTAAGTGTTTCTCTTAGTGGCCATGTCAGGTTTGGTCCCTCTTTTCACAAGTCTATAATTCAGTTGTGACGGTCACTTACGGCACAGACCCGTAAAGAGCAGACATGTTTTTGATCTTCAGCAACTGATGCTTGTCGTAAGAGGCGACTGACGGCATCAGGTCGTTAGGCTCACGGACATGGTTGCTGCATGTCATTGAATCCCAATTGCGTGGATTGATGCCAATGGTGTCAATCACAGGATTGTCTGGTCTGGACTCAGTTATTTACAGACCGCCTTCATAAAACTGGAACATTGCTGAGTGCGGCGTTAAACAAGAAACTAACAAGAGCCAAACATCAAACTAACTGCATATGATGGCGTCATTGTTGAGATCAGTGAAAATGACCAGAACCCAAGACAGGAGAGATGGAAGTGTAGGCTAGGGTTGACACTCACATTGAGGCTCAGCATACTTTGGGTTGTGTTTCAGGGCATGGGCATTGGTAACGGACTCTCCAATGACAAATTTAATGACAACTCCCTCCTGTACTTTGCATACTACCACGGACTGATTGGAGACAGGTATGGTATAGCATTATCTCTCATTGATTGGGCATATCCTTGTCACTTCACTCAAAACCTCTGTTGTCACCACATGAACTGATGTTTTCGAACCCTGGTCGCGTCATACCAATAGACGTTAAAATATATGGTACCCTGTCTGGCACTTGGCATTAAGGGGCTAAAACAAGGACTGCTTGGCTCGGAGTCGGTATACTGTGTGTGAGACGGGTATTCATCTTACACGGCATGGTGTCTCAGTGGGCTAGCACTATAAATCAGCATTAGTCCCCCCACACACACACACGAACACACAGAGCATGTCGCTATATAAGTGCAATAATCTTGGACGTGACGTTAAACCCCATTTCTCCTCACCTCATCTCAAGCTATTTCCTGATAAACATATTTGCAGTTGAAACTTGTTATTAATTTTGTCAAATTATCCCGTCACCCACTTACAATCTGTCCTATAGTAGAGGACACTGCACCCCTTGGATGAGATTCTGTAACCTGTAACTGAGGATGAGGTCACTGTGATCTGATGGCTATTACCATACCCCCTGGCTAAAATCCCATATGTCCTTGCTGAAATAGGCATATCCTTTGAATGAGACCCTGTATCCCCATGCTGAGATCACCATTAATTTTTGGCTGAGATCACTGTTACCTCATGTCTCATTGTTGAGATCACATATCGTTTTGATTGAGGTCCCATGTCTCATTGTTGAAATCATGTATCCTTTGATGAAATCCCATATCTCATTGTTGAGATCATGTATCCTTTGATGAAATCCCATATCTCATTGTTGAGATCATATATCCTTTGATGAAATCCCGTATCTCATTGTTGAGATCATGTATCCTTTGATGAAATCCCATATCTCCTTGTTGAGATCATGTATCCTTTGATGAAATCCCATATCTCATTGTTGAGATCATGTATCCTTTGATGAAATCCCATATCTCATTGTTGAGATCATGTATCCTTTGGTGAAATCCCATATCTCCTTGTCGAGATCATGTATCCTTTGATGAAATCCCATATCTCCTTGTTAAGATCATGTATCCTTTGATGAAATCAAATATCTCCTTGTTGAGATCATGTATCCTTTGATGAAATCCCATATCTCATTGTTGAGATCATGTATCCTTTGATGAAATCCCATATCTCATTGTTGAGATCGTGTATCGTTTGATGAAATCCCATATCTCATTGTTGAGATCGTGTATCGTTTGATGAAATCCCATATCTCCTTGTTGAGATCGTGTATCGTTTGATGAAATCCCATATCTCATTGTTGAGATCATGTATCCTTTGGTGAAATCCCATATCTCATTGTTGAGATCATGTATCCTTTAATGAAATCCCATATCTCATTGTTGAGATCATGTATCCTTTGGTGAAATCCCATATCTCATTGTTGAGATCATGTATCCTTTGATGAAATCCCATATTTCATTGTTGAGATCATGTATCCTTTGATGAAATCCCGTATCTCATTGTTGAGATCATGTATCATTTGATGAAATCCCATATCTCATTGTTGAGATCATGTATCCTTTGATGAAATCCCATATCTCCTTGTTGAGATCATGTATCCTTTGATGAAATCCCATATCTCCTTGTTGAGATCGTGTATCCTTTGATGAAATCCCATATCTCCTTGATGAGATCGTGTATCCTTTGGTGAAATCCCATATCTCCTTGTTGAGATCGTGTATCCTTTGGTGAAATCCCATATCTCCTTGTTGAGATCGTGTATCCTTTGGTTGGGGCCCTGTGCCTTACTGATGACATGAACATGTGCTGAGCTAATGATGTAAATGATGTTTTGTTTCAGTATGTTCAAGGACCTTCAGAAGTTTTGTTGCCAGACCAATAGTACTGAGAGGTGTTTCTTCACGGACAGGATGCAAGACCCTCAGTGTCAGAAAGTGGTAGGTCCGACTACATCACTACTAGTCTGTTCCCCCTTGTGGAGCTTCCTTGAAACAATAGGTCTCAGTAGCATGCTTGACTAGAACAGCAGATTAATGAGGAAATAGTGGTCTGGCTGCTGTGACGTCACAGGGGCAGTGGGGTAACTCACTCACTAACTCACTCACTCACTCACTCACTCTCTCTAAAAATCACTCTAAAAAAATCACTCTCTCTCTCAAAAATCACTCTCACTCTAAAAATCACTCACTCACTCTCTCTCTCTCTCTAAAAATCACTCACTCACTCACTCACTCACCCACCCACCCACCCACTCCTCACTCACTCATACTCACTCACACACTCACTCACTCACTCACACTCACACTCTCTCTCTCTAAAAATCACTCTCACTCACTCACTCACTCATACTCACTCACTCACACTCACACTCTCTCTCTCTCTAAAAATCACTCACTCACCCACTCCTCACTCACTCACTCACTCTCTCTCTAAAAATCACTCACTCACTCACTCACCTAAATACATTCTGACACCCCGACTACATGGCCACGTCTTCCTCCACTAACTGTACTGTACTGTGTTGCAGGTGACTGCAGCGTCCAGTGTGGTGTATGCCGGGGGCCTCAACATCTACAACCTCTACGGGGAATGTGCCGGAGGCGTCATGTCAAGGGAGAGACCCAACTCAAACATCACAGAGTCATCTAACTTTGGTTATCCGTTTGGATTTTTGGACATCGTCAGGAAAGATAGAAAGGTAACCTTATTGAGATAAACTGATTAAAAGAACCAGTATTACCTGACTCCAACTAAACTAAAACTAACCGTTGTATGGATATATTTTTTAAACTTATCCTATCTGACACTATGCATTTCTTGTTATTCTTCGATCCTGGTGTGGAATTGTCCTAGAACAAAGTTTCCATCCATCAATGGCAATGACTATTGACCCAGTAATATTTTCACAGTCTTCCTGTTTACATGTAATTACCATTTCTTTACCATTAAAATTAGGCTTATTAGGAACAATAATTCTTGTGACAGGCAAATAAAGGGTACCTATTAAATAATATTTTTTTTGAATGAATTAAAACCAGGTAATTTTCATACGATTTTTTATTTGTTGAGTTTGTTGGACTGACAAAAATTAGGGGGGATTGGTAATTTTTGGAGTTTCAAAAGCTAGCTGGAATTTTGTTTTTAGTATAGTCGATTATTTTTGCAAGGTCACCAGGAAGTATATCTCATTGTGAAACCAAATAACAATCATTATAATCATGATAATGAGTTTTGTAATAACACATGACCTGATGATGCAATACCAGAGGAGTCAACCATTACAGTTTGGGCATAATAGTTACTATTTGAGTCTAAACTTCACTGTAATGCTTGCATGGCACGACAGGCTAACAATAGATGTAAGAATCGAGTGGTCCTTAACTTCTTTTGAGTGGTATACATTGCATGGCACGACAGGTTAACAATAGATATATGAAAGAATCGAGTGGTCCTTAACTTCTTTTGAGTGGTATACATCGCATGGCATGACAGGTTAACAATAGTTGTATGAAAGAATCGAGTGGTCCTTAACTTCTTTTGAGTGGTATACATTGCATGGCAAGACAGGTTAACAATAGATATATGAAAGAATCGAGTGGTCCTTAACTTCTTTTGAGTGGTATACATCGCATGGCATGACAGGTTAACAATAGTTGTATGAAAGAATCGAGTGGTCCTTAACTTCTTTTGAGTGGTAAACATTGCATGGCAAGACAGGTTAACAATAGATATATGAAAGAATCGAGTGGTCCTTAACTTCTTTTGAGTGGTATACATTGCATGGCATGACAGGTTAACAATAGTTGTATGAAAGAATCGAGTGGTCCTTAACTTCTTTTGAGTGGTATACATTGCATGGCACGACAGTTAACAATAGATATATGAAAGAATCGAGTGGTCCTTAACTTCTTTTGAGTGGTATACATTGCATGCCACGACAGTTAACAATTGATATATGAAAGAATCGAGTGGTTCTTAACTTCTTTTGAGTAGTATACAGTGTTGTAAAATGTTGCTACAACGGTGTTGCTGATGCAGTAGATATTGCCGTTACAGGTGATGAAGGATGCCACTAATCTGAAATTGGACCCACCATGCATCGATGCCAGGAACGTGGCCATGTATCTCAACTCGGAGGAGGTGAGGACAGCCCTCCATATCCCCAGCGTGGTGCAGAAGTGGGAGACATGTAGCGGTGACGTCGGCAGCAAATACGTCAGAATCTACAGCGACGTTTCTGCTCAGTACAAGAAAGTTCTTGCTGCAGGGGTAAGTTGTAGCTCATCACTCGTTACTGCCTAACAATGTTGGCTCACACAGTTTCTGTGCAAGTTACGATGGAACAATGTTGATGTCAAGTTCCTATTTTCACTGCCTCACCTATGGAGATCTAGGTGAGGCCTCCAGTGTTGGCAGGCGGTCGGGTAGCCTAGTGGTTTAAGCGTTCGCTCGTCACGCCGAAGACCCGGGTTCGAATCCCGACATGGCTACAATGTGTGTGAAGCCCATTTCTGGTGTCCCCCGCTGTGATATTGCTGGAATATTGCTAAAAGCGGCGTAAAAACCATACTCACTCACTCACTCACTCACTCACTCCAGTGTTGGCACGTGATCCTGTGAGCGGTGCACAGGTCACAAATCAGGTGAAGTTATGCAACATCAGTCGCGGAGTCTTTGGACGGGTTACCACATTCCGTCAGTTTCCTCTGAGTTTCTAGGGCTTCGGTCATGCCCTACACTGAAACACATGTGGCGTCTCCTTAGGCAAGTGACTTTGTTCGAAATGTGCCTCTGTTCACCCAGTAGTGAATGGGTACCAGGTAGGATGGGATGGCAATGTGGTTGTTAACCATCTAGCACCTAACGGGCAGCTTGGGTCGTATACTCCCCAGTGAGCTGAGAATTATTGTGTGGATGGATCCAGTGGCCAGGGTAATAAAAACGCTTGAGCATCCCCCTGTGTAACATTCCCTCACTCACTATTCAACTTTTACAAGGCGAAACTTGACAGAACTGGGTTTCTAGTGCCAGTCCCCATTTCAAGAAATATTCTTTCCATTTTTCTCTGGGAGAACATGAAAATTCTGACTTTCTAAAATTGTTACACTGGGTGCCATGGAACATTATATCATGACTGGATCTGTTTTTCAGAAGCGAGTGCTGGTGTACAATGGCGATATCGACATGGCTTGCAATTTCCTCGGTGACGAATGGTTCGTGGACGCTCTTGGCATTCCGGTGAGAATACTGGACTATGTTGTGGTTCTGATGGCCTGTCTGATCCTAAGACCCGTGAAGATCCAGGGTAGAATAGGTCTTCAGCTCCGTAAAAGGAGACTATGTATGTCGAAAGAGGCGACTAACGGGAAAGGGTGGTCAGACTCGCTGACTCGGTTGATGCATGTCATTGTATCCCAATTACATGGATAGATGCTCATGATGTCAATCACTGGATTGTCTGGTCCAGACTCGATTATGTACTGACTGTCATCAAATAGCTGGAATATTGCTGAGTGCGACATTAAACAACAAACTAACTAAAACAAAACAAACAAACACTCACTTGCTCAGTTCAAGGTATTGACTGTATTCGTCTGGGTTTTCAGTATGAAAATATTGATGTTGAACCTTATATGGCTACACTTGTCCCCTGTGGAACTGAACATATTGATCTAGAAGCAGGTGGGTGAGTGTCACTATTTGCCAGACATGTACCACTGGTCTTCTCTGTGTGATGCGTTGTATCCTGTTTCAGGCCACGTCCCCCAGGAAGGAGTGGTTCTACAAGGCGGAGGACGGCACGAAGCAGGTGGCAGGATTTGTGAAGGAGTACAGCAATCTCTCCCTGGTCACTGTCAGGGTAAGATGTCGTCATGATTGTTGCTATGGTTACTGGGGCAGTGTGGAGAAATGTACTCAACACTGGGGATGAATCCTCTGAATATCTCTTTTCTGTTTATACATTGTAAAAACTAAAACTGGCTACTGATTCACCTGTATAATCTGATTCACCTGACACCTGTATAATCTGATTCACCTGATTTACCTGTATAATCTGATTCTCCTAATTCACCTGTATAAGCTGATTCACCTGTATAATCTGATACTCCTGACTTACCTGTATAATCTGATTCTCCTGATTCACCTGTATAAGCTGATTCACTTGTATAAGCTGATTCACCTGTATAAGCTGATTCATCTGACTTACCTGCATGAACTGTCTCATCTGACTTACCTGCATGAACTGTCTCACCTGACTTGCCTGCATGAACTGTCTCACCTGACTTACCTGCATGAACTGTCTCACCTGACTTGCCTGCATGAACTGTCTCACCTGACTTACCTGCATGAACTGTCTCACCAGACTTACCTGCATGAACTGTCTCACCTGACTTACCTGCATGAACTGTCTCACCTGACTTACCTGTATGAACTGTCTCACCTGACTTACCTGCATGAACTGTCTCACCTGACTTACCTGCATGAACTGTCTCACCTGACTTACCTGCATGAACTGTCTCACCTGACTTACCTGTATGAATTGTCTCACCTGACTTACCTGTATGAATTGTCTCACCTGACTTACCTGCATGAACTGTCTCACCTGACTTACCTGCATGAACTGTCTCACCTGACTGATCTTCCATATGTGACTGACCTGACTGGCCTGTATGACCTGACTTACCTTACTGACATCCTAAAATGTTCAACTTGCCCACTTCTGTTCACACACTTGATAACACCACTCTGCCCCTCAGTCCCCTTACACAGCTCCTCCCTAGAAACATCCCCCTATCATCATAAATATGCAAGGAGGAGAGAGTGGAGGGTTGGTGATTTGATCCCTGGCCTTGTCATACCAAAAGACGTTAAGAGATGATATTTGTTCTTACCCTGCCTGATGCTCGGCATTTAGGGGATAAAACAAGGACTGGCTGCTTCAGAATATACTGTGAGTGGGGTGTCCATGTTAAACTGTGGCGTGGTAGTCTCAGTGGGCTGGTACAGTGATCGCTCGCTATTGCGCTACCAATGGGGTCCAAATAATTGGTGGGCGTTATAGACGATGAGCCGTTTAACCGAGGCCGAGGCGGGGGAGCGCGCTCGGCAAATCTCAAATCATCAATAGGCCTATGTGTTTATCTCACGTCACGTCAAAATAGTATATATTTTTATGGACCTAGATCTACCTGTAATATCATTCATTTATTAAATCTGTCATATTTCACAATGTCTGAAATACGTATTCCATTCTAATTTATCATTTTTTATCAATAAATTAAAAAATTATTCACTATTTCCCGCGATGTTATTGAAAATAAAATTCTCGGACACACTTTTCGACAACGGGTCCGCATCGAACATGTCAAAGAGCAAAATAAAGACTATTTTAAGCAAATCTTTAAATATATTATACAAAGTGATAAATAAAATCAACAAAAATATATCTAAAAGTAATCAAACTTACATCTAAGTTATTATTTCCATCGTTTCGTGCGATCGCGTGTAATGTAAGTCAAATGACATCTCGGCTTTCGTCGCCTTGAATTCTCGGCTCGGACACAACGTTTAATGCAATAATATATGCATGAAAAATCTTTGTCACAGCTCGTAACCTAGCACGATACATTCGCGAAGTTCCATATTTTTAATATATATCGTGATTTCCTGCTTAAAACGTTCAGAATAACACGATTTAACAAAAAATCTTTCGCTAACTTCTGAAATTTATCAAACACGAGCTTGGTATCACAGCTTGATTGGCTGCCTGAGGTCACGTGCTCAAAATTGACCAATCACGAAACTTGTAGCAGATTTCGGCAAGAAAGCGTCATTAGAAACAAATTTTAATCCAATGAAATCGCTTGTTATAACTACGGGGAAAAACAGGCGATGTTACGAAAGCGCGATTACGAAATGAATGACCGCCGTGTTGTGACAGCAACTACATGTGTGTGACAGTTTAGCCTTAAATTGGATTGCCCACTAATTAAGAATATAAACTTCCCTTGTGGTTCTCTTTTATTGCATGCATGCGCTTCTAAGATCAAAGGATGTATAGTGTGAAAAGTTAACTAGTTGAACAATCGTATTTCCGGGACTTGCCGCGGATGTTTTCAAACAGATTATTAGAACTCCATTCAGCGATAAACGGTTGATTATGCAATGAGAAGCGTTATGTGCAAATGAACAACGAACAACAATACAATTATGTCTGTGTAAAACTCTCAGTAATAAAAGTGTACATAAATTTTGGGAGCCATGCGTTACCGCGCGTAATAACCGAAGTAGCGCTTTATCGAAGAGCGCAATAGCGAGCGATCACTGTACTATAAAGCCAGCTTTAGTCCAGATCAGTACAAGCATGCAGGTGCATGCATGTCGCTATTCAAGTGAAATAATCTTGAAAAGTTAAACCCCATTTCACCCCACCTGCAAAGAGGGATTGTTATAACACTCAATAATTACATTATGGCTGACATATTGCAGATGTGACTTTAAGGTGTTGTTTGGACAATATGCAAATTTAGTATGAGTGGTTATCTTCCAAAAATAACATTCTTACAGAAAAATTCTTTGCCCGACCAACATGTCGAGGTCTGAAGTATTGCTGTTGTGTTGCAGGGAGCTGGCCACATGGTGCCCACAGACAGACCAGTCCCCGGTCTGGAGATGTTCAAGAGCTTCATCATGGGGCAGCCTCTAGCATAACACTCTCAACCTTCACCTTCACTAAATCGCTGCACCTCACGTACAGACAATTCTCCGATTATCCAGGGTATCTCCATTTAATATCAGATCTTTGATTCAAATTACCTCTCACTTCAGAAAAACTCAGATCAAAACAAACTTATGGGAGAATTTCTATGTCTGAAATGAGACATGACTGTTTGATTTCATATCCGTAATCATATAATGTCTTCAGTATTGATAATAGAATGGAAATATAATACACTGGATAATCGAGGATGATAACTGGAGGCTTATGGTTCCTGGTTAAACTTTTATTCTGCAATGTAACATCGTCAACTTTGGTCATGCCATAGTATGTGATGAAGACTTCACACATGATTTACAGAAACATTTTAACAGGAATGTCTCAATTATTTTAGAGTGAGAATTTGTACTTTTAGGATCCCTGTAGCAGGCAATAGCCTGTTAATCCAGTGTGTCAGTTTTAGCCAGCGGAATGTGATAATGTACATGTGTGCACAGTGTGATGGATGAATGTCTGGTCGTGTGCTGAAGATGAATTGTATAATGTTAATTCATTCCGTCAGACTGTTTTGATAACTATTTCATTCCAAGATGTAGAAATTTCATGCTGTAGATTCAAGGAAACGAATCATGTACTTGTTATCTCCACAGTTTTAAGGGTGTTAGAGGATATGTTTCTCTTACTGTATGGTTTAATTCGCAGTGCAGAAGTTCTCATGGTGCAATATGTACACTGATACAACTTAGTTTTCATGCCCATGTTCTCACATATACTTGTACAGTGTATGCATTTACACAAGATCAGCATACGATATTTGGATAGCAGTTTTCTTAAAAGGTGTCTGCTTTTGACATTCAAAGGTGTTTGGAGGGGAGATTTTACAAAATATTTCTTAACTTCATATATTATTAACTGTCTTGAATTTATGATGGTGATACTTTACAATTGCTTTTAGTGTTAAGGCTGATGATAAGGTTTTAATAGTTCCACACTGCTGAACAGTACAGTGTTTTTACTTCCTCAGAGGCAGTGGTGACTTACCTCGGAAACTAGGTCGCACCCTCACATCAAACTTGACGTAGCCTCACGTTCCCGAACATATCGATCTTGATATTGTCTCAGGTGGCAGGAATAAATAGCTGAAATGTTTTAAACCTGATAAGTTTGTAGCTAAATATTCTATTTTGTATACATTTCATGTTTGTATATTTTAAGTTAAGATTATTTTATGAATAAACTTTTACTTCACAATTGCATTTTTCAGTTTCTATTCTCAGTGAGAGAATTACACATCTCAAACTAGTGTGTGTCTATCAGGCTCACAGTGAGAGAATTACACCTCTCAGACAAGTGTGTCTCTATCAGGCTCACAGTGAGAGAATTACACATCTCAAACTAGTGTGTCTCTATCAGGCTCACAGTGAGAGAACTACTCCTCTCAGACTAGTGTGTCTCTATCAGGCTCACAGTGAGAGAACTACACCTCTTAGACTAGTGTGTCTCTATCAGGCTCACAGTGAGAGAATTACACCTCTCAGACTAGTGTGTCTCTATCAGGCTCACAGTGAGAGAATTACACCTCTCAGACTAGTGTGTCTATCAGGCTCACAGTGAGAGAATTACACCTCTCAGACTAGTGTGTCTCTATCAGGCTCACAGTGAGAGAATTACACCTCTCAGACTAGTGTGTCTCTATCAGGCTCACAGTGAGAGAATTACACCTCTCAGACAAGTGTGTCTCTATCAGGCTCACAGTGAGAGAATTACACCTCTCAGACTAGTGTGTCTCTATCAGGCTCACAGTGAGAGAATTACACCTCTCAGACTAGTGTGTCTCTATCAGGCTCACAGTGAGAGAATTACACATCTCAAACTAGTGTGTCTCTATCAGGCTCACAGTGAGAGAATTACACCTCTCAGACAAGTGTGTCTCTATCAGGCTCACAGTGAGAGAATTACACATCTCAAACTAGTGTGTCTCTATCAGGCTCACAGTGAGAGAATTACACCTCTCAGACAAGTGTGTCTCTATCAGGCTCACAGTGAGAGAATTACACATCTCAAACTAGTGTGTCTCTATCAGGCTCACAGTGAGAGAACTACTCCTCTCAGACTAGTGTGTCTCTATCAGGCTCACAGTGAGAGAACTACACCTCTTAGACTAGTGTGTCTCTATCAGGCTCACAGTGAGAGAATTACACCTCTCAGACTAGTGTGTCTCTATCAGGCTCACAGTGAGAGAATTACACCTCTCAGACTAGTGTGTCTATCAGGCTCACAGTGAGAGAATTACACCTCTCAGACTAGTGTGTCTCTATCAGGCTCACAGTGAGAGAATTACACCTCTCAGACTAGTGTGTCTATCAGGCTCACAGTGAGAGAATTACACCTCTCAGACTAGTGTGTCTCTATCAGGCTCACAGTGAGAGAATTACTCCTCTCAGACTAGTGTCTCTATCAGGCTCACAGTGAGAGAATTACACCTCTCAGACTAGTGTGTCTCTATCAGGCTCACAGTGAGAGAATTACACCTCGCAGACTAGTGTGTCTCTACCAGGCTCACAGTGAGAGAATTACACCTCTCAGACTAGTGTGTCTCTATCAGGCTCATAGTGAGAGAATTACACCTCTCAGACTAGTGTGTCTCTATCAGGCTCACAGTGAGAGAATTACTCCTCTCAGACTAGTGTGTCTCCATCAGGCTCACAGTGAGAGAATTATACATTTCAGACTAGTGTGTCTATCAGGCTCACAGTGAGAGAATTATACATTTCAGACTAGTGTGTCTATCAGGCTCACAGTGAGAGAATTACAGCTCTCAGACTAGTGTGTCTCTATCAGGCTCACAGTGAGAGAATTACACCTCTCAGACTAGTGTGTCTCTATCAGGCTCACAGTGAGAGAATTACTCCTCTTAGACTAGTGTGTCTCTATCAGGCTCACAGTGAGAGAATTACACCTCTCAGACTAGTGTGTCTCCATCAGGCTCACAGTGAGAGAATTACTCCTCTCAGACTAGTGTGTCTCTATCAGGCTCAAAGTGAGAGAATTATACATTTCAGACTGGTGTGTCTATCAGGCTCACAGTGAGAGAATTACACCTCTCAGACTAGTGTGTCTCCATCAGGCTCACAGTGAGAGAATTCCTCATCTCAGACTAGTGTGTCTTTACCAGGCTCACAGTGAGAGAATTACACCTCTCAGACTAGTGTGTCTCTATCAGGCTCACAGTGAGAGAATTACAGCTCTCAGACTAGTGTGTCTCTATCAGGCTCACAGTGAGAGAATTACAGCTCTCAGACTAGTGTGTCTCTATCAGGCTCACAGTGAGAGAATTACAGCTCTCAGACTAGTGTGTCTCTATCAGGCTCACAGTGAGAGAATCACACCTCTCAGACTAGTGTGTCTATCAGGCTCACAGTGAGAGAACTACTCCTCTTAGACTAGTGTGTCTCTATCAGGCTCACAGTGAGAGAATTATACCTCTCAGACTAGTGTGTCTCTATCAGGCTCACAGTGAGAGAATTACACCTCTGAGACTAGTGTGTCTCCATCAGGCTCACAGTGAGAGAATTACACCTCTCAGACTAGTGTGTCCCTATCAGGCTCACGGTGAGAGAATTACACCTCTCAGACTAGTGTGTCTCTATCAGGCTCACAGTGAGAGAATTACACCTCTTAGACTAGTGTGTCTCTATCAGGCTCACAGTGAGAGAATTACTCCTCTCAGACTAGTGTCTCTATCAGGCTCATAGTGAGAGGATTACTCCTCTCAGACTAGTGTGTCTCTATCAGGCTCACAGTGAGAGAATTACACATCTCAAACTATTGTGTCTCTATCAGGCTCACAGTGAGAGAATTACACCTCTCAGACTAGTGTCTCTATCAGGCTCACAGTGAGAGAATTACAGCTCTCAAACTATTGTGTCTCTATCAGGCTCATAGTGAGAGGATTACTCCTCTCAGACTAGTGTGTCTCTATCAGGCTCACAGTGAGAGAATTACTCCTCTCAGACTAGTGTGTCTCTTGAGTGAACTATGAGTGAGTTTGAAACATGATTCCAGTGTTGGTATGTAGCAAGTAATGAGTGACTTTGTATTAGTGTTGGTATATAGCATAGTGCCTGTTTACATGGTGTATAACATAGTGCCGGTACTCATGGTGTCCAGCATAGTGCCGGTATACATGGTGTCCAACATAGTGCCGGTACTCATGGTGTCCAGCAAAGTGCTGGTACTCATGGTGTCCAGCATAGTGCCGGTATTCATGGTGTCCAACATAGTGCCGGTACTCATGGTGTCCAACATAGTGCCGGTACTCATGGTGTCCAGCAAAGTGCCGGTACTCATGGTGTCCAGCATAGTGCCGGTATACATGGTGTCCAACATAGTGCCGGTACTCATGGTGTCCAGCATAGTGCAGGTGTCCAGCATAGTGTAGGTATACACAGTGTCCAGCATAGTGCAGGTATACTTGGTGTCCAGCATAATGCCGGTTTACATGGTGTCCAACATAGTGCCGGTACTCATGGTGTCCAGCATAGTGCAGGTGTCCAGCATAGTGTAGGTATACACAGTGTCCAGCATAGTGCAGGTATACTTGGTGTCCAGCATAGTGCAGGTATACATGGTGTCCAACATAGTGTAGGTATACACAGTGTCCAGCATAGTGCTGGTACACATGGTGTCCAGCATAGTGCAGGTGTCCAGCATAGTGCCGGTATACATGGTGTCCAACATAGTGCAGGTATACATGGTGTCCAGCATAGTGCAGGTATACATGGTATCCAGCATAGTGCAGGTATACATGGTGTCCAGCATAGTGCAGGTATACATGGTGTCCAGCATAGTGCAGGTATACATGGTATCCAACATAGTGCAGGTATACATGGTGTCCAGCATAGTGCAGGTATACATGGTGTCCCGCATAGTGCAGGTATACATGCTGTCCATCATAGTGCAGGTATACCCGGTATTCAGCATAGTGCAGGTATACATGGTGTCCAACATAGTGCAGGTATACACGGTGTCCATCATAGTGCAGGTATACATGGTGTCTAGCATAGTGCAGGTTGCACGGTGTCCATCATAGTGCAGGTATACATGGTGTCCAGCATAGTGCAGGTTGCACGGTGTCCATCATAGTGCAGGTATACATGGTGTCCAGCATAGTGCAGGTATACATGGTGTCCTGCATAGTGCAGGTATACATGGTGTCCATCATAGTGCAGGTATACATGGTGTCCAGCATAGTGCAGGTATACATGGTGTCCAGCATAGTGCAGGTATACATGGTGTCTAGCATAGTGCAGGTATACACGGTGTCCAGCATAGTGCAGGTATACATGGTGTCCATCATAGTGCAGGTATACATGGTGTCCAGCATAGTGCAGGTATACATGGTGTCCATCATAGTGCGGGTATACATGGCGTCCAGCATAGTGCAGGTATACATGGTGTCCAGCATAGTGCAGGTATACATGGTGTCTAGCATAGTGCAGGCATACATGGTGTCCAGCATAGTGCCGGTACATATGGTATCCAGCATAGTGCAGGTATACATGGTGTCCAGCATAGTGCAGGTATACACAGTGTCCATCATAGTGCAGGTATACATGGTGTCCATCATAGTGCAGGTATACATGGTGTCTAGCATAGTGCAGGTATACATGGTGTCCAGCATAGTGCAGGTATACATGGTGTCCTGCATAGTGCAGGTATACATGGTGTCTAGCATAGTGCAGGTATACATGGTGTCCAGCATAGTGCCGGTACATATGGTATCCAGCATAGTGCAGGTATACATGGTGTCCAGCATAGTGCAGGTATACACGGTGTCCATCATAGTGCAGGTATACATGGCGTCCAGCATAGTGCAGGTATACATGGTGTCCTGCATAGTGCAGGTATACATGGTGTCCATCATAGTGCAGGTATACATGGCGTCCAGCATAGTGCAGGTATACATGGTGTCCAGCATAGTGCAGGTATACATGGTGTCCAGCATAGTGCAGGTATACATGGTGTCCATCATAGTGCAGGTATACATGGTGTCCAGCATAGTGCCGGTACATATGGTATCCAGCATAGTGCAGGTATACATGGTGTCCAGCATAGTGCAGGTATACATGGTGTCCAGCATAGTGCAGGTATACATGGTGTCTAGCATAGTGCAGGTATACATGGTGTCCAGCATAGTGCCGGTACATATGGTATCCAGCATAGTGCAGGTATACACGGTGTCCAGCATAGTGCAGGTATACATGGTGTCCATCATAGTGCAGGTATACATGGTGTCCATCATAGTGCAGGTATACATGGTGTCCATCATAGTGCAAATATACATGGTTCAGCATAGTGCAGGTATACATGGTGTCCAGCATAGTGCAGGTATACATGGTGTCCAGCATAGTGCAGGTATACATGGTGTCTAGCATAGTGCAGGTATACATGGTGTCCAGCATAGTGCCGGTACATATGGTATCCAGCATAGTGCAGGTATACACGGTGTCCATCATAGTGCAGGTATACATGGTGTCCAGCATAGTGCAGGTATACATGGTGTCCAGCATAGTGCAGGTATACATGGTGTCCAGCATAGTGCAGGTATACATGGTGTCCAGCATAGTGCAGGTATACATGGTGTCCAGCATAGTGCCGGTACATATGGTATCCAGCATAGTGCAGGTATACACGGTGTCCATCATAGTGCAGGTATACATGGTGTCCAGCATAGTGCAGGTATACATGGTGTCCTGCATAGTGCAGGTATACATGCTGTCCATCATAGTGCAGGTATACCCGGTATTCAGCATAGTGCAGGTATACATGGTGTCCTGCATAGTGCCGGTATACATGGTGTCCAGCATAGTGCAGGTATACATGGTGTCCAGCATAGTGCAGGTATACATGGTGTCCAGCATAGTGCAGGCATACATGGTGTCCAGCATAGTGCAGGTATACATGGTGTCCATCTAATGCAGGTATGCATGGCGTCAAGCATTGCGCAGGTATACATGGTGTCCAGCACAGTGCAGGTATACATGGTGTCCAGCATAGCGCAGGTATACATGACGTCCAGTGAGTGGGTCTGTGTTATCAGTTACGGATGCGTGTTCTGTTTGTGGATGTAAGGATGAATCGTGATAATCCAGGTTATCAGAAAATGTCGAGATAAAGACCAGGAGATGGCCATGTGATTGTCACATGATATGTTTAAGATGTATCACTTGACCTAAAGCAGACAGCAGGTAGGTATTAAGTTTAATCCAGTCTTGTCAGTAATCGAAACCCATTATCCACACCTAGAATCGCCTGACTTTTGTATGTTAATATATGCTGCATTCTTGCCATGTGAACGCTGGCCCATCCCTCCATCTGATGATAAATTTATTATTTTAATTCCAATACTGACGTTTATGCGTGTGCAGATATTTATTTGATAATGACTCAGGCCATGAAACGTTGATAGTCATTTTCAAGTGACATTTACACAAAGTGAAATCCTGGGCCCTATAGAAACTACAGCGAGATCATAAGACGAGTAGGTTTCCGTTTTGTACAATTTCATACAAACATCTGGGCAAGAGAAAGAATACACCCATATTTGATGGTGGCAAAAATGAAACTGAGAAGAAATAGTTTATTTGTGTTTTGAAATTTGTTGTAGTCCCACTGTAGAGTAGATACCACTTATATGTTTTTTGGAACCGAGCGTTTTAGAATCGATGTTGACGTATTTCATACGGGAACATAGTTACCGTAAATCTGCACTGTTCCGGCGACCTAGTAACGCTTTCATAACCGGCAGTTTATAAGGAAATGTATGGCCGTATGAAGGTTTAAGGTGTCTTTCCACTCCAAGATGTAACTTTAGAAACGGTGCAGGAATACAATACTAGAGTTAGTAACACTCCCCCTCCCCACTACGCCCCCCTCCCTGTCTCATGTGTTATATTGTGACCTGTGAAGATCTGTGGTAGAATACACATGCTTGTCGTAAAAGGCGACCATGTTTGTCGTAAGAGCAAACGGGATTGGGTGCACAGGCTCGCTGACTTGGTTTATGCATGTCATCGTATCCCAATTGTAAGGATCGGTGCTCATATTGTCAATCACTGGATTGTCTGGTCCAGACTCGATTATTTACAGACCGCCGTCATATAGCTGGAATGTGGCTGCATTAAACCATAAACAATATTGTATTGCACTAAATGATTTGTAGACATTTTTCCGATGCAAATCGACAAACAATGGAAAACCCATATCCAAACATATTTGGAATGTTAGGGAATCGTTTCTTGGGTAATTGGTAAATGGAGTGTAATGACTGCATGACATTCGTAGGCCTATCTCCTTCTGAACATCACAAGGTGCGGTGGCTTAGCCTGGAGGTTAAAGCGTTCGCTCGTCACGCCGATGTCCCGTGTTCGATTCTCCACATAGGTACAATGTGCGAAGCCTATTTCTTGAGTCCCCCGCCGTGATATTGCTGGAACATACCTAAAAGCGGCGTAAAACCATATGCACTCACCCAATAAACATCACGAAGGAAATGGCGTACATTTGGGGAGGGCAACCCGTGGAACAGAAATCCCCTTCCTTCTTTTACTAGATATAACATGTCCACCTTCGCCCCGTCTCCAACAATAGCAAGATGTACACTTCATGTTATCATTTTATTCTGGCTTGGCTAGTCAACTAATGCGAAAACATTTTGGTTATATATGAGTGAGATATTAATCGGCCACAGAAAGAGCAGTATCGTCACAATATTGATTGAAACACCCCTTGAATTCCAATTACTGACTAGTTCACCCTGAATGTTTGACTCTGCTGATGGTACTAAACTTCACCTGTTCTTTTGATAGTATGATTGAAATCTAAAACCTTGTGTGCTTATCCAATTTGTCTTTCCATAGCGTTGAAGAAGGAAGGCTTGAAGGGTCCACCGTCAACAATCAGTCGAGCGTCCGGACATGAGCATGGCAACCTGGCTACTGGTCCTCGCTGTCCTCGCCGTGGGTGCACGTGCAGCTGTACCAGAGGACGAGATCACAGAGTTGCCCGGATTGAGTCAACCTCCCAGCTGGAAGCAGTACTCTGGATATCTGAAGGCCTCGGGAACCAGGAAGCTGCATTACTGGTGAGAACACCTGGTGGTAACAGATCCCGCTGGCTAGAACACCTGGTGGTAACACATACTGCTGACTAGAACACCTGGTGGTAACAAATTCTGCTGGCTAGAACACCTGGTGGTAACAAATTCTGCTGGCTAGAACACCTGGTGGTAACAGATACTCCTGGCTAGAACACCTGGTGGTAACAGATCCTACTGGCTAGAACACCTGGTTGTAACAAATACTGCTGACTAGAACACCTGGTGGTAACAGATCCTGCTGGCTAGAATTCCCTATGGTAACAAATACCGCTGACTAAAACACCTGGTGGTAACAAATACTGCTGGTTAGAACACCTGGTGGTAACAGATTCTGCTTGCTAGAACACCTGGTGGTAACAAACACTGCTGGTAAGAACACCTGGTGGTAACAGATACTGCTGGCTAGAACACCTGGTGGTAACAAATTCTGCTGGCTAGAACACCTGGTGGTAACAAATACTGCTTGCTAGAACACCTGGTGGTAACAAACACTGCTGGTCAGAACACCTGGTGGTAACAAACACTGCTGATCAGAACACCTGGTGGTAACATATACTGCTGGCTAGAATACCCTGTGGTAACAAATACCGCTGGCTAGTACACCTGGTGGTAACAAATACTGCTGGCTAGAACACCTGGTGGTAACAGATCCTGCTGGCTAGAACACCTGATGAAAACAGATACTGCTGGCGTGGCAACAAATAGTGTTGGCCAGAATAACTAGGCATACTGCTTGCTAGAACACCTGGCGGTAACAAATACTGCTGGCTAAAACACCTGGTGGTAACAAATACTGCTGCTAGAACACCTGGTGGTAACAAACACTGCTGGCTAGAATAGCTAGAAATTCTGCTGGGTAGAACACCTCGTAGTGACAGATAGTGCTGGCGTGGTAACAAATACTGCTGTTGGGAATACCACGTAGTAACAAATTCTGCTGTTGGGAATACCAGATAGAAACAAAATACAGCTGTTGGGAATACCACGCAGTAACAAATTCTGCTGTTGGGAATACCAGATAGAAACAAAATACTGCTGTTGGGAATACCACATAGTAACAAAATACTGTTGCTGATAATACATCACGGTAACAAAATACTATAGGCAGGTATTATCATTGTAGTACCATCATGATGCTAAACAACTTCTGACAATACCCTCCCTCGCTTGCTGCCATTACCTGTAAAAGCCCTCATCACTGAAATGTTCCTTTAGGTTTGTTGAGTCCCAGAGTTCCACACCGAAGACGGACCCAGTGGTTCTGTGGCTGAATGGAGGCCCCGGATGTAGCTCCCTGCTAGGGCTCCTCACAGAGAACGGGCCGTTCAGGGTGTGTGACCTGCTTCAACTGATGGATCCACGGATACCCCCTTAATAGGCGACGTCATGGATTAGGTGGTCAGGCTCGGTGACTTTCTTTATTGCGAGTCTTCGTACCCAGGCGGCTTGGGGCGTTGGTCATAATATGAATAATTGGATTGTCTGATCGAGACTCGATTATTTACAGGACGCCTCATATAGCTGAAGTATTACCGAGTAAGGCGTAAAACAACAAGCAAAACCAAACAAAAGCTTTAAGATAACCATGCCCGACATTGATAGTATGAATAATACCTCTTATAACGTGAGGGAAACTAACTAAACGGTGTCCTTTGGCAGTCAAATGCATTAAACAGACATCCACAGAGCTCAAAGACGCACTTTTACCATATTTAAACATACACACGTGTTTTGGGTATGCAATGCACTAAAACAGAATGCACGCCATTTTTCACTGTCGCACACAAATAGCAGGAGTCACTGAGTGCCGTCCTGCTAACATGTCAAACTACACTGTGCTCTTTGTTATAGTAGTTCATTGCATCCGCATAGGTATGTGATAATTACCCCGCTGAATAGCAAATCCTTCTGCAGGATCCGCGTCTCTGATCACTTTTTTATTTGTTTTTATTTGTTTGTTTTCTTTGCTACCCAACAGATAGCCACAGATGGGGAGACAGTGCAGTATAATCCGCACAGCTGGAACGCGGTGAGTGAACAGGGTGGAAAGCAAGGGAGTGGGGAAATCGGTCACAGGAGAAGGGATAACATGGGAGGATCCTGGACAGACTAAGGGACACAACTCTGCTCACTATTTCCGGCATCCGTACCCCACCGATAGAGAAGGCTGGCGGGGCCACCATCGCTGTTTATAACTGCTATGCAAAAACAATAACCGTGTTTGTTGGTATCGATCCACACCTTCAAGTTGTCCCAAATATAATCATAATCACAGTCATGCCCAACAGCCATTTTGACCTCCTAATCACCATTTTATCAATGGCCGGTTTCTATACAGTCATATCAACATATTTTTATTACCCATAAGGCTAGTAGTAACCGAGTGCAAATATCACTTCATGCCCACCAGTGTATTATTTGTTTCTTCCGGACAGCATTCTTGCCGTCGTTTGAATCTTACTGTTAAACCTCATTCTTACAATTCCATTGGCTAATCTGTACCACGGGACGAAACAATACATTTCAATGTAGACCCCCAAATCATGTGACTGACACTGACCTTGAATATTGACTCGTCTCATGATCAGTATTGACCTGTCACGTGATGAATATTGACTCGTCAGCTAGAAACAAGATGGCGTATGGTACACAAACATTTAACGGTTCGCAGCTGAGTTGCTGTAATAAACAGAGGACGGTTTAAAGACTGCATACATTTTTAAATGAATTTTGGTATTACAAAACAAATGAGAACTCTTGACGATGACTCTGCGGCCTCTTTCCGGTCAGACCACCTCAGGGGACGGGTCTAATTATTTGTATATTGTGTCATAAGGGCGGAATGACGTCACACTAGAAATGGCGTCATAGCTGAGGATTGTTGACGTCATTCGACAATTCTGTTTTTTGTCTAGACGGCGGTCGTGATCAGTGCATTTTTCTGCAAGAGTAGCTCAAAGGGATTAAGCTCTCGCTCGGGAAATACAAGAATTCATACACTCGTTTTGTAAAATCAGTATGACACTCATGCTCAGTCAATAATCCCTTTGAACAAACGTGTAACTTTGTATATCTATGTGTCCCTCTGTCACCAGATCGCCAACATGCTGTTTCTCGAGGCTCCCGCCGGTGTTGGGTTCTCCTACAGTGACGACAGAAACTACACCACAGATGACAATGAGGTGACCCTCTCGGAAATACCACAAGGACCTTTATCATGTTGCCTGCATCACTTGTTGGCCATTTAACATAATGCCAACGTCACTTCTTGATCACCTGTTGACCCCTAAACTGTGTACTGTACTACATGTGTTCCATAAACATATGTGCTGCATCACGTGTTTACTATGAACATGTAGGGGCGGTCGGGTAGCCTAGTGGTTAAAGCGTTTGCTCGTCACGCCGAAGACCCGGGTTCGATTCCCGACATGAGTCAATGTGTGAAGCCCATTTCTGGTGTCCCCCGCCGTGATATTGCTGGAATATTGCTAAAAGCGGCGTAAAACCATACACACTCACTACTATGAACATGTGGCCTGTGTCGCTTTTTAACCATTAACACATGCACAGCATCACATGTTTATCATTAACGTATGGTCAGTATCGCGTTTTTAGCATTAACATGTAGACTGCATCACGTGTTTACCATGAACATATGGATTGCAGAACGTGTTTACCGTTAACATAATGATTGCATCACGTGTTTACCATTAACATGTAGATGCATCACTTGTTTACCATTAACATGTCGACTGCATCACTTGTTTACCATTAACATGTAGATGCATCACGTTTTAACCATTAACATATGGATTGCAGCACGTGTTTACCATTAACATACAGACTTCATCAGTTGTTGACCATTAACATATAGACTTCATCATGTTTTAACCATTAACATATGGATTGCAACACGTGTTTACCATTAATATACAGACTTCATCAGTTGTTGACCATTAACATACAGACTTCATCACGTTTTAACCATTAACATATGGATTGCAACACGTGTTTACCATTAACATACAGACTTCATCAGTTGTTGACCATTAACATACAGACTTCATCAGTTGTTGACCATTAACATACAGACTTCATCATGTTTTAACCATTAACATATGGATTGCAACACGTGTTTACCATTAACATATAGACTTCATCAGTTGTTGACCATTAACACATGAACTGCAGCACGTGTTTACAATTCACATATGGATTGCATCGCGTGTTGACCACTAAGATATAGACTACATCACTTGTTTACCATTAGCATGTAGACTGCAGCACGTGTTGACTTCCAATATCCGACTGGGATGTTTACTGCCACACGTGTTACCCTTTAGGATTTGATCCTAGGTGCTGTTGGTTGACATTGGCCGTATGTCATGCTCATAAGTAACAATGACAACTTATCAACTGTTTGACATTGGCCGTATGTCATGCTCATAAGTAACAATGACAACTTATCAACTGTTTGACATTGGCCGTATGTCATGCTCATAAGTAACAATGACAACTTGTCAACTGTTTGACATTGGCCGTATGTCATGCTCATAAGTAACAATGACACCTTATCAACTGTTTGACATTGGCCGTATGTCATGCTCATACGTAACAATGACAACTTGTCAACTGTTTGACATTGGCCGTATGTCATGCTCATAAGTAACAATGACAACTTATCAACTGTTTGACATTGGCCGTATGTCATGCTCATAAGTAATAATGACAACTTGTCAACTGTTTGACATTGGCCGTTTGTCAAGCTGCTTTGACACAATGGTAACTTATGTCAACTGTTGACATGGGCGGTACCAAATATTGACTCTAAGATCTAGATGGTAATTGCTACACGTTTCATATCATCGAACTGAGCACCAGGATTTCACCAGTTGACACAGTTCCGCGTTGACCCTGCGCTGTTTTTACCATTTTTCGTATAGAAAGTGTCAGGTTTTTGCCTTTTGCGTTTTTTTCTTTCGTAGACATGCGCTGTTTCTAACCTTTTATGTTTAGACGCATGCTGTCTTAACTTATAAATATAGACATGCGCGGCATTTAAACTTCCAGATATAGATCGAAAAACGTTAAGTCGGTATATCGACTGTAGAATATTTCACACTGCTTGGACTGTGCCGGTTTTAGTGTCTGCTTTTTATGTGTTTTAGGTAGCCTACAACAACTATCTTGCCTTAAAAGATTTCTTCACGAAGTACCCCGAGTACAAGACCAACGACTTCTACATCACTGGGGAGAGTTATGGGGGCATCTACGTGCCGACACTCAGCGCAATCGTCGTCGACGACCAAGACATCAACTTTAAGGTGAATTTGTAGAGCGAGGAAACGGTAAAACAGTCACATTGTTAAGATACACGAATTATTACATTCACATTACTAAAATATATGGCCCACATCAGTCACAGTACTCCGTGGTCTAGTGGAGAGAGCGTCTGTCCGAAGAGCGGAAGATCTGTGGTTCGATTCCCTCATACCAAAAGACGTGAAAAGACGGTACTTGTTGTTACCCTGCCTGGCGGTCGGCATTAAGGAGATAAAGTTCGTACTAGTACAAGCAACTACACATACAAGTGCATGTACGTTGCTATGTAAGTGAAGTAATCGTGCACTCGACGTTATATCCCATTTCTCACAGTACTGCGATATAAACCATTCAACCACAGTACTAAGAAAAAGCAACGCTAAGACATACGAGTTAACGCCCGGGTTAGATTCCGGGTTAGAATTTGTCCCCAGCAACCTATGCTGGACGTAAGAGGTGACTGAATGGACCGGTGTCCAGGCTCAGAGACTTGGTTGATTGCGCGTCATCGCACCCCAACGGAATGGGTCATTCTCACAATATGAATCACTGGATTGTCTGGTCCAGAATCGACTTTTTAAGTACTGCAGTCATGTACCTGGAATATTTTTGAGTGCGGCGATAAACAACAAACAGTTTAAAATACACTTAAAAACCTCGTTAATCCGGACATACTTTATCCGGAAATTCCATACTGCTCATTACTGCTGGGTACCCTTATATTTTAAGTCATTACTCCATAACCATAATTTGGTAGTTCAGAGGACTTCAGTGGAAACGCCAACATTGTTTCACAGTGAGTCTCTTGTCACGCTGAAGGCAGTTTAAACTTCACTCACTCACTCACTTAATGATGCTTCGGATCATCCTTCCAGGGTTTTGCAGTTGGCAATGGTGTCACTGATGCCATCATGCTCGACAACTCTATCATCTACTTCGCCTACTACCACGGCCTCACCGGGGACAAGTACGTACACTTTGAAATGTGTCCACAGCTGCCAGATACACCAGACTTAAGACCCCTCTCCCTTACGACCCCTCTCCCTTATGAACCCTCTTCCTTATGACCCCTCTCCCTTATGACCCCTCTTCCTTATGACCCCTCTTCCTTATGACCTCTCTCCCTTACGACCCCTCTCCCTTACGACCCCTCTTCCTTATGACCCCTCTTCCTTATGACCCTCTCCCTTATGACCCCTCTTCCTTATGACCCCTCTCCCTTATGACCCCTCTCCCTAACGACCCCTCTCCCTTACGACCCCTCTTCCTCATGACCCCTCTTCCTTATGACCCCTCTCCCTTATGACCCCTCTTCCTTATGACCCCTCTCCCTTATGACCCCTCTCCCTTATGACCCCTCTTCCTTATGACCCCTCTCCCTTATGACCCCTCTTCCTTATGACCCCTCTCCCTTATGACCCCTCTTCCTTATGACCCCTCTTCCTTATGACCCCTCTCCCTCATGACCCCTCTTCCTTATGACCCCTCTTCCTTATGACCCCTCTCCCTCATGACCCCTCTTCCTTATGACCCCTCTTCCTTATGACCCCTCTCCCTCATGACCCCTCTCCCTTATGACCCCTCTTCCTTATGACCCCTCTCCCTTATGACCCCTCTTCCTTATGACCCCTCTCCCTCATGACCCCTCTCCCTTATGACCCCTCTCCCTATTGTGATGTGAGACAGCAGCCAAGCATGACACTCCATAGCTGATATTGATGTACCAGCTTGAATGACGACGAATGCTCATATTGTAACAATGATTTAATGTGAACTTTAAAACGAAAAGTTGGGCGTATCCTGACCCACCGATGGCACTTGTCATTCAAGTCACGCTAACTTCGGGGCATCATTTTAGTCACTGATGCGTCAAATTTAGAAATGTCCTCAATATGTTCATCATAAATCTTTTTGAAAGTTATACTTGGGCCTTTAATGTGATAACCTTGATCAAACGAGTTTTGAGCTTGAGGCGTATGACGCTCTTTGAATTTTTTTTAAAAAGAGCATGCACTATTGTGTCTCAAAAGTTGTGAAATGTAGACACCAAAGGCTTGAGCTGCTGGTCATACAGTCTTGTGGAGAGTTTTTTGCACCATACCCGTGCTCGTGGGCTTCACCGAAGTGGTAAACGTCTGAGACCTGCATCACTTCGGGCTTCCCTCCCACATTAAGCTGACACGCCGCGATATAACTGGAATACTGTTAAAAGCGACGTTAAACCCAACTCACTCACTCACTCAAATTCAGGTGGGTAAAATCAGTGGAAGGGAATTTACAGTGTTTCTGTTGTTGAATGATATCAGATCATCGATACACCTGAAGTTTTAGTTGAAACTTCTTCCCCCAATTCCTTTGCTTTGACTTTGGCAATCCGAGTAGAAAATCCGATTCGTATGCATAAAAGACAGATCAGACAGAAGGGGGGCACAGATGGTGCCCGTGGGGAAGTATACTTCTTGCCTGAATGCCCCCCCCCCCCCCCCCCCCCCCTAAATGTTTTTCAGTTAGCTTCAGATGGGATTTGTTTTCATTTTTGACAAATTGTCCTGAACCTCTGAAGTTAGATATGTAACTGTATCTATGTTCACCATGTTTATTTACACAAATAAGCTTATTTTATTATTTACATCACTTAAAATCACGGTCATAAATAATTTGGCTAAATTTATCTTTTTAGCTTTAAAGAAACGTAGTAAATATTTTGCATAATATGGATATCCATCATTTAATATTTGCATAAACAGAAACTGTAATCATATTATATGGCGCTTCAGCGCTTATTATGTCAAGTTTCATGTATCATGGGACGGTGGCCCCTTTACCGTAATAAACACACTCACTCACAGATCAAGAAAAGAAGTTTTTCTTTTAGTTGGTCAAGTGGGATAGTGGTGTATAAAGTTGAATAATCATATGTTTTGACTTCTTTTCTGAGATTGCAAAAATTCAGACAAATCCTTTGAGGTTTTGAGTATCCACATGGTATTAATTCCACGTGTCTCAAATACTCTTTTTGAATATAAAAAAGTCCTTCCTTGATTGTATTATGGATACTGTAACAGAGATTTGATGGTTCATTTGCTGGACCCAGCAATATATCTCTCTGTGTAGGGATTTTTATAAAGCATGGGAATCCATCGCAAAAGAGGAATGGACATGTTTTAGAATCAAGTTAAAACTTGATAGTACTGATGAATGTTTTGGATGATTTCTTCTTCAGTTAACATAATTTAGTAGCGTTGTATGTGCTATTATTTCATATATCACTTTTACCGACTTCTTTGATCAAACTATACATGCAGTGATGTTAGCACATAATGGTTGTGTTTTTTGAGGCCATATACATGGTATGTACTTTTCCTTAAGCCTTGTAATTGAATCTCGTCTCTCTTGCTCGTACAGTTTTAGTTCTCTTGACTTGGGAGATTTGGATGTCGTTACTCCCTCACAAACTCGGGTCGTTTCTTCTTCAGCACGTGGAACAACCTGATGACCTACTGCTGTAAGGGCCAGGAGGGCCGGTGCAACTTCTACAGCAAAAGCTCCAACGACACCAACTGCAAGAAAGCGGTACGCGTCATACATTACTTTAAGTACTGCACGCTATATCGCAAAACTACTAATGCTGTCAGATGCCACATAATATAGTTTCTGTCATGTGTGTGTGTGTGCGTGCGCGTGTGTGTGTGTGTGTGTGTGTTTTGTGTGTGTGTGTGTGTGTGTGTATGTTATGTGTATGAGAGTAAGTGAGTGTTCTCGGTTGCCAAAATTTCAGCAACTATTTAAAATAGAACAACATCGTCGGACGGTGCTGAACCGCCTTCGCGAAGCATGTCTCCGAGCCAGACACAGGTAACGTCTTGACGCAACAACTTTGTCAACTGCGACGGCACGCAGAGTATGGTCCAGCCAGCGACGGAGAACTGTGTGGTTCAGCGATTACCCACAATTTGATGTTTAGGGTCAAGGGGAGGTAAGACTGTATGTTGAAGACACAGTACACGTAATGCTTCTCTCCTCAGCTGTTCGAGACATTCACAGCACTGTACAGCAGCGGCCTCAACGTCTACAACCTGTACGGAGAGTGCGTGAACACGGCGACCGGACTGACATACGACGTCAACACAGGCACCTACACCTCCTCCAACTTCGGCTGGTTCCTGCCACACTCACCACAAGTGCAGGAAGAAATCAGAGTAGGCCTGAGAAAGAGAATATTGATTTTTTCTCCACCTCAGTAAACTTGTCGTAGGTGACAGAATAGAAGAACTCCGAATGAGTTTTGAGTTTTTAAGGATGTCATGTCCAGAGTAAAGGAACAGAGCATGTCCCTCTTATATATTGCTCTTATATATTACTAATTGTCATCATGAGAAAGAAAAACAGACAATATGCCAAGCCTACCTGGACATTTTACTGAATGCGAACTACAGTAAACTACGGTTATGACGATCTCAAAGGGACTACTTTTTTAGTTCGTTATAACCGTAGTTCGTTATAAGCATATATACAGCATAACTACAGCAAATAGTCGGGACTAAAAGGTTAGTTCGTTATATCCGTCAGTTCGTTATAAGCGTGTTCGTTATAACCGTAGTTTACTGTATTATGCAGATGACGCGAGACTATGGAATTGTGGCGTCGTGAACACGGGGTGTCGCTAATCGCACTGTCAACACTTAAACAATGTGACGTCACATCAGATTATCAATCAGCATTGAGAGTCGCTAAAATATCGCGCAAATATCAGAAAGTTTCGAAGTACATTTTCACTATTAAGGTAATATCTGCTATCACAATGTTTTTATTGTCTCAAGGTGATGAAGAGTCTCCCACCTGAGAAGCTTCGGATGACACCACCCTGTCTTAATGAAACAAACGTCCTTGTATACCTGAATCAGCCGGAAGTGCGCCGTGCTCTCCATATACCGGACTCTGTTCAACGTTGGGACTCTTGCAGGTACGTTTCAGAATGGCTGGTTCTAAAAGGAGACATTTATTCATAATAATGATGATTTTAGGAGCGCTTCAGGTCGAACCTATTTCACACTCTGATTGTGGCAATTTCACCTTCGTCTGGTAGTTCGCAAGGTTCTACAAAACTATTCCGTTCATTACATTGAATGAAATAATCAACAATTGTGCACTAATCAAATATTGAAATCTAAAGATCACATGTGTGTTTATATTTTATAATTACAATCTGACCCACTATCTTTGGAATGCAATCGAACTTAACCCTTGTTTACATACGACGATCCTGCTAATTCAATCTATCGATATCCTGCAATAGAAGTATTGCATTTCACTCACGTAATGTTGACTGATTTCACAGAACATCAAACGATCTCCTTGAGTTAGTGATGAGCAATACGCGTGTTTCAGCGGACCGGTGTCTCAGGGCTACAAGACCACGTACAGGACAGTGAAGGAGCAGTACCTTAAGGTCCTCGACGCAAAGGTTTGCATACGTCATAGTCCTCAGGTTCAAAGAAGTATAAATTTAGGAACCGACTGTCCAGCTGATGGTGTCCTTGGGACCAGATTCTCCAGTTAATAGCTTTGTTGTATTGCGACAAATTCCCCAGTCGACGGTGTCATTGTCAAGGGGCAATTCTCCAGTTAATAGCTTTGTTGTACTGCGACAGATTCCCCAGTCGATGGTGCCATTGTCAAGGGGCAATTCTCCAGTTAATACTGAGTATCTTTATTGTGACACATTATCGAGTTCCTTCGACTATCTTATTACAGATTTTTTGAAAAGGACGTTTTGAGGGACTAGGTTCTCTTGTAAATATATAGTATCTTGATGACCAACACTCCAGTTCCTTTTAACAGAATGATAGAATGATTCAGAAGGATGCTTACACATTGGTTGAGAGAAGAGTTACATATATTTATTTCCTGGTATGTGATAATACAACGTTGATGCTGCAGAAGCGGGTGTTGGTGTACAACGGTGATGTGGACATGGCCTGTAACTTCCTGGGAGACGAATGGTTTGTCGACTCCCTCGAACTGAAGGTAGGGCTCTTTCTTTTTTGTAATAAGATATTGGGGACACTGAGGTATGAAGTAGTATCCGTTTGCTGTGAGATTTGGCTATATAGAGCTGTGTGTGTGTGTGTGTGTGTGTGTTGTGTGTGTGTTGTGTGTGTGTGTGTGTGTCGTATGTGTGTGTGTATGTAAGTGACTGTGTGTGTGTTGACTGTGTGTGTGTGTGTGTGTATGTGAGTGACTCTTTGTGTGTGTGTGTGTGTGTGTTGTGTATGTGAGTGTGTGTATGTTGTGTGTGAGTGTGTGTGTGTGTTAGTTAGCGTGTGTGTGAGTGTGTGTGTGTGTTAGTGAGTGTGTGTTGTGTGCGTGAGAATGTGTGTTGTGTGCGTGAGAGTGTGTGTTGTGTATGTGAATGTGTGTGTGAGAGTGAGAGTGAGAGTGTGTGTATGTGAGTGTGTGTTGTGTGCGTGAGAATGTGTGTTGTGTGCGTGAGAGTGTGTGTTGTGTATGTGAATGTGTGTGTGTGTTGTGTATGTGAGTGTGTGTTGTATGTGTGTGTGTATGTAAGTGACTGTGTGTGTGTGTTGACTGTGTGTGTGTGTGTATGTGAGTGACTGTGTGAGTGACTCTTTGTGTGTGAGTGACTCTGTGTGTGTGTGTGTGTGTGTGTGTGTGTGTGTGTGTGTGCGTGTGCGTGCGCGTACGTGCGTGAGTGCACGTGTGTGTGTTGTTTGACACCACACTGTAAACCTGGAATCCACACGTCCCTGGCAGTTCATATCAGGCAGTTCATATCAGGCAACACATATCATCCTTGTCATCAATGCGTACATCTGCTGTTGCTAGAGCGTCCAGTTCCGCAAGCCTTGGTACTACACCGCCGCCGACAAGACAAAACAAGTGGGGGGATTCGCCAGAGGGTTCGAGAATCTCGTGTACGTCACAGTCAGGGTACGTGCCGTCGTCTTGTCATCTTCCTAAGATCTTCCCCAACCAACAACGTGATAGGTATTTGTCTCTTAAACCGTGCCAACAGGTGTAATAGATCAGCGTCTCCAGGTGTCATAGATACACGTCTCTAGGAACCATACATCCACGTCTATAGGCATCACAGGTTCGCATCTCTAGCTGTCATAGATCGACGTCTAAGTATCATAATCCGCGTCTCTAGGTATAATAGGTCCGCATCTCTTGGTGTCACACATCCCTGTCTGTAGGGGTCATAGCTCCAAGGCTCCATGTGTCACAGATCCACGTCTCCATGTGTCACATATCCACGTCTCCAGGTGTCACATATCCGCGTCTGTGTGTGTCATAGATCCTTCTCTATGGGTATCACAGATCCTCATCTCTGGGTGTCATAGATCAGCGTCTCCGGGTGTCATAGATCAGCGTCTTTGGGTATCATAGATCAGCGTTTCTGGGTGTCATAGATCCGTCTCTATTGGTATCAAAGATCCTCCTCTCTGGGTGTCATAGAACAGCGTCTCTGGGTATCACAGATCCTCCTCTCTGGGTATCAAAGATCCTCCTCTCTGGGTGTCATAGATCAGCGTCTCAAGGTGTCATAGATAAGCGTCTCTGGGTGTCATAGATCAGCGTCTCTGGGTATCACAGATCCTCCTCTCTGGGTATCAAAGATCCTCCTCTCTGGGTGTCATAGATCAGCGTCTCAAGGTGTCATAGATCAGCGTCTCTGGGTATCATAGATCAGCGTCTCTGGGTATCATAGATCAACCTCTCTGGGTATCATATATCCTCCTCTATGGGTATCACGGATCCTCCTCTCCTGGTATCATAGATCAGCGTCTCTGGGTGTCAAAAATCAGCGTCTCTGGGTATCATAGATCCGCGTCTCTGGGTATCATAGATCAGCGTCTCTGGGTATCATAGGTCCTCTTCTCTGTGTGTCATAGATCAGCGTCTCAAGGTATCATAGATCAGCGTGTCTGGGTATCACAGATCAGCGTCTTAAGGTTTCATAGATCCTCCTCTATGGGTATCACAGATCCTCCTCTCTGGGTGTCATAGATCAGCGTCTCAAGGTGTCATAGATCAGCGTCTCTGGGTATCATTCTCCTCCTCTCTGGGTATCATAGATCCATAGAAGAACATAAATGAATTAAAAAGTAAGCACTGACCAACACACTGCAAGGGGAGGCGACAATCCTGCATTTAATATTTGACGTTTTGTTTGCAGGGATCCGGTCACATGGTTCCCTCAGATAAACCTGAGCCAGCACTTGTGATGTTCACCAACTTCATCAAAAATAACCCTTTCTAGATCAATACACCTTCAGGACTGAATGATGATCTAGAAACGTATTACCAAGTGACTGTCTGTACTATGGGTTTTTTGCGTTCTCTGGTGTCCTCGGTGTATAGCTTCTAGGGAAAAGGCACAGTCTAAATAAGTCTTATTGTTTCTCAAAGAATCTTTGAAATCTTCAAAGAAAGTACAGAAAGGTCATGTTCCCCATGACCATGTACGGTAACGTCAAACGGAGCCATTGTTTCTCAAGTGACAGAGTAGTGATGTTTGGCAAGCCTTTTTAGTATTAAATAGCGATTTGTAGATTTCATAACTGTATGTTTTATTTTGTATTTCATGTTTACACAGTTTTTAAGTAAAGATTATTTTAAGAATAAACGATATACTTCATATTTTTGTCAGTTCTGTGTTTTCTATTCTCAGTGAGAGAATTACTCCTCTCAGACTATCGTGTATCTATCAGGCTCACAGTGAGAGAATTACTCCTCTCAGACTAGTGTGTCTCTATCAGGCTCACAGTGAGAGGATCACACCTCTCAGACTAGTGTGTCTATCAGGCTCACAGTGAGAGAATTACACCTCTCAGACTAGTGTGTCTCTATCAGGCTCACAGTGAGAGAACTACTCCTCTTAGACTAGTGTGTCTATCAGGCTCACAGTGAGAGAACTACTCCTCTCAGACTAGTGTGTCTCTATCAGGCTCACAGTGAGAGAATTACTCCTCTCAGACTAGTGTGTCTCTATCAGGCTCACAGTGAGAGAATTACTCCTCTCAGACTATCGTGTATCTATCAGGCTCACAGTGAGAGAACTACTCCTCTTAGACTAGTGTGTCTCTATCAGACTCACAGTGAGAGAACTACTCCTCTCAGACTAGTGTGTCTCTATCAGGCTCACAGTGAGAGAATTACACCCCTCAGACTATCGTGTATCTATCAGGCTCACAGTGAGAGAACTACTCCTCTTAGACTAGTGTGTCTCTATCAGACTCACAGTGAGAGAACTACACCTCTCAGACTAGTGTGTCTCCATCAGGCTCACGGTGAGAGAATTACTCCTCTCAGACTAGTGTGTCTCTATCAGGCTCACAGTGAGAAAATTACTCCTCTTAGACTAGTGTGTCTCTATCAGGCTCACGGTGAGAGAATTACTCCTCTCAGACTAGTGTGTCTCTATCAGGCTCACAATGAGAAAATTACTCCTCTTAGACTAGTGCGTCTCTATCAGGCTCACAGTGAGAGAACTACTCCTCTTAGACTAGTGCGTCTCTAACAGGCTCACAGTGAGAGAATTACTCCTCTCAGACTAGTGCGTCTCTATCAGGCTCACAGTGAGAGAATTACTCCTCTTAGACTATCGTTAATCTATCAGGCTCACAGTGAGAGAATTACTCCTCTTAGACTAGTGCGTCTCTATCAGGCTCACAGTGAGAGAACTACTCCTCTCAGACTATCGGGTATCTATCAGGCTCACAGTGAGAGAATTACTCCTCTTAGACTAGTGCGTCTCTATCAGGCTCACAGTGAGAGAATTACTCATCTCAGACTATCGTGTATCTATCAGGCTCACAGCGAGGGAATTACACCTCTTAGACTAGTGTGTCTCTATCAGGCTCACAGTGAGAGAACTACTCATCTTAGACTAGTGTGTCTCTATCAGGCTCACAGTGAGAGAACTACTCCTCTTAGACTAGTGCGTCTCTATCAGGCTCACAGAGAGAGAATTACTCATCTCAGACTAGTGCGTCTCTATCAGGCTCACAGTGAGAGGATCACACCTCTCAGACTAGTGTGTCTCCATCAGGCTCACAGTGAGAGAATTACACCTCTCAGACTAGTGTGTCTCTATCAGGCTCACAGTGAGAGAATTACACCTCTCAGACTAGTGTGTCTCTATCAGACTCACAGTGAGAGAACTACTCATCTCAGACTAGTGTGTCTCTATCAGGCTCACAGTGAGATAATTACTCCTCTCAGACTAGTGTGTCTCTATCAGGCTCACGGTGAGAGAACTACTCCTCTTAGACTAGTGTGTCTCTATCAGGCTCACAGTGAGAGAATTACTCCTCTCAGACTAGTGTGTCTCTATCAGGCTCACGTTGAGAGAACTACTCCTCTTAGACTAGTGTTCACTATCAGGCTCACAGTGAGAGAATTACTCCTCTCAGACTAGTGTGTCTCTATCAGGCTCAGAGTGAGAGAATTACACCTCTCGGACTAGTGTGTCTCTATCAGGCTCACGTTGAGAGAACTACTCCTCTTAGACTAGTGTTCACTATCAGGCTCACGGTGAGAGAATTACTCCTCTCAGACTAGTGTGTCTCTATCAGGCTCACAGTGAGAGAATTACTCCTCTCAGACTAGTGTGTCTCTATCAGACTCACAGTGAGAGAATTACACATCTCAAACTAGTGTGTCTCTATAAGGCTCACAGTGAGAGAACTACACCTCTTAGACTAGTGTGTCTCTATCAGGCTCACAGTGAGAGAATTACACCTCTCAGACTAGTGCGTCTCTATCAGGCTCACAGTGAGAGAATTACATATCTCAGACTAGTGTGTCTCTATCAGGCTCACAGTGAGAGAATTACACATCTCAAACTAGTGTGTCTCTATAAGGCTCACAGTGAGAGAACTACACCTCTTAGACTAGTGTGTCTCTATCAGGCTCACAGTGAGAGAATTACACCTCTCAGACTAGTGCGTCTCTATCAGGCTCACAGTGAGAGAATTACATATCTCAGACTAGTGTGTCTCTATCAGGCTCACAGTGAGAGAATTACTACTCTTAGACTAATGTGTCTCTCTCAGGCTCACAGTGAGAGAATTACTCCTCTTAGACTAGTGTGTCTCTATCAGGCTCACAGTGAGAGAATTACACCTCTCATACTAGTGTGTCTCTATCAGGCTCACGGTGAGAGATTCACACCTCTCTGACTAGTGTGTCTGTATCAGTTCGTCAGTGAGATAGACTCGTAGAGTCTATTAACAATGATAACCCAGGAACCAAGTATTTGAAGTCTTAAATACCAGTGTCTAAATGCTTCATTCAACCTTGACTGGACCTCGACATACTGGTCGTACGATGTTCCACAAGGTGACATAACAATGCTGTTAAGCTGTATGTACAGGGATAAGGGCCATAAGTATGTGTCTTGTGTGGACATACATTGTAAATAGACTGTGTACTAGGATTTCGATTAGAGTCATCAAATGACAATACAAACATTTGAGTGAGTGAGTGAGTGAGTGAGTGAGTGAGTTTTGGTTCAATGCCGCTTTTTATCAGTTATAACAGTTATATCAAAGCCTGAATTGATGCAAGCCTCAAATGCAACCCACCAACACATGTCTGGTGCTAACAAACCGGGATTTGAACCACAATAATAAGTCCCTGGTTAAATTAAGGGACGCGAAACACGGCACCCTAGACGACAGGGCCACCCTGTTCAAACGTTATCAAGGCCGACATTTACATCGCAACCAAATACTCAGGCTACCATCCAACCACGCAACTTCGAGAAACAGTGCAAATGCAGCACCATGCGTAGCCCCTATCTCTCATTGCTTCAACCCTGGTATTGGGTGAATATGTATAACGCTGGACTTACTTGAGGGGCAGGACTTGCGCAATTGCAACACGTCGCAGCCAAGACTACAGCCATAAGTCATGCTTATGTGATGCTGAGGCAAAAACTGTCATAAAACCCGGAGACACGTTTTTTACAGAGATCACACAAGTCTGACAGGTAAGACCTGATCATGTCGACTAGGTATACCTTACTGATTGTTTACGCGACCAACATAACGGTGGAGTGAGTGAGTGAGTGAGTATGGTTTTACTCCAGCAATATCAGGGCAGGTGAACCCTTTGTACTCGTTTAGGGAATCGAAACCAGGTCTTCGGTGTGATGAGCTAACGCTTTTAAGCACTCGACTAGCCCGCCGCTCCAACATAACGAAACAAGGTCATTTTACCAGCCCGTTCCGGAGTTTATATAATCTGACACCGGTTATACAACTAAACTTCACCTGTTTTTTTATAATATGATTTAAATCTAAAACTATGTGTGTTTATCCAATTTGTCTTTCTATCACGTTGAAGAAGGAAGACTTAAAAGTCCACCGTCAAACATCAGTCGAGCGTCCGGACATGAGCATGGCGTCCTGGCTACTGGTCCTCGCTGTCCTCGCCGTGGGTGCACGTGCAGCTGTACCAGAGGACGAGATCACAGAGTTGCCCGGATTGAGTCAACCTCCCAGCTGGAAGCAATACTCTGGATATCTGAAGGCCTCGGGAACCAGGAAGGTGCATTACTGGTGAGAACACCTGGTGGTAACAGATACTGCTGGCTAGAACACCTGGTGGTAACAAATAATACTGGGTAGAACACCTGGTGACAAAAAGTACAACTGGTTAGAACACCTGGTGGTAACAGATACTGCTGGCTAGAACACCTGGTGGTAACAGATACTGCTGGCTAGAACACCTAGTGTTAACAAATACTGCTGGCTAGAACACCTCATGGTAACAAATACTGCTGGCTAGAACACCTGGTGGTAACACATACTGCTGACTAGAACACCTGGTGGTAACACATACTTCTAGCTAGGACAACTCATGGTAACAAATACTGCTGGCTAGAACACCTGGTGGTAACAAATACTGCTGGCTTGAACTCCTCATGGTAACAAATACTGCTGGCTAGAACACATCATGGTAACAAATACTGCTGGCTAGAATAACTAGAAATAGTGCTGGTGTAAATACGTCGTAGTAATGCGATACTGATGTTAAGGCTATCCCGTAATAATGATGGTGAGAATACTCTGTAATAATGAATACTGCTTTGAGAAGACCTTGTGTAACGAATACTGCTTTGAGAAGACCTTGTGTAACGAATACTGCTTTGAGAAGACCTTGTGTAACGAATACTGCTTTGAGAAGACCTTGCAATGAATATTGCTGTGATATTACCTTGTATAACGAATAATGATGTGAGATTACCTTGTAACGAATACTGCTGTGAGAATACCTTGTATAACCAATACTGCTGTGAGAATGCTTTGTATAACGAATACTGCTTTGAGAATACCTTGTGCAACGAATAGTGTTTTGAGAATACTTTCCAACGAATAATGCTGTGAGAATACCTTGTAGTAACGAGTACTGCTGTAAGAATAAGACCCTGTGGTAACGAATATTGTTGTGTGATTACCCTGTGATAACGAATACTGCTGTGAGAATATCCTATGGTAACGAATATTGCTGTCAAAATACCGTGTGGTAATGAATATTGCTATGTGAATATCGTGTGGTAACGAATATTGCTTTGTGAATATCCTATGGTAACGAATATTGCTATGTGAATATCGTGTGGTAACGAATATTGCTATGTGAATATCCTATAGTAACGAATATTGCTGTGAAAATACCGTATGGTAACGAATATTGCTATGTGAATATCGTGTGGTAACGAATATTGATGTGAGTATATCCTGTGGTAGCGAATACTGCTAAGTGAATACCCCGTTGTAAAACATACCGATGTGCGAATACCCCATTGTAACGAATACTACTGGTGAAAATACCCCGAAATGTCAATATGTAGTATTGAAATACTGCTGGAGGATTACCCGCTAGTCTTGCTACTATAAATACTGCTGCTGGAAATACCTGGAGGTAACAAATTACTACTGATGCGTAATAATGCTGAACCACGTATAACCTCTGATAACTGCAATGACTGACCTGTCAGACATACGTTCATACTACTAGTATATATATCCCCCCTCGCTTGCAACCATTACCTGTAAAAACCCTCATCATTGAAATGTCCTTTAGGTTTGTTGAGTCTCAGAGTTCCACACCGAAGACGGACCCCGTGGTTCTGTGGCTGAATGGAGGCCCCGGATGTAGTTCCCTGCTAGGGCTCCTCACAGAGAACGGGCCGTTCAGGGTGAGTGACCTGCTTCAACTGATGGATCCACGGATACCCCCTTAATAGGCGACGTCATGGATTAGGTGGTCAGGCTCGGTGACTTTCTTTATTGCGAGTCTTCGTACCCAGGCGGCTTGGGGCGTTGCTCATAATATGAGATTTTGGATTGTCTGGTCGAGACTCGATTATTTACAGGACAGCTCATATAGCTGGAATATGCTGAGTGCGGCGTTAAGCAAACATTAAAACCGATAGATAGCCATGACCGACCGTAATAGCATGTAAACGACCTCTTGTAATGGTAAGAAAAGTGATCAAGTGATGTATTCTCGCAGTCAAATCCATTTAACAGACTCAAAGTTGGCCATTATACTTATCTCGTGAATAAACAATCCTACTGCACGATCCCCATTTTGGCTGAATTTCTTATTTGTTTCCTCTTTGCTACCTCACAGATTGCTACTGACGGGGAGACGGTGGAGTACAATCCACACAGCTGGAACGCGGTAAGCTGTGTGTGTGTGTGTGTGCGCGCGCGCGTAAGTGTGCGTGCATCCTGGAAAGACTAAGAACTCTGTTCAATATTTTCGGCATCCGTGTGCCCCTTTGATGGAGAAGGATTGCCGGGCATCAACAGCTATTCAAAAGCAATAATCGCTTCTGCAAGTCATGCCCAGCAGTCATTTTGACCTCCAAAGCACCATTGTACATCGAGGTGTTCCTCTGTTACCAGATCGCCAACATGCTGTTTCTCGAGGCCCCAGCCGGTGTTGGGTTCTCCTTCAGTGACGACAGAAACTACATCACAGATGACGATGAGGTGACCGTATTGACATGTGGACAACATCACGTGTTTACTATTAACATATGGCCAACATCACGTGTTTACTATTAACATATGGACAACATCACGAGTTTACTATTAACATATGGACAACATCACATTTTTATTATTAGCATATGACATGCGTCAGGTGTTTACCATTAACATATGGACAACATCACATGTTTACTATTAACATATGGCATGCGTCATGTGTTTACTATTAACATGTGGACAACATTACATGTTTACTATTAGCATACGGCATGCGTCATGTGTTTACTATTAACATATGGACAACATCACATGTTTACTATTAGCGTATGGCATGCGTCATGTGTTCACTATTAACATATGGACAACATCACATGTTTACTATTATCATATGGCATGCGTCATGTGTTTACTATTAACATGTGGACAACATCACATGTTTACTATTAGCATATGGCATGCATCATGTGTTTACTATTAACATATAAACAACATTACATGTTTACTATTAGCATACGGCATGCGTCATGTGTTTACTATTAACATATGGACAACATCACATGTTTACTATTAGCATATGGCATGCGTCATGTGTTCACTATTAACATATGGACAACATCACATGTTTACTATTGTCATATGGCATGCGTCATGTGTTTACTATTAACATGTGGACAACATCACATGTTTACTATTAGCATATGGCATGCATCATGTGTTTACTATTAACATATAAACAACATCACATGTGTACTATTAGCATATGGCATGCGTCATGTGTTTACTATTAACATGTGGACAACATCACATGTTTACTATTAGCATATGGCATGCGTCATGTGTTTACTATTAACATGTGGACAACATCACGTGTTTACTATTAGCATATGGCATGCGTCATGTGTTTACTATTAACATATGGACAACATCACATGTTTACTTTTAGCATATGGCATGCGTCATGTGTTTACTATTAACATATGAACAACATGACGTTTACTATTAGCATATGGCATGCGTCATGTGTTTACTATTAACATGTGGACAACATCACATGTTTACTATTAGCATATGGCATGCATCATGTGTTTACTATAAACATATGAACAACATCACATTTTTACTATTAACATGTGGCATGCATCATGTGCTTACTATTAGAATGTGGCATGCATCACGTGTTTACTATTAACATGTGGCATGCATCACGTATTTACTATTAACATAGAGACAGCATCACGTGTTTTCCCCATGTATATGAACTGCATCACGTGTTTAATATCAACGTATGGACAGCACTGCATGTTTATCATTAACATAAAGATTGCATCACATATTTATCATTAATTAGCATATGGACTGCAACATTATTTACCACAGGCATTTGGACTTCATCACGTGTTTACAACTGGAACGCCCCACTGGGATGTTTACTGTCACTGTCGGGACATGATGCCACGTGCTGTCGTTTGACCTTGGCCGCATGTCATGTTGCTTAGTAATGACAACTTCTGTCAACTGTTTGGCATTGGTCGTATGTCATGCTGTTCAGTAATAATGAAAACTTCTGTCAACTTTTTGACACTGGCCGTGTGTCATGTTGCTTAGTAACTATGGCAACTTCTGTCATCTTGATATGCTCAAGGTTTTGCCCTTTTAGATAAAGATTTTTAGTGTTTCTGTCGGTTTTAGTGTTTGTGGTTTTATGTGTTTAAGGTAGCTCACAACAACTACCTCGCGTTGAAAGATTTCTTCTTGAAGTACCCTGAGTACAAGACCAACGACTTCTACATCACTGGGGAGAGCTACGGAGGCATCTACGTGCCGACACTCAGCGCAATCGTCGTCGACGACCAAGACATCAATTTTAAGGTCAGTTAGTTGTGCGAGGATACGTGAAGCTACACGAGTTAAACAGTCACATGTCTAAGATTCATGAGTTAAACAATCACAGTGCTAGAATAATTGCCCACGTCAGTCGCATTGCCACCACCGCCTCCGTGGTCTAGTGGGTATAGCGTGGTGGGCGGAAGGTCTGTGGTTCGATCCCTTTGTACCCAAACACGTTAAAGATGGTATTTGTTGTTACCCCGCCTGGCGCTCGGCATTAGGTGGGCAGACTGGTCGACTCAGAATCGGTATAATTATTCTGAGTGGTGTTTCCGTGTAAACACATTGCATCGTGTGAACGAGCAAGTCGGTCCAACTTTTGACGTATCCATGCGGCATGGTGTCTCAGTGAACTCAAACTATAACACCAGACACAGAGTCCGTACTTGTACAAGAAGAAGACACATACGCACACGCACAGGCACACGCACACGCACACGCACACGCACGCGCGCGCGTGCGGACACACACACACACACACACACAGACAGGTAACAACAAGTACCATTTTGGGGTATGGGAACCTTCAACTCTCCGGCCGGACGCTCTACCACTAGACCACGGAGGCGGTCCCCAGTGATGAGGACCTCGCACAAGAAGTCAAGATGCCAAGAATGGGGAACAGCAAAGGAAGCAAAATGTTCAATCTGATCCTAGGATGACCCCAGTGGTGAGTACGTGGTCAGTAGGGTCAGTCTGAGTACTAAGATACACTTGTTGCGTCTCTCACATCTCGGGTACATGCGTTACGTTAACTATAGTACCAGGGCCGACGAGTTAGAACAATACAACGCTTAGACGTACGAGTTACGTCATTCTCGTTAATTACGCCTGTCACGTAGTGGACTTGTGGTAAAATACAGTTATACCTCGTTACTCCGGACAGCCTCACTCACTCACTCACTCACTCACTCACTCACTCACTCACTCCTATGATAACGATAACTGCTGTCTACCACTACCACATCTCTGTCAGAATGCTCCAGTTCCAATGTAGTTAATGCTGCTTCCAGGGGTTTGCAGTTGGCAATGGAGTTACTGACGCCGCCATGAGCGACAGCTCTCTCATCTACTTCGCCTACTACCACGGCCTCATCGGGGACATGTACGTAGACACTCCTGTATAAAACCTATAGACTATGAAGTGTGGCAACAGCTGCCAGATACACCAGGCTTAGTGACACACAAGCAAGGCATGACTCTCCAGAGCTAACAAGGACGTACCAGCTTGTTTGATATGTCTAAAAGTTCATTATGTAACCATTATTTAATGTGGAATTCACACGATATACAGCTTCATGCAAGCTCTGACGCGCATACAGTTTGGCCCTCACTCTCTGAAGGCTCAGACTCCAATGAGCGCACGCACTTCTTTACACATGGCCCATACATTTCCTTTTACCATGTGACCGCCGCCGTGGTCTAGTGGTAGAGCGTCCGCCCGGAGAGCGGAAGGTCCGGGGTTCGATCCCCGGTCGCGTCATACCAAAAGACATTAAAAGATGGTACTTGTTGTTACCCTGTCTGGCGCTCGGCATTAAGGGGCTAAAACAAGGACTTGTCGGCTCGGAATCAGTATACTGTGTCTGAGTCGGATATTCATGTTAAACTGCGGCATGGTATCTCACTGAGCTAGCACTATAAATGGGCATCAGTCCGGAGTAGTACAAGCAGCCGCACAAACACACACACGTACATGCACGTCGCTATATAAGTGCAATAATCTTGGACGCGACGTTAAACCCCATTTCACCTCATCTCACCTCCTTTTACCATGTAATCACCTCTCACCTCTTCTGCTCGCACAGGTTTAGTGCTGTTGATTTTGGAAACTTGAATGTCGTTAATCCCTCACTAACACGGTCATTTCTTCTTCTCCAGCAACTGGGACATCCTGATGACCCACTGCTGTAAGGGCCAGGAGGGCCGGTGCAACTTCTACGACAAAATCTCCAATGACACCAACTGCAAGAGAGCTGTACGTGTCACACATTAATTTGATTTCTCATCCCAAAGTGACATCCACGGGAGTTATCTCTCCGGTGAGATCAAGTGATGTCGCTACAATGAGAATCCAAATGTTTTGCAGACCATTGTTACGTCATCATAACCATGGCGTCACAAACAAGTTGCATCACTTATCTCTCTGCCGCTGAAGCTTGTTGGCTTCAGCCTCGGAATTTAAACTTTTATCGACTTGTGTTGATACATTTGATATCAAAAGACACTCGGGTGACATTCACTGTTAGCCTATATACACTGCAGCTATATATCAACACTATTTTATACCGCCAGATGCCACATAATATGGTGCTTGTTATACGTTAGTTTGTCTGTCAGATAACTCACAGTATATCAAATTATCTGTTTGATACAGGATTGTCAAACATTATGTATTACAGCATTAATCATTTTGATTGTCATACTATATACATGTATCAGACAAATATGTTTCAAGGGTATGGATTGTTTCGATATTTAATATACTCCTTAGAAACAAGAAACGCACATATGGTATATGAAATCCATTATTACATACAGAGTTGATAATGTAGGGGTTCTAGAATGCCAACTGTTGTCCATTTGCAAACGTTGAACGGGAAAAATACCTCGTGGGACGATTTGAAGCAAGAATATTGCAGTCGGCCGAAGCAAGGGTATCCATTCTGTCAGAGATCATCAGTAATAGACTATGATTTCGCTGCTAACAACCTGTTACGTCACTGGTCCGCGTGGCTAACGACAGGTCAGCCTCGTGTTACAAAGGCTGCCCAGGATCGTTTCACATGGCGACGTCGCATAGTTGCGTTAGATAGCTGCGTGCGACAAGGCCACCCTGAACCACACGAACACTGCACAGGCCGAGTGGGCCAACATTCCCAAACGTGTGATCCAAACGTGGAGTCTGTTTTTCCATATTTTGATATTTCAGTTACTGTTATCGTACCCTTTTGCAAATGAACACGATTTGTCATACAAATATGTGATAAATCATGTATAAAGAAGATATTGAATCGCTGAAAAGTGAAACGAAAATGTCAAAAACTCAAATGAAAATGTCAAAAACAAAAGCGAAAATGTCAAAAACTAAAATGAAAACACAGAAAACTATTTCCACCGCGGTGGAAATAGTTTTCCGTATTTTCATTTAGTTTTTGATATTTTCACACTTGTTTTTGACATTTTCGTTTTTGTTTTTGACATTTCCATTTTAGTTTTTGACATTTTCGCTTCACATTTCAGTGATTCAATAGCTACATGAAAGTACATTTTCCATGTATTCGATTGTTTTTATACATGATTTATCACATATTTGAATGACACATTTGTGTCAATTTGCAAAAGGTTACGATAACAGTAAGTGAAATATCAAAATATTGAAAAACAGACTCCATGTCCCTTATGGGCTACCGTAGAGCAGAAATCGAGTTATGTGTTTTTTTAGGGGTATATTAAAATATTACCTAGATTATACAAGGACATAGTATACTGATACATGTATGTAGATACAGATACCACAATGGCATTGCAACACGATGGATGATTAGTGTCAAGGGCTGTGTGTTGAAGACACAGTACACATAACTCTTATCTCCTCAGTTGTTCGAGACGTATCAAGCAGTTCTCGGCAGTGGCCTCAACGTCTACAACCTGTACGGAGAGTGCGTGAACACGGCGACCGGACTGACGTACGACGTCAACACAGGCACCTACATCTCCTCCAACTTTGGATGGTTCCTGCCACACTCACCACAAGTGCAGGAAGAAATCAGAGTAGGCCTGAGAAAATATGCCAAAAAAGAAATATTGATTTTCAAAATTACATGTACATTGACGTCGTCGATGTAAAACTAAGTACATTCAAACAAAAGCTAAGATTCGGCGTCTTTGAATGGACCTAATAATTAGGGCAAAATAGAATATTGATTTTCAAAACTACATTGAAGTGTGACCATATAAAACGAAGTAGGGTCAAATGCTGGTAACACTTCAATATCTTTCATTCAACGAAACAATTAAAACACACAAAAAATATAAGCCAAAACAGTCAAAAACGCAGAAACTCGCTTTAAAAATAATTTTCCTTTGTAAACTACCAGCATGTGCTGTACGTTGGTTCGGATCAAAGATTCGACCAGATAAGAAAATGATTTCCGATTTGTCAGCATGCTTAAACAAAATTAGACACTGGGTAAGTGAAAAACAAATTCTAATATGAGTCCAAAAAGGCAGTCACGGCTGCCTAAGTATCTAAAAGTAAGGGCATGAGTTTGACATTCCGTTCTTAGAACGAACTTTTGTCTCACGTCTGAAAACTTTGGGAGGAAGTGAGTTCGTAGCGTAAGAGAATACCCAATGAGCTTCGAGGATTATATGTCCCCATTGAAGGGACGGTGTAAGCAGGTTGTTATATAATTATATATTACTCACAATCATTAGAAGAAATAAGAACGGATTATATGCCTACCTAGAAGCTACACTGAATGCGAACTATTGTACAGACGAGGCAATGCTATTACAATTATAAACGTTTTTCAAGATGATGAAGAGTCTCCCATCCGGGATGCTCCGGATGACACCACCCTGTCTTAATGACACAAACGTCCTTGTATACCTGAATCAGCCGGAAGTGCGCCGAGCTCTCCATATACCGGACTCTGTCCAACGCTGGGACTCTTGCAGGTAGGTTTTAGGCTCTAACATATTTGAAGATGATGAGGGTGATCATGAAGATGATTTTATGAGCGCTTCCGGTTGAACCTATTTCGCATACTTAGGGTGACGATATCACTATCGCTTGAGAGTTCATAATGTTTTTGGGGGCTCGAGATGGAGTGAGTGAGTGAGTATGGTTTTACGCCGCTTTTAGCAATATTCCAGCAATATCACGGCGGGGGACACCAGAAATGGGCTTCACACATTGTACCCATGTCGGGAATCGAACCCGGGTCTTCGGCGTGACGAGCGAACGCTTTAACCACTAGGCTACCCGACTGCCCCGGCTCGAGATGGAAGGCACCTATTCCGGTTCTACTGGATTTAAGGTGAATTGTCGGTTTTTCGTGTACCGTTATGCCAGTCCACCGCCCGGCGTTACCATAGATTTTCATCTACCTCTACCTTTACACCAACTTCCGGTGATCTCAAAGATTCGGAAGATAACTGTGTAATTAATATACCTGAGGGTGATTACCTAAAACAATGGCGAAGCTATTTTGTTCATTACATCATATTACATAATCAAATATTGTAAATATCAACTCAGTATTGGCTGATTTAGACCTTGTTTAAATATGACAATCCAACTAATTCAGCCTATCGATGGATTGCATTTCACTTATGTAATGATTTCTTTCCCTGTAATTTCTGAACTATCAAACAATCTCCTTGAATTAATGATGAGCAATTCGCTTATTTTAGCGGACCGGTGTCTCAGGGCTACACAACCATCTACAGGACAGTGAGGGCACAGTACCTAAAGGTCCTCAGCGCAAAGGTTTGAATACGTCATAACAAGTTCTCAGGTTGATAGAAATGTTGAGGGTTAACTCCTTGAGATGAAATACGGACCAGTAAATAGTTTCTATATTGGTCACAATTTATCCAGTTCCTTGTAACTATCGAATGATAGAATAATTTGTAAGGATGCTGAGAGGAGTGACATATATGAATTTCTTGGTATGTGATAATACAACGTTGATGTTGCAGAGGCGGGTGTTGGTGTACAGCGGTGATGTGGACATGGCCTGTAACTTCCTCGGAGACCAATGGTTTGTCGACTCCCTCAAACAGATGGTAGGTTGTGTGTGTGTGTGCGTGTGCGCGTGCGTGTGCGTGTGCGTGTGCGTGTGCGTGTGTGTAGCCCACCCAACTGAAATAATCAATAGGAGATGTATTGTTTTCTTATTATTTACTTCATTAACATGGCGACTAGTTGAAGAAAAATCAGCCAATCAGCGTCAAGTATTTAAGCACGCGGCCATATGAGAAAGGCTGACAAGATAGTCTCCCCTACACCTAAAAATGTCATCCATATCAATCATCCTTACACTGTCCTCTTCAAAACCTTTGGGTTCCTAACATTTGCACTAATTACCCGAGAGAAAAAATAAAAAATCTGAACAGTATGGCCAACTCCATTATCTGGTTTCAACTTGATTCATCGACTGACCACTTTGACTTCAACCCTTCAGTGGGATTGTAGCCATCCAGGACTTCCGCGTTCTGCAAGACTCCGAAGTAACTTTTTGTCACATGGATCCAGATGAGAACTATTTACCCTCTTGCCATAATACCCTTTCTGTTTCTGTGATTCCCCTTTAGAACGTCCAGATGCTAGTTCATATGCTTGTTGCGTGCACCTCCACCTCTTGGAGTGAGTGAGTATGGTTTTACGCCGCTTTTAGCAATATTCCAGCAATATCACGGCGGGGGACACCAGAAATGGGCTTCACACATTGTTCCCATGTCGGGAATCGAACCCGGGTCTTCGGCGTGACGAGCGAACGCTTTAACCACTAGGCTACCCGATCGCCCTCCACCTCTTGGAACGATATATATGAGAGAGAATAACGCACATCCAGTCGAATCATTCTACCTCAAGTGTCTCTTCCATGAACCTTTGAAATTTGGTTGAAAGGGAACCTGATTCCATTCATATAATCCTCTATTATCCTTTATCAACTCTTATCCTTGAGGTTGTTTGGAACATCTTGAATAATAGGGATTGGTTGACAGCCTCCCTATAATCCATACCGAGTCGTAGTGGGCCATCTGTCTTCCTCACCCTCCTCACACAAACCAAGGGGCTGCTATAGAGAGATCTGATAAAGTATTTCCTCAGCAGATCTGCTGAATATCTCTTCTCTTCCTGATACAGAGGTTATGGAATTGGGATGTAAGTCAAGCTCATAATCGAGTTACAAATGAGTTTGTGGTTTACCCGATGAACATGCTGACAACTATAATCCCAATATAAGGTACACTGAAAGCCGCTACTTCTCAGAACGCCGTCACGTCCAAACTGTGCATAACAAGGGGAAGAAACATTTTTAGTGGTCAGAGGCTTCCACGTATCATTGACCCGCTGTTCTGCTGATGTACAGAGGCAATCATCACAATTGGTTCCACTGTGCTGACACTGACTACGAGATGTATGTCTTCCTGATGCTCATTACATGACACCGGTGGCTTTGTTCCTACAACTGGGGTCATCCTAGGATCAGATTTTGCTTCCTTTGCTGTTCCCCATTCTTGGCATCTTGACTTCTTGTGCGAGGTCCTCATCACTGGGGACCGCCTCCGTGGTCTAGTGGTAGAGCGTCCGGCCGGAAAGTTGAAGGTCCGGGGCTGGAACCCCGGCCGCGTCATACCCCAAAATGGTACTTGCTGTTACCCTGTGTGTGTGTGTGTGTGTGTGTGTGTGTGTGTGTGTGTGTGTGTGTGTGTGTGTGTGTGTGTGTGTGTGTGTGTGTGTGTGTGTGTGTAGCTGCCTGTACTAATGTGTATGTGGTTGTTGTTTAAAGCCACACTCAGCAATGTTCTTAACAGGTGGTTGGTAATTATTCAAGTCTTACCCAGACGGTTCTATGGTGCGGTGACACACTACCAACCATGTCGTAACTTAGGTCAAATTCTAACCAGGAAATCCTCCGAACGACTGACTACAAATATAATACTTGTCTACATCCGCTGTTGACAGACCGTTCAGCCCCGAAAGCCTTGGTACTACATTGCTGCGGACAAGACAAAACAGGTGGCTGGGTTCGCTAAAGGGTTCGAGAATCTTGTGTATGTCACCGTCAGGGTACGTGTCGTTGTCTTGTCATTTTCATTGCATCTTTCCCCATCTACATATCTCATAGATCTTTGTCCCTTAAACTGCGTCACTGGGTACCATAAAACCGCGTCTCCAGGTGCCATAGATACGTGTCTCTATGTATTATAGATCCTGTCTCTGGGTGTCAAAGATACGTGTCTCTATGTATTATAGATCCGCATCTCTAGGTATTATAGATCCTGTCTCTGGGTGTCATAGATCCGCCTCACTAGGTCTCCATTTAATATTCTCCTCGACGTCAAAGATGTAAAAAAAACATAAATCAATTAAAGAAGTCGTGATCAATAAACTGCAAAGGGAGGTGACAAACACAAAGCTGCATTTAATCTTTGACGTTTTGTTTGCAGGGAGCCGGCCACACTGTTCCGTCAGATAAGCCTCGACCAGCACTTGTCATGTTTACAAACTTCATCAAAAACATTCCTTATTAGACCAATAAACCTGAAGCATTGCGTGTGTATTTAGAAACTTATAAGCTATTTCAGATGTCTGGTAATTGATTTGAGATATTTCTTAAATTCATCACTGTGACGTCATGTGGAGCCACTGTTCCTAGAGGCAGTGACACAGTACTGTGATGTCACATGAAGCCACTGTTCCTAGAGGCAGGGACACAGTACTGTGATGTCACATGAAGCCACTGTTCCAAGAGGCAGTGACACAGTACTGTGATGTCACATGAAGCCACTGTTCCTAGAGGCAGTGACACAGAACTTTGATGTCACATGGAGCCACTGTTCCTAGAGGCAGTGACACAGTACTTTGATGTCACATGAAGCCACTCTTCCTAGAGGCAGTGACAGTACTGTGATGTCACATGAAGCCACTGTTCCTAGATGCAGTGACACAGAACTGTGATGTCACATGGAGCCACTGTTCCTTGAGGCAGTGACACAGTACTGTCATGTCACATGAAGCCACTGTTCCTAGAGGCAGTGACACAGTACTGTGATGTCACATGAAGCCACTGTTCCTAGAGGCAGTGACACAGTACTGTGATGTCACATGGAGCCACTGTTCCTAGAGGCAGTGACAGTACTGTGATGTCACATGAAGCCACTGTTCCTAGATGCAGTGACACAGAACTCTGATGTCACATGGAGCCACTGTTCCTAGAGGCAGTGACACAGTACTGTCATGTCACATGAAGCCACTGTTCCTAGAGGCAGTGACACAGTACTTTGATGTCACATGAAGCCACTGTTCCTAGAGGCAGTGACACAGTACTGTGATGTCACATGAAGCCACTGTTCCTAGAGGCAGTGACACAGCACTGTGATGTCATGTGGAGCCACTGTTCCTAGAGGCAGTGACACAGTACTGTGATGTCACATGAAGCCACTCTTCCTAGAGGCAGTGACACAGTACTGAGACGTCACATGAAGCCACTGTTCCTAGAGGCAGTGACACAGTACTTTGATGTCACATGAAGCCACTCTTCCTAGAGGCAGTGACACAGTACTGAGACGTCACATGAAGCCACTGTTCCTAGAGGCAGTGACACAGTACTGAGACGTCACATGAAATCACTGTTCCTTGAGGCAGTGACACAGAACTGTGATGTCACATGGAGCCACTGTTCCTTGAGGCAGTGACACAGTACTGTGATGTCACATGAAACCACTGTTCTTTTACTCCTTAAAGATCCGTGTTAGAACAGGTCTTCAGAAACCCACACTTGCCGCGAGAGCCCACGTTTGACCTCCTTAGCCTTGCATCACAACATACACTATTCCAGGCTTGCATAAATTATCAGCGCAGATTAATCTTCAGCAACCCAAGCTTGTCGTAAGAGGCGACTAACGGGATGGGTTGTCAGGATGGCTGATTGGCATGGTATCGTATCCCAATTGCGTAGATCGGTGCTCATGATGTCAATCACTGGATTGTCTGGTCCAGACTCGATTATTTACAGACCACCGTCATATAGTAGGAATATTGCTGAGTGCGGCGTTAAACAAACAAGCACTGTACTTATAAGCAGTAACACGATACTGTGATTTCATAATGGGTAACTGTCACAGTACCTTGACTTCATGATGACTATCCCTATATGCAGTGATATATGTACTCTGCTAATAAAGAAACGCAAAAGTGATTTTAAATGTATCTTTTACATTTCATATAAATAATGTACAGATGGTAATCGAATCAACAGATGGTAATCGATTGTTCATAATTTGCACACATCATTGGCATTGACACAAATAGATTTTCAAGTTGAAGGTCATCTGTTCTCAATATCTTGTAAGGCCACCATTGGAGTCAACAAAAGACTGGCATCGTCGTCCCACGGAAGCAATCAGATCTTGAATTGTGGCCTGGGGAATATTCACCCACTCTGTCTGCAGTGATTGTGCCAACTGTCGGAGGTTATGTGGTTGATGCTGACGTGCTCACAGTCGTTGATCCAATGCATCCGATAAATGTTCGATTGGGTTTACATCTGGAGACCTGGAGGGTCATGATAGGACCTGGATGTTGGGATTCCTGAAAAAGGCTGTTGTCAGTCTTGCCGTGTGAGGTCAGGCATTGTCTTGTTGGAAAATGACGTTCGCTTGTTGCGTAATGGGAAGGACGTGTGGCCGAAGATTATCATCCGTGTAACGTTGCGCCGTTAAATTCCCCAGAACGTGCAAAACCTGCCTACAGCTGAAGATGATGCTCCTGTTTGTAGTGGGCCAATGGTGGTGTTGCGTTAGGGTTCCGTCAGTCGTTGCATGTTTTTACAGTGTACTTGTGTAAGATTTTGATGGCATGCAAATGAAAACACAGCATTTTTATGACTCAGCGAGTGATGTTGCACGTGCATGTCATGTTGGTGTGTTTCGGTGGTATTAATTTTGTATGGATGTCGGTAACACTTCTTTTTACTGCTCTTGCGTTTCTTTTTTTGCAGAGAATATTGAGAAGTTGTGTTGACCCACTCCCTCTTTACACAGTCAAGCCACTGCCATAGGGCCATAAAACATAATATTTCTTCTGGACAGTAATACAGTCAAACAACCTTGTGTTGAACTTTTATGTGTCAACTTACGGTTGTCTCGAAGAAAAAGCTTGGTCTCTGCATATTCCTTCTTTATTCATTGTGTTTCGGTTGTGTCAAAGCATTGACATTAGCATCAACGTTGTTTGTTTGTAAGTGGTTGGTCTTGAAACATATGTCTTGTAGCAATGGCTGAAAATATGTTTTATCTCAAACATTTGGTCCCGGTCCGTAAGGTGCAACTGTACCTATATTCAGTAGCTAAGTACTACGTCGCAAGGTGGATCTATTGTACTCTATAGAACGTGATACAGCCCTCTTTCATTACATCTTTACTTCATACTTTTCAAGAATAAAAATCAGCTAAATACAAACTTGTTTTGTATTATAGTATATTAGAGATACGCTCTTCAAAAAAAGAAACGCACAGTTCGAATTTAGTAAATTTATTGTACCAAATAAAGTCCATATATTTACTTAAATATCATATATACAAATATGAAAGTTTAGAGCTCGATAGTCACATGTTGTACAAAGGCATTGAAAACTGTTTATTGTCATGTCACATAAGGCCACAAGGTTGCGCTGAGCTCAGTATCTCATGTGACCGCCCCGGGCAGCAATCACGTCTCTGCATCTCCTCGGCACTGACTGGATAAGAGATCTCGACGACCAGGGCAAGGCGTTGATGTTGGCATTATGAAGGTAGTCTACCGTGGCACGAGCTGTGTTCGGTTGAGCGTTTTTTCATTTTGAAACAGTTCCCTCTGGTGGTCAATGATTGGAAGAAGGTGACGTTGATGAATTTTATTCATGTAACGATTTGCTGTCTAATTTCCCTGAACCACAACCAAGTCAGATGTCTTGGTGTAGGATATGGCTCCCCACACCATGACACAACCGCCACCGAAATTGTCGAATTCACGTACACAATGTGGGGCAAAACGCCCATTTCGACGACGATAAACACGTTGTCTTCCATCTCGCCTGTGAAGACGAATTGTGATTCATCGCTAAACCACACTGGTCTCCAGTTTCTCAAATTCCAAGGCTGTAAGGTATGGCACCAACGCAAGCGTCGCTGTCGATGGATCTGTAGCAAAACAGGGACTATAACTGGTCTTCTAGGTCGGATTCCAGCCTCGCGAAGATGGTTCCTTACAGTCTGGTCCGATATCCTCCTCAAACCAGGGCATGCGTCCTGCGGTCTCCGTAGCTGTGGCATTGCGATGATGTAGGTGGAACAGTCGAATGTACCGGTGCTGTGCAGGGGTGGTATCTCTTGGTTGGCCGGTTCTCGGACGGTGTGGCGTGCAACAGAAGACTGCGATTCCCCTCTTTGGATACGTCCTATGGCGATGTTCTGATCGGCAGCGCTGAGTCTCGGCGTTTTCGAACTTGAAAAATGTTGACAATTGAATGACAAATTATTGGCTTATGCTTGCCTTTTTATAGCCACTACTACGAGTTACTAATGCCATAACTTGCACGTGCATTTTGCTTTACTGTTTTCCTCCATGACATTTATGAACAAGTGTGAATACAATGCCGTTTAAGACATTGCAAAACAAGTGCGCGTAAACCCTGATAATCAATAAAAATTATATTCTATTTGAAAAACATCCAATTAAAATGTATTTTGCTCAGCCCGTCGGCATAAAAACTCATGTGAGTGATTCTCTTTCAATTGGTACCCCAATCAACGCATTTACTAGTATACTATAGATTATGACAGTCAGTATTTTATGTAATAAATCCCACAGTTTAATCGCAGTAAATACCAAACGTCATTAATACCATAGTTTAATATCCCAATGTCATCATTACTACAGTTTATACCACATGTCATCATTACTACAGTTTATACCACATGTCATCATTACTACAGTTTATACAACATGTCATCATCACTACAGTTTATTCCACATGTCATCATTACCGCTGTTGATAACAGTTTATACCACATGTCATCATTACCGCTGTTTTATAACAGTTATTACTACATGTCATCATTACCACAGTTTATAACAGTTAATACCACATATCATACTACAGTTTATACCACATGTCATCATTACCGCTGTTTTATAACAGTTAATACCCCAAGTCATCATTACTACAGTTTATAACAGTTAACACCATATGTCATCATTACTACAGTTTATACCACATGTCATCATTACCGGTGTTTATAACAGTTTATACCACATGTCATCATTACCACAGTTTATAACAGTTTATACCACATGTCATCATTACCGTTGTTTATAACAGTTAACACCACATGTCATCATTATCACAGTTTTTGACAGTTAACACCACATATCATCATTACTACAGTTTATACCACATGTCATCATTACCGCTGTTTATACAACATGCCATCATTACTACAGTTTATTCCACATGTCATCATTACCGCTGTTTTATAACAGTTATTACTACATGTCATCATTAGCACAGTTTATAACAGTTAATACCACATATCATACTACAGTTTATACCACATGTCATCATTACCGCTGTTTTATAACAGTTAATACCCCATGTCATCATTAGTACAGTTTATACCACATGTCATCATTACTACAGTTTATACCACATGCCATCATTACTACAGTTTATTCCACATGTCATCATTACCGCTGTTTTATAACAGTTAT